ATGGGGCTCTGACACCTGTCCTTTTACCACCCCTACCTCATGTTCAAGCAAATTCAAGTTTCCGGCTGCTGCTCAGGTCGGCGCTCTCTCAGATCCCAGCAGTGCCTCTTTGCCCTTCAGCCACAGTCCTCCTGTGTGTTTTTCAGCTTTCTGGTTGTTGACTTCATTATGTTTTTCTGGCTAACAGAGCTGATAATGACACAAATAGACCAGGGAACTGATTTAAACTTAGAACACAGGTATTTCTTCTATAATCCTACACAGGCACAGATGCATGCGACTCACCACCCAGCTGTGTGCAGAGATTGACATTTATGAAAAATATGTTAGAGTAATATTTGATATTAAATTAAAACTATGACATTTATGCACTCATTATCAGGGGCACCACTTGCAGTTGGGCGATATGGCCTCAAATCAATATCACAATATATTTAGCAGTTCACCTCGATAACGATAAATGGACGATAACTACTCCACAAGCTGCTCACCCCATCCTACATTAACTTTGTCTACTTCAGCTGCCGCTCCAACTTTAGGACCGTCCTCCATCTCCTCACCTGTCTTTCCCTCTTTGTTACGGACTGGATGGGGTCGAGTCACGTCTCTGATGTAAGACAGTGTCTTAAAGAGACATGAGACCATAGCTGGGGGTGTCTCTGGGGTGTGTGTGAGAGAGCAGATAGAGGAGGGGGCTCTGTTGTCCTGTAGCTCCTGATAATTTTAATCCAAATTTTATAAGCGGCTGGTAAATGAGTCAGATCTGATGCTCACTCATTATGATTTATGCAATTGAATGCTTCGCTCATTGTAAATGATTTGATACCAAACACATACAAAGACATACAATCACATTCACAAATATTCCCTGAGTAAATAGCAACGGAGTGCACCGCTCTCAGAAACCAAGCAGCAAGCTCCTGTCTTGAGGGATAACCATAGACTGTATATAGCGTGGACACTGTCTGCCTCCTCGCTGGATTAAGCCATCCTGAGAACAGCACCCTCTGGTGACGGGCTGCAGTATAGGTCATAAATCCTACCTCCGCCAGCAATCCCTATGGGGCTGTGGACAAACTTTAGAAATTAGTTACTCAGATTTTAAATTTTTCTCCCCCCCATTGCAATATTGACATGTAGTTACAGTAAGACTGGTTTGTGTTCAAGTCCTCTTTTTTCTGTACAGCTCCATTTTTAAAAGTTATTAGGGGGTTCATGTTTTCTAGGGACTCTCCCGCCAAATGGGTACAACGCTACTGTGCAAGTGGTGGAGTGCGTACAATGCTAGTGCGCAATGTTGGTTTCAGGAAGTGGAGAAAAATCGCGGAAATACCAAAAGCTTTTCAACTTCAAATCAGGATACTGGTGTAAGGCAAAACCAAATGGTCCATAATATATACAGTCTATGGGGATAACAGAGTGCAGAAGTGCTGAAGACTGCACTCCCCTGAGTGTCCACTTGAAGCTCTCTTCAAAAACCCCAGAAGCCACACATACACACCCATTAGAAAAGCCCAACTTTAGACAAATTTGCAGCCTTGTTCGGAAAACAATTTTGGGTGGGTGACATCACAGAAGCTACGTCTATGTTTTATAGAGCCCACGCCAGAAACACACATTCACAGCAGGTGATAAAACAACTGTTCTTCCACAGAGCACCACAACATAAATGATGATAAGAGGAGGAAAAGTAACCAAACCGGAGCTCCTCCGAAGTCAGTGTGTAATCAATATTATAGAACCAATGCAAGTATAACCTTGGTAGATTCTTGCAGTTCCTACCAGATTTCTTACCTCTTCACATGCCAAACTAAGACTGAAGATCATAGTTTTATTTTGAAGCGTAGGACCAATAACAAGGAGAGAAATTTAATGAGGTAGCTAGAAGACGGAAATGAGGGTTCGACTGTGGTCCCTCTTGACAGATGAATCATGACGGTATTTTGTTTAAACAAAAAGAACCTTTAATGTACTCTTTATAATCTCTGTTGAACCAAATGAAATATTATGCTGTTTGATGCTTCTCCGCCTCTCTTTTTATTGCTCTTTAAGCTGTTCTCGCTCTCACTTTTTGCTGCTCTAGCCTTTCCTCTTTGGTTCGCGGTTCACTGGAAGATTTGATGCTTTTAAGAACATTAAAATATCATTATCATATTCATTATGATACCTTTGTATAATTACTAGTAAACAAATTAGACCATGATGGGTGGCTTCTATTACCTCAAAAAAATTAAGTGCTGCGTAACATAGGAATGAAGAATGCTGCTTTCTGCTGTTCAGAGAGCGCTGAGTGGTGATCATTGTATGGGTGCCGAGGCGGCTGGGGGCTGCCAGTCATCTAAGAAGTGGACTCATTTGTTTATTGTAATTGCACCAACGTCTTAGAGTTAATGCGGTGCTGATTTACCGCCATAAACAGGCTGCATGTAACCTTTAAAGCTGCTTTGTGCTTTCCTTCAGTGTTCTTACCGTGTTGCGAAGCGTATTTGTTCCACCTTTTCCGTCACACTCCCATCCAACGCTTCATCTCTCCTTCCCACCATCCTCTCTCTCTGAAGCCTCCCTCCATCCATCTCTTTCCTTCTAACCATATCTCTCCCCCTCCATGCCTCCCTCCCTTCCCTGGCCGTTTGAAGGAGAGCTCTTTGAGGGTCCGCTGACTTAATTACTGTAATGGGGTTTCTGACACTTGAGACTAAAGAACTAAAAAAGATGGAGAGGAGGGACTGGGGAGGTGGCACGCGAAGGGGCATTATTATTAGTTTTATAAAGGCCTTGGTCCATGAGCATAACAGAAAGTACTCCAAGGCTCCACAGAGAGACTTTCTTTTGCCGCACTTTTCATCAATCCTTCGTTTTTGTCAAAGTTTAATTGCATGTTCGTGCGTGTGTGAGCGTGAAGAGCATGTACAGATGTGTAGCTTTGTTTATGTTTTTGAGTATTTGCAGAGCGGTCCAGGACGTTCAAAAGTGCTCAGAAGACTCCCTCAAAAAACTGTTAATTATGCAATTATTGAACGTTGCAACTGTGACTCGCGGGAGATGTGCCTGTGTGGTGTTTGAGGTTCTTGTTCAGCTGTTTTTTATGGCAGCAGTTCTTTTACTGCGGTTCAAGGTTTTGCAGAGATCCTTGAGAGGATCAACTGATTTTTTTCCAATTAAGTTTTGTAATTTTAGCAAAAGTTAGCTGAACATTGGTAGGTTCTCTGGGGGGGAACCACACAGATGCACACATCCTTTCTTTCTCTTCACATCCCTTCTTTCACAGGACGCCTCTGCTTGATTAAATGAGTCAAAGACTCGGTGTCTTTGACACATCTCCCAGAAAGCCGTTTTTGTGTGGTTGACAGGAAAATAGAGTTGACCTGAGTTGTCACCAGCCACACGAGCTGGGGCCTGGACTGAAATGAGAGAGGAAGAAAAGGGAGATGAGGAGGAGGAGGACGAAAAGAATTTGTGTGAGAAAGAGAGGACAGGAAGCAGAAAGCCATGGAGGAAAAAGGCCTGAGGAGCGAGAGCCAAGATTTTGTCCGTCTTCATTACGGTTAGTTTAAATTTTTATCAGTCACAGAGACATCTCAGACGTCTGGCTCGACAAGCTGGCACTCACACAAACACGGATATTTAGATGAGGCTGGTTTTGTTGTTAGTTTAATTAAATCAGAAAGTGAATTTTAACCAACATTTAAAAAAATTGAAAAACTTTCAGCCAAAAAAAACCTCATTATAATCCATAATGACAAAATCAATGTAGAAATTCTCAGCAGTATAAGAAAATGACATTTCCTTTCAAACCGAATTAAGGGAACTGAGGGAGACCTGGCGGCTCATTCCACATATAGATATTTCCAGTCATATCACGTTTCACTTCAATTGCAAATTAATATGCCGACACATGGGCACTTCAGAGCGTAATTTTGACTTTGCTTTAAAATATTAGTTAACCAGGGGCCCATTTCATAGAGAAATATGGAGGAGCACGGGGAGGTTAGGTTTTTGAGGGACCACTCTCTAACAACATCTGCTCACAACTTATTCCTGTTGTTTTCTTTCTCCCACTTTTTAATGCCTGTATTTTGTTCAAGAGCAATTCAAATGCTTAATTTTCCTCCATGAATAAATGAGGTCTAATTTTTCAGACAAAAACTAGCTGACTCAGCAACATCTGATAGAGCTGAAGTGTACCACGTTCCTGACTTAAAGACCCAATTTTTATTGTTAAGGATGAAACAAAACTATTAAGCGCTATCAGCATAATCTATAGAACCAGCTGCATGTCGAAGCCACTGTTTTTTCTAGAATTTTATTCATTTGTTAAGTAAAACCAAGCATTAATGTTGCTGTAGACATTGTGATCAACTGAAGAAAACACAAAGTATTGACCCTTGTTCACTAAAGTTAAATCCTGTGTGAAGAACTTGAGGTTTATGTTGATTTTGGCGCCCCCTGTGGACAAAGCTGTCTTTGCTATTTTGTCCACTAGGTGCATCAGCAGTTATCTCTGACTAATAATCTCATCATACCTACCTCTAAAAGTCAGTTGTTTCATTTAGTATGTGCATTTTATATGAAAATTATAAAAGCAGGCTGGTTCTTCATCTCTGAGCTGACACTGTGCCCCGCACACCAGTTTTAGGCGTCAAAATTATGAAATAAAAAACGTCTGTCTTGTCACGTAAGTCTTATTTGCTATTTGACATCGTGAAAGAGATTTATATGAATTTCAGTAAATTTTATAAGTATCACAAAACTCCTCATGGGAGCTTGAAGCCAAGAAATATAAAAAAAAATAAATTTAAATGAACAAAGTTAAATTTAAAAGCGAAATATCATAAACTTAAAGTCATAAATAAAAAAGAAAAAGCCATTAACTCCCAAGGATGAATCAGAAATTAATGAGTTTTAATGTTTTAATAGATATTTTTTGAAAGAAAAGTCATAAACCCATTGAAAAAAATTGCAAAATTACAAATTTCAGTTTTGAATTTTTATGGATAAGCTCAAAACAAATGGCAGTAGCTCTTGCTGCTTCCTCCAGAAACCGCATTGCAGCCCACCTCCACTTCAGCTCCTCCTTTTTCTACTGTATCTGGTTTTATCAGTGTCATATGTCACTGATGCCTGCTCCATTCTGCACCTTTGAGGTCTTTGCTGCTGCTCTCCCTGCCATTGCCTTTCATGTATGCACATCACACAGATATCTGGCTTTGGTCTTCCATGTAAGTATGTGCTGGGGGCAAAGAGCTCCTGAAACCTGGCTACACCACAAACATAACCTCCTGTGTGATAATGAATAAGTCTCCTTGATTAAATGAATCCAGACTGAAGTGTCTGTTTTTAAATTCCAGGGCCAATGGAGGATTATACTGTACATACCACTGAAATATACATCCCAAGCAAACACTTAATCCTTTAAACACTAACGCTGATGCTAATGACATAAAACAGTGTGTGCTGTATTAATAGTGAAAGCTTTATTTATGTCAGATTACTGTTATTACATAGTATTGTCTTTAAAATACATACTGGAGCTTTTCCCCCCCAGACACCAAACTTCCCTCAAACTCGTTCCTCCTGAGAACTGGAGTTTAAAAGGACTCACTCACTCACCTATTTAACCCCTCCAGGGTAGAGGATCCGCCTGTCAGACAGCTGAGGCAGGGGTGTCGGTGGGGGGGCGTGGAATATAAATGGCGCTCCCTTTTCCCCATTAGTCTGTCTGAGTGGAAGATGGAGGGGGTGGATGCTCAGGGTGGGGTCAGGCTCAGGTGCTGAGCAGACAGGAGGAGTAACATCCCCTCTTCCTCCTCTCCCTCCTCTTATCTAAGTTGTAGCACCTTTGAGGCGAGCCTTCTCCATCCATCTTGAGTTTGGCTGCACCTGAGAGCTACCTGCAGGCTGCTTCTCTAATTCTATTACAGCCGTCCCCGAGGAGTATGTATCACTGGTCATCCAGGATAATGTATTCTGTGGAATCAGCACACTCTCACTGTATTCAATTTAAGTATTATCTCTGTCTCTGACTGAACTTCCTTTGTGAGAAGTCGGCTTCATCAGGGACCTCGATGAATCAGATGAACCAGGACAAAAGGATATTTTTAGACGTGTGAAAATAGACCTGAAGCCTGCAGCTCTGATAGACTTTTTCGATTATTGTCAAGAGGAAAGTAGGGAAGTTAGTGCAGATGTGTGGGTTTGCTTGCAGTGTTGATGTTTGTTTCTGTGCAGACAGAGGCAGAGAGTTCCCCGTCTCATTCCCGTGGCAGCAGGTGTGTAAATAACACCCTTGTGATAATGAGGATGAATCAAAGAGCTGAGGGACTGTCTTTTCGTCAAACTCCCACATTGATCCCGGCTCATCTGCTCATCATCAATGTCCCTCGGGCTGCAGACTCTACCTCTCCTCCCTCCTCTCTATGTGGGTGCTCGTTGTAATTCTAGGTCTGTAGGCTGCGAGTGTGGTGGCATAATTTTTTTTCCTCCAAGTGTCCTGCCTCTGTGCGGCTGACAGCTGAACCCAAATCCACTGCTTCACTGAGCCGGATTATAAGCCAGTGTATGTGGTCTGCCTCGTTTCCCTCACTGTTGTTACCTGTTAGCAGAATGAGCTCAGGACATGCTGAGGAAAGAGGGACAAAGTGACCCAGAGCTAAGGGAAATTAGCTGACTGCATTACAGATACAAGGGGAAGAAATAAAACTCAGAGTAGAAACTATTTCGTGGTTAGGTTTATAAAAAGTGTCTGAACAGAAACTGAAATATTAAACAACTACTTAACTTGACAAAGAGAGATTTAACATAAACATGCAGAGTCTGTATCAGGGCTGTTGCAATATCAGCATTAGTGATGACAAATACTGATATTTTGCTAAAACAATTGTTTGGTAATATCATTCACTAAATGGGTCTTAAAAGGGGCAGAGGTGTTTTTTTTTTTTTAGTTTTCGTTTTTTACTCTGGTTACCACAGCCATTAAACAGAGAGAAGACAAAGAAGTGGGGATAGATGCTAACAAGCTGTTTACAGTCCCACTCCGATCGTTTGGTTTTTTAATTTTTTACTACTTAAAGTTTTCTCAGTGGTCTTTAAATTGTGATTAGGAAGTTTTTGGCCAAAATCACATTACCTGTGTCAAGGGCTTTTCTTCTGCAAAGTTTCAGTAGCTTATTAGCAATTCACCTCTGAGTCGTGGGTGGAGACAGCGCTGCTCTGCACAGCGCTGTCTCGTGGAGATGCTCTCATGGAATGCTGCACATTCCCAGTGCAGCAGAAGTGGCAGGTAACATAGAAGCTATTCAGTAATAATGTCTTTGGGGGCATGATGAAAGTTAATATCATAATTAACGTTCTTAAAAGCATTGCAATCCACTACTGCACACACACTTGTCCCACGATTGTCCTCTTAACTTCGCGGGGTCTGGCCTGCAGAGCGGGGTCATCGGGAGAGGAGCTTGGAATTTTGATGTAGAAAATCCCACTGTGTCTGAACCTGCTGTTTGGGTCTGCCAAAGAAATTTTGCACTTAGTTTCCTCATGGTATGTCCTCTAGCATCAGAAAAATTCTGTATGAACATATAGACAACAAGAAAGACGTGATTTTTATTGGAGTGAGTCTTTAAAAAGATCAGTGATGCAACTAAATTCAAAATTTAACATTTGCAACTGTCCTTTTAGCTTTTTTTATTCAGTTCCATGACTATCTACTGGATTTGGTATATATGACATTTCAAAATAAAAAGCTGGAGACCTAGATTCAACACGATTTCAACCATAATTGGGGATGGATAATTACATGTAAGCAAGCCAGGGAATCTTATGAGAATCTTTATTTGATCCAATAAGAGTGACAAAATGTTCCCAAACAAAACAAAACAAAACTACACATTATGTGCTGCAAATTGTTTTGCCTCACTTGAGGTTTGAGCCTTTTCTGTTTGGAAAAGAAATACATTTGACTGCATTGTAATTCCAAAAATCACAGTAAAATGCTGTTTTTCATAAAGATAAAAAGTATTCATGAGAAAGGGAGGCCTCGGGCTAAAAGGAACAGTGTAAAGAAATGGTACACGCACACACACACACACAAACTCCGCCAGCTCCGACGCTACATATCGCCACCCTCTTCCTGCTATTCCACCTGTTACCTCAGACACTGATACACCTCTGTGCATTTACATAAACCAGGTGTGACAAGGGTATAAATATTCCACCTTTATAAAAAGGTGTGTAAGACTCTTTTATTCACTTTTTTCTTTTCATATTTTGCCAAAATCTGAATTCCTTCTATAACAACACTGGTTTGTACTGTTTATTGAAGCAGAAGCATAGCCCTGTTTGTGTTTGGTGTCAAGCCTTGACCTCGTCTCCTCCCTGCTGTTTTATCTTTATGAGTTAAAAGCGAGGAGTGTTGAGATAATATTTTAAATTCTCCTGGATACAGATGCTGGAGTGGTGTGGGGGTTTAAATCTGAGCACAGCACATAAACGAGGCAGTAATGGCTGGCAGAGACAGAACAGAGGCAGAGACCGGAAATCTTGCAGCGGAAATACAGTGCCAGATTTTAGGGATATGTTTATGTGAATATGAGTTGCCGTCCTGATCTAGCTTCAGGGCTTTGCTCCAATAGTGTGACAGCAAAGCATGTTGTAGTCTGGTCTAGCACAGTGACTGGATGAGTGGTTTGTTTTTTAGATCACTAGAGAACGACTCCACTATCAGAAGAGTACAGAGATCATAAATGTCCAGATGTATGTCCCCTACTGTGCAACAATGATATAAATCCATAAACATTTTTTTGTGAATTAAAGATAGTTATTGAAAGTACAAGGTAGTAAAAAAATGATTCAAAAGAACCTGCTAATGTAGCAAGAGGTAAAGGAGCTCGTTTTAGAAACACCCCTGTGGATTGCGTTGTAAGGTAGGTCAAACTCAGTGACTTGTTGGAGTATTGGTCAACCATTCAATAACATTATATCAACTAAACTCAAGGAGCCAAATTTCTGAGTAGCTAACGCACTGGACTCAAGGTTAATCTTTATCAGCTTTTAGGTTGCAGCCTCTAATCAAATATAAATGCCCCCACAGACTGTCTGAGTCACAGCACTGTTGTGAGGTTATCAGGCATTTTTCCGAACTCAGCCAAGTTTGGAGGAGAAAACAAGCTTCAAAATTCTGCAAATTCAACCTGGTTCAGTCAGTGTGTCTCTCACTCATGAGTTCTGGTCAGTTATTCTCCTGCTATGTACAGCAAGCAAGTATTGGTCCGCTCAGCAGGTTTGGATGGTAGATTAGGTAGATGGTAAATGGTTTAATGCTATTTAGTACAGTAAATTCTGAACTAACATGTGTCTCTGCAGCCAACTACAGCCGTAAGATCTCTTGATGGAAACACAGCTTTTGTCTGATATGATATACAGTTTCATTTGTGTTGCTACACATAATAGTTTGGCCTCCAAGATTGGGACCGTTTCAGTGATTTAGCGTAACTATAAAATGTTGAAGTTGATTATTTTAATCAGAGGATCTTTTTTTCAGTAACAAGTTGGTGTCTCTTTTTGAGTCTTCAATACATCTTAAATAAGTCCATAAAGCTATACAATATAATTTTGATTTAGTTCTGGATTTCTACTCCTGGATAAAGTGTGATACACCATTTCCTTCTTCTTATGTTAGAGATCAGAGTCTGTATTGCCTTATTTTTCTTACGATTTAAGATTATTTTGTTGCTAATTTATATTTAAAAGTTTGCAAAGGAAGTGTTAATCAACAAGTTTTGAGCCAAAACGTCCTTCAAATGGTCATCCCACATAATCAGTCCCAAAACTGTTAAAAATACAAACAGTAAGGAGAAAAATAAAAAGGAGAGCTGTTGGGACCACGCATTCACATTTATATGCCTCCGTGTGTATGTGTGTGTTTGCCTACCTTGTTGATGAAGAATGCCCCCCAACCCCCCACCCCCTGTGTCTCTTCCTCCCGTCCCTCCCTCTCGCTCGCTTCCATACTTCGGAGGCTGTGAGCTGCAGCGGCGGCAGAACGCGGTGCGGACCCCGGTGTGTGTTGATCTCCGGAGGTGGAAAAGGGATAATCCGCTCGGACCTTCGCTGGAGTGGATCTCTCATTCAGCTCCACACACTCAGAGCTTAGAGCACTTTTGAATTCCCACCGGGCATCCTTTTCTGCTCACCACAGGTAAGCTCTTTTGCTCAAGTTTTTCCCTTTTTTTTATCGCTCTGGGGAAACCCCGGCACACCTTTGATGAGAGTGAGTACGTGCCGGAGTCTCCAGCCAGTATGCACCGTGGGAGTATGAGACAGCAGGCTTTTTTAAAGTCATTTATAGCGAGGATGAAATATTTTTGAAAATGTGCAAAAGATGAACTTGAAAGTCACGTCTCGGCTGCCGGCACGTTGGTGAGAGGTGTCAACTCGTGTTTTACGCACATGGTCTCGCTGTTGATTCTTCGCGATGTGGAAGGAAGAGCCTGGAAGTTTTGATGGTCACAGATAAGATGATTTATTTTAACCAGGTAAAGAAGCACTAGATAAAGACACACCAACGAGAGTGAATGCTGAGTATTTCTACCAGTATCACAAAGAAAATGATCTCAAATTACGAAAACTGCCATGCATCACATTTCATTAACTCATAGAAGGAGCAAAAATTATTTACAGTTTCTCTGGTACACCCAAATACATTTTCATCGTGAGTAAAAGATACCCCTCAAGTATAACAATGAGCTTAAATTCTCCTCAAAGCAGAATTTTCTGCGTTCTGTGCTCAGTGGCAGCGTTTTCTTTCCTCTTTACGCACCAGCAGCAGCCTGTTCCGCGTCTTCTTGCGCACCACGAGTTTAAGCATCCTTCCAAAAGTTTTAAAATCACAGTTGTCGCTCTCTCTGTCATCTCTGACACCTCATCCGTGCTCGCAATCAGCAGTTTTAAAACCTTGAATTCGCGATCGTAAAGCGCACTTCTTCCTTGTACCGAATCCCGTTTGAAATCAACAGGATTTCGCCCTGCGCGTCGTTCAGTGGTTAACCAGTTAATTGTGTACCACCGCTGTAAATTTTCCACAAATACTAACTATGAGGTTTAAATCGGCAGAAGAAAACATCCCATGAAAGTCGTTTTTATTATAATATGAGAACATCAAAATGTCTTCTTAAGGCAGAAAGTACCCAAAAAATATACCCTGTAATATAGTAAGTAAGAGAATGCAATCTTGCAGCACACTGCTGATTATTTTTATTATAAATATCATCTGCAATCATACTTTCTCAGATTTGAGTTGTAGTTGCAGACCTCTCTATCCAGAACAGGGCTTTTGTGAGTCATTAAGATTAATGGAGTTGTATACTTTATGTTCAGTGAGGTTGTGTTTGGTAATAAAAGGAGGAGAGGGGGCTGTGAGGAAGATCCCTCTGAGTCTTGTTGTTCTCAAAAATAACTTAAACCACTTAATAAGTCAAATCAGAATATTGTGCACGGCATGGTTTGGGCATCTTAAAGCTCCTTTAAAGCTTCTATCAGGAACTGTTAGGTTACATTTGTATTGACAACCCTTTTGGATAAAACATGATGAATTCATTCATTGTCCATTTAGGTGTGTAAGAGGAGTTTTCTGACAAAAAAAAAAAACATCCTTTTTAAACCCTAATGTCTGACTTGCAAATTACAATAAATCTCTGGCTCTGTGGCAGTATGCTGTTTGTGACACCTACCCTCTGGCAGCAGTTTCAGGCACTTTAAATTGCAGCAATAAATTAGTCTCTCTGATGGCTGAGGGTCTGATCTGCTCGTGTTGACAAAATAAAGCAATCTGTAATTATTCCAGGTTGTTTCATTACCATTTAAAACCCCCTCAAGGGATCTTTAAGTACTCCCGAAGTGTGGCGTGTCATACATGCACAGCTTGGAGGAGTCTGTGGTACTAACCTAAGAAGCGTCCCCTGGTTCTGTATCAAACCCTTGAGCTGTGTGTCCAAATGTGTTGCCCATACAAACACAGCGTAGCACTCTGCTGCAGCCTCTGGCGGTCGCCGATAAGGCTTGGGGGGTTTGACTCCCACGCTGAACCCTCTGAGCGCCGTGAAGCTTTCAGGGCAGGCTCTGTGACCACTCTGATTAAAGGGATAATAAATGCTTTTTTAGAGGGGCTTTCAGGTGACGTAACTCAACTCAGAGGAGATAAAAGAAGAGAGTTTACAGCGAAGTTCTTATTTCTGGCTGTCAACAAACATCATCACCAACTGCAGCTTGAAAAAAATGAGTTTGGGAAGTCAGAAAGTGATGCTCACACTAAGTGAATAGTGCACAACAATTTGCTGCAAGTTTTGAGGAAGCAGAACAGTCTGTTAAGGCATGTGCTTTCTGTAGTTAAAGTTCATGATGCAGTTTTCACAGGTTATGTCTTTGGTTACAGACCGGAAGGTTGAACGTATTGATTCTGCAGTGAATAACAGTGACAGTCAGTATTTACGACATTTTTTATGGTCTTTTTAATGCGCCCTCCAGCAATCGTTGGCATCTCTGCAACTCAAGGATGTTGACCCCCAGGTGCCTTTATGTCTCAGTTGTAACAAATCTGACCGGTTTCACACACCATGGGGAACAGTTTTAATGTGCAGATGTGTTAACTCCCAAAGCACTAAAGCCTGTAAGCCCTTAAGCGTTCACTCTTTGGAAAACATTCAGTAAAGCTCAACGCTTTCATTTCCAATGAGCATTTTCAGAGGGATTTTTTTCTGGAAAACCAAAAGCAGTAAAAAATTCACTTTCATATTATCCTCCTTACACTCCCCCAACATTCATCTCTTTGTTTTAAACTCTGTTAAAGATTGAGCCAGTTTTATGCACATCTGATTCTGTATTTGACCTCCTACATTTATGCAGTAATCCATCTGCAGAATCTCCAGAACCTGAACAGTCAGAGGCCTCTGCTTATCGATTGGTTATTGATTTCTTCTGTGGCTTTATCATTAGTGGTCAGGGGCACAACAGACAGATCTTCTCAGCCTTCAGTGTGACAAACAACGTACAGTAACACCCAGCAAATGTCTTCATGGATTAAAAAAATGTCCCTGTAAATGTTTACACTCACAGCACAGTTTGGTATTTGTTCCAAGGTTCCTTAACCTCACTTTCTGTTCACATAAGAACTTCAATTATTTGAGACTTTTGAACCCCAGGTATAAGACATGATGTGACACTGCATTTGGTTTATTCTCATGTTTTGGAGAGATTGACCACATGGGTAAAAGGAAGAGGAGGAAGACTTGCTGCAAAGACCAAGAGCAAGGAGTTAAACCAGCAACCTCTACAGCAAGGACTACTGCCTCTGAACTTAGGGTGTGTCTGAACTGAGAGGCCAGTGGTGCTCAACAGTCAGGATTATTTTGATTAACACTAAAGTGTGTATGATAATCTGGATAATCTAGACTTGACCCTTATTTTAGAGGGGCCCATAAAGCTAAATTCACCAAAAGCCATTACCGCCGATAAGAGCCCATATGGTATGTCTTTGAACAGGGTCCATATTTTTGTTCACTGCCTAAAATCTGCAACAAACATCGTGAATGTGCACAATAGTCAGATCATAAGATGTGTGGTATAAGTCATATGACCGGAAAGACGCCATGCTGTCATCACTTCCTCATTCTCCCATATTAATATATGATAAACATCTATCTGGCATCACATAAGTGTAGCTCCGCACTTACACACTGATTGTGCAGGTGTAACTGTAGACTGTAAACATGCAAGAGTCATTGCAACCATGACACATACCTGGAAAACTCTCTCCTGTGTGAAACAGATAATATAACTTTTTATGAATTTATTTGAATGGCACTTTTCACAAACAAACAAAACCAATGATTAAAAAAAAGCCCAACAATAGAAGCAAGTTTTAACAGGGGATTAAAAAGAAGACTGAGTTTGACTGTGTGGAGCATAAACTGCAAGTGCTGGGTATGTTTCCAGTCCAGATTTAGGAGTAATGAGTAGGGCCCTGCTTGAGGACCTGTAGAGACAGAGTTGTCCTGCATGTCTCAGTTCTCATAAACATTTGAGGCACACACTGACTTCTTTACTAACAGCATCTCCGAGTGTTTGCTGTTGGCTTCTACACCTGCAGTGCACGTATATCATGATCGCTACAGTGGTGTGAAAATCGTGCAGAAGAAGACGACGAGTTGATGCAGATAAAACATGAATTCTTCTGTTTTACATAAGATAGTGGGGGATTTGATCTGAGAGAAGAAAACAGACTGAAAGATCATATTTGTATGTAAACAATACATAGTGTTGTGAAAAATCTTGCTCACTGAAAGTATGCTGAGCTGAAACCCACAAAGAGTTGGATCATGAAGCACTTTTCTGACCTTTTGATCCAAACACTGATGAAACAGCTGGACTAAAGCTACAAGGTGTTAAATTCTTGAAAAGACCTCAGGTGGAGGTCAATTTTTGGGGAAACCCTTTAAATAACAAAATGAGATTTAACTTTGTCTCGTTTGGAAAAACTAATAAAACTGTGTAACAAAGACTGATCAGCCGGTTAGTTTCACTTCCTTTTTGTCGCAAAACAGTGGATGTATGATTTTTCCTTAAGGATCTTACAGGATTTGTGAATGTAATAGACTTCTCTGGACCCCTAAAGTCCCTCAACTGCACTTTATGAACCACTGTAATAACTGAAAAAGTCAACGTCTGTCACTTAAATGATGTATGTGACATGCTTTGCAACTGACACAGTGCTTTGTATTACTAGGGGTGTGTTTTTGATACATTTAGGCGTCCGTGCATGTGCACTGTGTATGTGTGTGTGTGTGTGTGTGTGTGTGTGTGTGTGTGTGTGTGTGTGTGTGTGTGTGTGTGTGTGTGTGTGTGTGTGTGTGTGTGTATGTGTGTGTGTGTGTATGTGTATGTGTGAGCTACAAAGAGAGAGAGAGACAGAGAAAGTGTGTGCAGCTATATTAATATAACTCTCCGATATTAGGCCCTGTCATGTTCAGTAAATAGCCATTCATCACACATGCCTCTGCCTGTGATGGTCCCCACAAGATCCAATCCATTAGCCATACAATGGGTGTCCACTCAGAGTGTGAAATTGTGTGTGAGTGTGTGTGTGCATCATAATTTATCACAGTACTATAACAGTTGTGACATGGACATGTGAGACAGGGCACGTGCATGTGAAAGAGAAGATGAAGAAAAATTGTAAAGAAGGAATGTGCACGCACAAAATCACTTCCCCGGAGTAATGAGTTAAAAGTACAAAAATCTGACAGCAGCTGGACACAGCTTGTTGTTAATTATGTGTAACAAGGCAGATGACTGATAGATGATAAGTCAAACTAATAATGACAAAACACATCAAAACATAACCAAAATAACCTTTGAAAGGACATCAAGCATCATGAGAACATGCTTCCCAGGTGGTATCAGAATGTCGGAGCTAGCTTAGTGTCTTCAGACCTTGAACCGTTCATTTCATTCCATTTTTTTTCCACCTCCACAGCAGTCGTATACAAAAGTGTCTCAGCAGGCGACTGAACCGACCCACAACCAATCAGATTAAGGCAGCGTGTGATGTAGAGCAAAACAGAAAGAAACAGTCTTTTCTTACCAACGACAACAGCAAATTCAAGCAGCCATCTTACTCGTTTCTGAATATGCTGTGTCATCGTCGTATAGAACCTGCTCTAGTTTCAGTCAAAGGGCTGTGATTGGGTCAGTAGACCTGTCATTGAGGGGAAATCCTTGAAAATGACCCACCCTCCAGCCACAGTGGATAGGAGCAGGCTGATGGGCACTGCCAGGCTGACTGTTAGCAAACGAAGATAAATGCTGTTGCTCTGTACGACCTTAAAAAAGAGGCAGAAAGATTGACTATTGCTATGAAAACATCTATAATGCCTGCTGCCATTTGAGGCAATTTAGGGATGATTTGAATTTAAGGCACTGATAACGAGATGGATACATATATATTTGTAGTATATTTTTGACACAGGGGTACATTGTATATTTATAATACTTTCACATATGGAGGTTATGCACCAAGCAGTCAGCCAAGGTTCACTTCTCGCCTGTGGCTCTTTCCTTGCTCCTCGCCCTTTGCTCTTTCTCCCTGTCTCCTGCTCTGTCCACCATCCTGTCCTTTCCAAACGAAGGCAAAAAATCCTGAAAATAAATCCGAAAAAATAAAGTCTGTAATTATTAATTTTGAAAAGTCTGTGTTTTGGTCATGCACTTGCGCTGGTCAGTGCAGCATGTACCACCTGAACCCCTACAGCCCCAGTCCTCTTTCTCTGCCCTTTCCTTATTCACTGAGGCTGTGGCTTCATATCAGACAAACCCTGCCTTATAAACAAAGCTAGATAAAGCTTCCTCCTTTTGAAAAAGTCCGGGTTGAAAGTTGTTTCATTCATAAACACAAGTTATTAGCTGTGGACCTTGCCTCTCTACTCTCAGGCTGCTGTATTTACTGGCTGCACGGGACTTATTTACCATTCCCTTGCCGAGTCTAACATGGTGCTTTCGATTTTATACAGTCTGGTTTTCCACAAACAATTAAATCAAAGTTATAACTACCAATACTTTAACTACAGAGCTCTGCATTGGTAGATAAGACTTTAATCTCCCCCCACCCATGGACCTTTTCCCCCTTATCTCTCCATTTCCTCACTTTAAGTGAACACCACCTCTCTTAAGATGAGTAACCTCACCCCTCACCTGTAAATCCTGCTTCTAATGTCTCTTTTCTGTCTTTCTATCCCCCTGCTCTTATTCTCCTCACTTTCTTATCTGCATACAGCACTCTGTAAGGCAAGGGGAAAGCTTATTAAAAACATCTGAGCTGAAGTTTGCCATTGGAAGAAGAGATAGCAGGGATCAATTTTGACAGATCCTTTTCAGAGATTTCAGCAAATTCACTGTAGCTCTCTGCCCAAAACGCTCCCACACCATCAAGAGCTTGCAAACTCAGCGTCCGAAAACGAATTCATCAGTCAGTCAGCTGTTTACAGTCTGCACATAAAAGAAGGGGGAAGAGCAAACAGGTGCTAAGTATGTCTATGTAAGTGTGTACTATAAATGCTGTCAATTGAAAGAAGTGGACAAATCCACACAGCTGCTGTTTCTTCTGTCATCCTGTTTAGGATGGGAGGCTCAAATGTTATAAACTGTTATTTGTTAAGTCTAAAGTTACATAATAGAGTTTGTTATTCTCTCTTTTTTTAAATTCGGCTTTTCAGGTTTCATATTTGGCCGTAAATACAACAAACAGTAAAAATCCATGGGGAATTTTGGTATTAGCTCAAGCTACAGCAATAAAGTGTGCAACCCTGTAGTAACGGTCAGTTAGAAGTTAATGTAAGCAGCAAACCACTCATTAAATAACAAAACAGGAGCTGAAGGATATACTTAAGTGAAAGTATGTATCGCAGAAGAGAAAATGATAGTTGGCAGTGAAACTCAGCAATAACTTTAGTATCAAGTGTATTTTTCAGATATTTATCAGAATAGAGTATACCGCTCATGAAGGATGTGGGTGATGCATGCAAACCAAACAAAGAAAGGTTGAGCCAGAGACAGAGAGAGAAAAAGACACACAGAGAGAAAGAGAGCTCTGGGAGAGGCCAGCCTTCATGGAGACCCCACCCAGCCGGCAGGTAAAACAGACCACGTCTCCCAGCTCCCCCCAGGTAATCTCAGGAAAGAAAATCACAGAAAAGGAGGCAGAGCAGGACGGGTTGTCATGAATGATAAACACAATTTACTTATACATATTATTTTGATTTAAAAATATTAAAAAATAAAATAAAATTATGAATGTTATGAGAAAAAAGTCATTTCTTTAGTCAGTGTTGAGGAGGAGGAGAATCCAAGCTTTTTGCAGCTTTTCAGGGTCCTGATACTTAAAACAAGGTGGTACTGAGGTGTTGTAGGTTACTCAGTTTGGCACAGGCAGCTGGCTGCTCACTGTAAACCAAAACTATGACTTTATCACCACTTATTCTCATAACAGCAACTCAATCCCTATAATATTAAAACTTTACTACAAACACTGCGGCTGGATTTCTTACAACTTTATTTTCATAATATTTCAACTTTGCTTCACCGCTTAAGAAAACTATTTTGCTATGACTTTATTCTTTTAAATCTTCACAGAGATCAGTTGATACCCCGCATGCTGCTTACACAGAGACATGAACTCTCCCTCTTTATATATAATGATAAAAAGTTTTGCATCAACTTCAAGCTGACATGAGCTAAGTTACAGTAATTACTGCACCTCTCCATACCGAGCTGATGCTCCGCTCTGCCCATTTCCACATTGAACCATCCAAAGCCGAGAGTCTCCCGGGGACATCGCCTCCCTGAGGGATGACTATCACCAATCAATCTAACAGCTTTAGCCAGCAAACAACACAACCAGACAAAGTGGAGGGACAGTGCCGAAACAGAGGCTTTTTTGTCAGTCTCTGCTGTTGTAATCATGGATTCAATTTCCTATCTCTCACTCTCGACTTACAGCCCTCCTCTATCTCATTTCTATTTTTATCGACAGGTGACCTGTAACTGGTTGGAGGGAGCAAGGAGAGGAGAGCAAATGGAAAGGGAGCAGAGAGAAAGAGGATGAGAGCAAGACCCCAGAGATCTCTCCTGCACGATGGGACCCCTTTGCTTTGCTGGATTTTAATTTGAAAAAGAACAAAGGGCACTTTGGTTAAAGAGAGGCAGCGGGATTTTGACATCATTTCAGAGTTTTGTCTGCTTTTTGTCTCAGTGGGAGCAGTCATGGCCATTCACTAAAAATATCACCCAGCCTGCTCCTGCTGCTTCGTACCCAGTGACGCTTCATTGCCATGGAGAAGACGTACTCTCTAACTGCCCACTATGACGAATTCCAGGAAGTGAAATATGGTGGCCGCTATAGCAGTGACATCCTAAGCAATGGCATGACTCTTCACCTAGGGGGCAGCCTGGACCGTCATGTAGGGCGTGGCAGAGGTGGGACTTGGTCTAACAGTAAAAACAGAGACCTGAGCAGCAACAGCAGCAGCGGAGGTCTTCCTCGATGGAGTCGGAGGGAGATCTGCCTCCTCTCGGCGCTCGTCTTTGCAGCAGGTATGTGCGTCATCTTGGGAAGCATGTTGGCGCTCAAGTACATTTCTCTGGACCAGCAGGACCCGCAGTGCCGTCAAGACTGCCAACGTAAGCGCTCCCTGCTGAGGGCGGCACGCTTCGTTCAGGCCAACATTGACCCAACCATTCAGCCCTGCCAGGACTTCTACTCCTTTGCATGTGGCGGCTGGCTAAGGCGCCACGGCATCCCAGAGGACAAGCTCAGCTACGGTATCATAACCGCCATTGGAGAACACAATGAGGAGAAGCTACAGCGCCTCCTGCTGGAGCCCATAAGGAGGCATGGGCCAGACTCAGCAGAGCGTAAGGTCAAAGAATTTTATCGCTCCTGTGTGAACATCCAGGAGATCGACAAGCTGGGCTCGGATCCAATGACAGAGGTGATTGACAGCTGTGGAGGGTGGGACCTGGTGGGGGCTCCTCCCGGTGCAGCTGGTTGGGAGAGAGAGGGCGCCCCCCAGAGGCCGGATTTCAACGAGCTGCTGTACAGGACGCAGGGGGTGTACAGCACTGCGGTCTTCTTCTCCTTAACTGTTAATGTGGACGACAAAAACTCCTCCAGGAACGCAATCAGGGTGAGGAAAAAATCAACGGAGCACTAAATGAGATTACATGTGTTTAAGTTGAAGTACACATGTAAGAAAGTCATGTAAAAGATGTGGATGCAAGTGAACTAATTCTCCTTCAACTAACCAGTAGGGGGCGACTTTATTGGTTGAGAAACAAAGTCTTATCAGTTATACATAAAGTTTTGTCATAGTTCTATCCCACTGAAGCCATCCCACTGATGTTGGCATTTTGAAGGCTACTTAAAATGTAGTCAGTAATTGTGTGAGGGGCTACAGCCTTCCAAGGACCCAGCTATCATGATCTGAGGAGACCAGTCAGGCTGAGTTACATTCAGATGGTCTTGTCCATGGAGGATTCCCTACTCTGACACCAGCATCACACTGCACACCCCTATCCTCTAGCGATGGGTCTAGTCAGCATCACATAACTTAAAAATCATCACCAGCATCTGAAAGATAACTCTGAGGGTCTTTGCTCTTGTATGCGGATGTTTTTAATCTTTGACTCATGGTCCCCTCATTCATGTGTACACAGAGTTTTAAGTCAGCGAAAATAGAGATTTTAGAAAACACAGTTTCACGGTTTTCCTGTTTGTTAAACTGTGATCAGCACTCTAAGGTTCAAATGAATATTTACAAGGAGTTAAATGTGTCTGCTGGAGGCTGCAGCCCCTGAATTAGTTCACTGTGAGTGTATGCCTCCTCCCATTACCAAGCCAGAAAGGATGCACTGGGTGCATCATTTGTGGTCAAACATGTCCTAAGATTTATTGCAAGCCAATTTTGATATTAGGCCTAAAACAAATAAAGGCATCAAAAGAGTGTTTCCCAGGGCAGTTGTCAATCATAGAGATCTTGAGATAGTACCTGGGTCAGCTATTCTGACTGTCATGGGGTCCGTGCCCCCCCAGTCACCCCTCTAGATCCACCCCTGGATTAGGCCCTATTTTTGTTTCAACCCTCAGAAAGCAGCATCTTTGTTAGTGTAAACAAAGTTTGATACTTAATAATTGATATTCATTGAAATTGATTTAAACTGTAGTAGCAGCAGAACCAGTTTCTGTTTTCAGCTGCAGCTTTACATGACACAGAATCACCAAACTGGACAATTTATTTAACAGCAGGTTTCATAAAATTTGACTACAGCCATAAACAAGGATGTGGTATCATTATAGTTTCTACAGTCTACTTTTGAAAATGGGAGCCCAGGGCTCTGTTAGTCAGCCAAATGCTCCTGTGTTGATTGATAATAAACCAGACATCCAATGCAAATCAGAAGACAGTTTAATTGCTTATTTGTTCTGATTACTTTTGACACTTTGAAATGTTTGAAAGGTTTGAACCTGTGCAGACAGCCGCCTAAGTAAGGCTGCAGTCCAGACCCTTTGTTTCTCTCGTCGGTTGAAAGTTTCTGTATTGTTGCTTATCTTAAAAAGCCACGATCAGAATCTCATGGACTGTATGAGCTCAGGGGAAATGGACGTGTTTCCATCTATTGACAATTCATCTAACAAGTAAACAAACGAGCTCCAAATGTATTTAGGACTGAAATAAATATCTCAGATTAATCAGTCAGTCACAAAGAATCTCCCTGCACGCTGACATCATTTATTAAACTTGATGCATAATTCAGATGTTCAGCTTACAGTGTGTTGAATGGGTTGTAAGTGTTGGCATAATAAGAGAATATTAAAATATTAACCAGCTCTTTGAATGTGCAGCTGTTAGGGCTTGAGTAACACATGTGTGTCTGTATACCTTAATAGATTTCATTAGAGCATGAGCATCTGACTGTGTGTGTGTGTGTGTGTGTGTGTGTGTGTGTGTGTGTGTGTGTGTGTGTGTGTGTGTGTGTGTGTGTGTGTGTGTGTGTGTGTTTCTGCAGATTGATCAGGAAGGGCTCACGCTGCCTGAGAGGAGCCTCTACCTGGGCCAGGATGAGGACAGTGTGAAGGTAAACACGCTTACTTATCTCAGTCCACTCATCCCAGCATGTCTCCAACCCTGTCAGCATACTCCCCTCCCTTGTCTGCCCCCAGTGGGTCCATAAAGGGCCCCTAAAAACATGCCTGGGAGCAGTGGTTTCGCAGGACGTGGTCACAGAGGCACAAGAGAACTTTTAGTTTGATGCCCAGTCATTGATAGTCAATGGGTTTCTGTTCAGACTCTAAAATCTTGATCCTTTAATACCAATCTAGGTTTTTGAGATAACAGATTTTTGTTTTTTATTTTTTCAATACATTACAAGTAAACACAATTTGATTCTAGTAGCTGTTTTGGTGTCACAAGAACGAAAAGGGAACTAGCAGGGGAATGGTGTGGTTGTGTGTGCGACTGCAGAGAGTGTGCTCTCTGTCTGTATTCTCTCATTTTCTTACAAATGGGGTCCTTTCATGGGTGTCAGTCTTTGTGCAGTGCTGTGGAGCTCTCTGACAGGCAGTACAACAACTAATCAACTACATAAAGAGACCAGGTTGCATCACTGTGTCTCTTTTGTCCGTCTGCAGTGAACACAAACCTAGCATCAGTTGGACGCTGCTTTGACATACGTGAAGGTGGGGTGTGGTTCGTAAGAGTGCCTCTGTGTTGATCGACCTCTGCTGCTCACTCTCTCACTTTCATTCGCTCCAGCAGCTTCTTCTTAAAAATACAAGTGTGGATCTTATTTTTTAACAGCTTTCCTTGCTGCGAAAGCTCCCTCATGAGCTCAAAGTAAGAGCTGCGCAAGCTACTTATTTACCAAATAACTGTTTCAAAGACATCTGTAAAGTAAAAGCATTATGTGGTCAAACGAAGGGAGATATGGGGTTTTCTTTGACTCGTGCAGAAAACTCAAGGAACTGCAGTTTTTGCATTAATATATTGATTATTAAACACTAGAGTTAGCCCGTCACGGGTGTCCTTGTGTATTTGTGGTAATCAAAGCCCTATTCCCAAGGGATTAGTATTACTTCAGGACCTCTGATAATTTGTAATCATGCTCCACAACTAACACTGACATCAAGAGCTGATCCACGATTCATAAGAGGTCCAATCCCGTGTGAATAGTGCTTAGGAATCAAAGTTGTCACAGTTTGATGGTTAAATTAGTCTGAGATCTGTCTACGCTCTAAATGTGGGATTGTGTCAAAAGCCTCTGACTCTCCGGTTCTGCAACAGCAGGCAGCAATCCTAACCCTACCTTTGTAACTCCCTCTGAGGGAAGATCAGAAGCAGAACAGCTTCAACCCACCATTACACCTGTGGTCGGTACACGCTGCAGACCGAATGAACAGGCGTGTAAATATCCTGCCTTGAATTGGTGGTGTGTGAGTACAGAAGCGTATTGCATTCACTTGCAAAAAAAAAAAAGGAAAATGTTTTTGTGTACGTTTTTTCCTTTGCTGTTTGTTGGACTGTTTTTTTCTTCTTTTTTTTGTCCATTTTTTTCTTCTGTTTTTGTACTAATTTTTTCTCCCTTGTTCTTTTTTCAGACACATTTTTATTCCGTTTTATACACTTTTTTTTTTTTTTTAAATCTTTCTGTTTTTCTGACTATTTTTTTCCCTAAGCGAGATACTTCAAACTCTTACAAACTCTCATACAATCAGATAATGTTAATCACCACGGCTACTCCAAATCAGCATATTCTCCAGCTCCTAGATAACTTTGACTACGGGGTCAATGAGATTGTAGCATGTAATTAGTTAAACATAGGGTATGCAAATGCTGAGGTGCCTGCACAAAGTAGACAAACTTATGATGATTCCATCTATCTGACTTAAAGAAAGTAGTATCTGCCAGTGTCACAAACCCCCAAAAAAGTAAAACTTGATAAAACTAAACAAGTGGGCCATGTTTGCTTCCAATAAATTGAGCAGAGGGGGATGAAAGTGTCTAATTTTAAATGATCATGATCCCAGAGAAAAGGAAAAACAATTGGTCTGGAAAAAAACAACAACAAAAAAAAGTCCAAAAAACAGAATAGAAAAAAAAGTTACTCTGAAAAACAGAGATTTTTTTTTTCCTGGTGATTGCAATACGCTTCCAAATGTGAGTGCCTTAAATTAAGGTATAGAAACAGTTTGATGATGCTGTCTTTAAAGTCAACTCATGCAAGCTTCGGATGAAACCATCTTATTGTGGAAATATCTTATTTCTAGGAGGCTATGTCTCCTCCTCCTCTTCATGACCTAGTTTGACCTCATGTTGTTAGACCCCAATTATGACCACTCCCTCTTCTTACTTAAAAATTCACATCCATCAGGCTCCTCCTTGACCTCTCCATTGACGAGTCTCCTTTCCTTCTATCCTCCCTTGGAGCCCCCTCTCCCTCCTTCCTCTTGTCCTCTTCATCTGTCTTATCGACTCACCTCTCTCTCTCTCTCTTTCTATCTCTTTCTCTCCATCATCAATCCACCTGTTTTCCTCTGTCACCTGCTGTGCTTTTGTTATCCTGTCCACTCTGCCACATGTCACCCCGTCACCGGCCATTACCCATGATGTCGCGGCTGATGGGTTGGTGTCACTGTGCCTCATAGATCCTGGCGGCATACAAGGCACTGATGGAGCGACTGCTGAGCATGCTGGGAGCTCACAACGCCACGCAGAAGTCCAAGGAGATAATACAGCTGGAGACGCGTCTGGCCAACGTGAGCTGATCCCCCATACATGCGTGTGTGTGTGTGTGTGTGTGTGTGTGTGTGTGTGTGTGTGTGTGTGTGTGTGTGTGTGTGTGTGTGTGTGTGTGTGTGTGTGCGTGTGTATGTGTGTGTGTGTGTGTGTTGAGTAAAGTCTCCTCTCTCTCCAGATCACTGTGTCAGACTATGATGACCAAAGAAAGGACATCAGCACCATGTATAACCGCATCACCCTCAGGCAACTACAGCGTATCGCTCCCAGTGTGAGTACTGCACTCAGACACACGCACACATACACACACATGCACACACACACTGAGTACGTACTCAGACCCCTCCTTTACAGGTGCGTGGATGTCCACATGCATTCAGGGTGGATCCAGACGTGATGGATTAAGATTTGAACTCCAACCGAGCATTTTAAGCAGCATGGCGAGTGTGTGAGCGCACAGAGGGAGGTAGAGTGTGTGTGAGCGTGTGTGGCGAAGTGCTGCAAAACACACACGAACACACAGACACATTCACAGAGCGACACACATTGAGGCCTAAGTGAGTCACAAAAGCTGTCCGCCCTGCAGGGGAACATGGGGAGGCTGAGGAGCCAAGTGAAAGCAATTGGCGGAAAGAGAAGGGGGAAATAAGGAGACAGTGGGGGGTGTAGGGAATGATGGAGGGAAGGAGGGGAGGAGAGAGAGGGAGACACAAGAGGAGGCGGAGATGAGTAGGAGGAGGAAACTCTCCTGAGGAACTGATTGAGGATCCTCAAGATCCTCCCAGGGTGGAGGGTGGAGGGTGAGAGGGGCGGATGGCGAGATGCACACTGGGCAGGCTCTGAGAGGAAGATTAACAGTTTGATTTGAACTTTCTGCCAAAGAAAAAAAAAACAGAGAAAGAAAAAAGAAATGTGGATTGGATTGAAAAGAGTTTGAGACACACTAAGAGCAAAAAAAAAAAAAGCATCATCAGGAGCAGATTAGAGGACAGAAATTCAACCAGGAGAACTCGAGGTGATGATGGAGTCACTGTGCTGTGATTTCCCTCAAAACCATAAAACTGTTGCATAAATTCTGTATTTGCTGAAAACAGATACTTAAACACCAGACTGAGTCCTTCTCTGTAGGACTATATCTACAAATAGACACAGTCTCATCACAGACATATGAGAGTATCATTGATGTTTTTCTAAAAGGCCTCGAAGAAATAACTTTTATACAAACGATGCACTTTTAAACAATGAACTAAATCATTCGTATAAAAGAAAAATAAGATCATTTGAACACAGATGATGATTGTCGGTTCCAGCTTCTTGAATGGGCGTCTGCTGAGTTTTGGTCATTTTGCAAATAAAAAGGTGGAGAAGGCAGCTTTCTTTGTCTTAAACAGTTGTATCACTGCCAATATCTGAACCCATCAACCTTTATTACCAATTATTTTCTGATGAAGAGGGGCGTTTTAGGTCTCTAGTTATGGATTTACGCTTTTCAGTCACTACTAAACTATATAAAAATGACTCTAGACTTCTTATCCTGCCCTGTCTTTACAACTGCAGTATTAATGCTGTCATTTTGGTCAGAACTGATCAACTGTGGCAACAACCAAAAGCTTCAAATACGAAATAAACAAGACTAATGCAGTGAAAACAGAGTTTATGCTAAACTTTTTTTTGGTCCAGAATTCATAAAGAAAAAAGTTTAGACATAAGCTCTAGATGGCCATTACTGCATGCCAAATACCTTCACATACCAGTTCGTACCATACCATGATCAGTTCGCTCACTACATATTATGCTCTGGTTGACTGTTAACACTAATCACACCAGTACTTGAGTCACTTTTTACAGTCTTTCCTGCACTGAAGTTAATGTTTGAATAGCTCTCCTCTAATCCTTTAAATACCAGCAGCATCATGGTGTCTCACAGCTTTTGCTCTTGACAAACTTGACAGCTTGACACCGTCCTGGTCCTCCTGTTTTTACAGCTTTCACCAAAACTGAATATTTTATGTGGTGTTGGAGCAAAATCAAAATACGAGAAAGTCTACTTTATCTAAACTGCTTACATGTCCAAGCATGAAAGTGTAGACCTGGCATTAAAGATGATCCCATTATCTTATGTGTGTGTTCAAGAAAAGAGAAAATCTGATTTTCAGACCAAGATGTGTTTTATTTACTGGGTATGTTCCTGCCTGATTAAAAGTAAGAAAACTCATATAAAGAGTCGACTAAAACATCTGAATAAAGGGTGCCTGGTTTACAGACACTTAACTCAGGATTTAAAAACTTCCAGGCTGACTAAATTAAAAATCAGTCTGTAGATTGTTTCAGGAAAAAGGTGCCTAGGAACAACAGATTGCATTATGTCCAAAGAACACAGGCTGTGAATTCAGAAACTCAGCAGCAAAAGATAGTCTGAGATTTCTCCTACAATGGCTTTATAAATAAAAGTATATGATACCCTGTTGCATCACAGCAAAATAGCTCAATATTAAATTTTTGGGGGTTCTGCTGGCTGAGCGGTGACACGCTCCCTGTAGGAGCCACATTAGAGTTTTTATTTACACAGTTGAATTTTGTTTCGTTGACCTCTGCGCCCTCCGCAGGTGTTGAGGGCGCACTCACCTATAAGTAGGAGCAGCTGACACAAGGCCAGATGACGGCTCACAGCTTAAATTAGCATCGACCGCGGGCTTTCAAGCTGTAATTTATTGTTTAGATAATCTATGTTACTCATTCATTTATGTATTTACCTTTGCAATAAAAAACAAGGAAACTTCATCCAACTCTCCAAGAATTTGTTTTTTTTTTTGGAAAGTTTGCGCATGTGATGACTCGGAAAAGGAAACCGTTCCAACAAACAGCGAAAGGAAGGAAAAAAGGAGAAACCTTTTTTTTAAGGCATTGGGCCGCTACACTCCCCATGTACAGAGGTTATGTCTCACACGGCAGGCCTGAGTCTGTGGCTCCATACCGACGCTCCTCCCCTCACTTTCCCTCCTCTCCCAGTTTCCTGCTCTGTCCAAATAAAGGCAGAAAATAAATCTTTAAAAAAAGATTGTTTACAGATTATCACCTGTATTTGCATGAAAATTTCTGTGATATCTGAAATCAGGTTACTTTTCATGGAAGGTGAGGATTGCATCGCTGTGGTTTAGGCTCAACTTGCTTCTGCTTCATATGTGCACAATCATTCCTGTATTTAACAGTCAGACACATGGTTGATCAAAACTACTCAAGCTACAGTTACACTACAAACAAAAACACTTTCTATGCTAAAAATCCAGAGCCTTTTGTATAGATGTCACTTTTAAATACAATCTGAATAAGATTATATCTCTGCTAATGTATGCAAAAAGCAGGTACACAATGTCGACTATATTGGTATCAGTAAATTTTGAAACATCACATAGGTCAGACTCTGTAACTCCCAACACGATGGATTCATAGTACTCCTAATTCTAGTACTCTTTAACAGTGACACTGTGGAGTTTTCAACAGATCGAATCAGCAGAATGATCTGTTTTGGCTTTAAAGCATCATGATTCCTCCAAGAGTATCACATTGAAAGCTCTATGAAAGAGTCTCTCATGCCTAAGCTTGTGCCGAGTATTAAACACCCAAAATCTACATAATCAAAAACTGAAGGAAGTCTAAAAAATGTAAACTTTTATTTACTTTGCCTTTGTTGTAGTGGTTTACATAATGAAATATATAACAAGGTGATTTGATTAATTTGCAATAGATGAACGTTATTGTTCCTAAAAATGGGAAAGATGAGCACGAGTACCTTTACTTACCACAGCTCTGTTCTTTCCATGCATATAAAAAAGCCTCATTTATTTCTTTGAGGTCTAATAAACATAAATGAGTTAATATGTAGAATACCAGTCTCTATTAATCAAGGAGGAGTCTGACCTTTAACAGTTTGTTCATGATTGCACAAACACACAGAGTCTTAGATTATTCCTTAAGGTAAACACTTAATCTTTATGCAAATTAAGAGCTCACAGTGCCGCAAAGTGAAGATGCTTTATTCTGCATGTATTTTTGCGTTTTTTTAAGCATTTATGTTTACTGCTCTTGCTGCGCTCACTGAGTCACATTAGTCTGAAGGGATCTGCTCTGGACAACAACATCGCCTGACTCTTTCTAAACACAGACAGTCATAAAAAGGTAAAATCAGGAGCTTTTAGTGTCTCTGAGTATTGATGTGAAGTTATTTTCCTGCTTAAGAAGCTGCTTTTTAAAAATTAGGGACTGGAAAACTTCCTTTGTTGATTCTTAATTCACAGCCTCTCTGATCCTGTTAAATACAAACTGTCTCACACAGAGAAATGTGGACCTCAGTCTTATTTCATGCACCAATGCTTTGGAAACTCCCTTCCTCAGGCTAAATGAGATGCAAACTCTGTGCAATTGTTCAAAGGGTTCATGAAAAAGTGTTTATTAAAGATGATTTCTTTACTCTGCCTTTGTTTTATGCTTATCTTGTGCATGGTTGTGTTCATTAGTTTGAAATCTTTTTACATATTTCATTATTCTGATCCCGTACCCTCCCTTTCTGTGTAATGCCTGTTTTTTTTTATTATTGAGGGGTTTCAAACTCTTCTTACAGACCTTCTTTATTTGAGATTAGCCGGCTCTTAAAGACATAAATGCATACACTGTACTTAAATTATTAATTTTTATCATCAAAAATCATTATTCCCTTTTCTACAACTAGACCTTTAGAGTTTGAATGACAACAGTGAGTCAGTTTGTGTTAAATACATAAGCTGTCATGACTAGGGACTTCGTGACTCCACCACTTTTTTTGACTACACTTTTTTATTTGCCTGAGTTCTTTCTGTAACAAGACCGTTAGACTACTCACCCACTCTTACTTGTACTTTCATACTTTGCTTGGTTTTCTGCTATATATTTCTATATATGTCTGAATGTTTGATTAAGCACATATTTTATAGTACAGTCTGAAATAAACCATCTTATTCTCCTCTCACTGTAGCTTCACTGGAAACGCCTGCTGGACAGAATCTTCCACGATAACTTCTCTGAGGACGAGGAGATCGTGGTGCTTGCCACCGACTACATACAGAAAGTCTCTGAAATCATCAAGACCACATCGAAAAGGTAAAAAAAAGAGAGGGGGTGTTAAGTCGGGTGGGAGGTGAAGGTCTGTGGGCGGGGAGAGAAAGATGAGGGCGCTGAGGTGTATGGAAAATCGATGAAATTAGATGCAGGAATTTTTGAGCGCGTTCTTTTTGAGCGTGAGTAAGCGCTTTTGTTTGAGGTCCTCTGGTGTGTGTTTGCATGTGTGTGTGTGTGTGGCCATTAGTTTAGGGCTGTCACTATAGTTTGGACTACAAGGCAGTGTCACGAGGTGTATAGATTGGATTTTGAGTGCTGCTGTGCATGTATTTATGTGTGCAGTGTGTGTGTGAGTCACTGTTGGGTGAACTTCCACTCCTGCTGCGGCTGATTATTATTGATCTACACTCGCACCTTTCTACCACCTGCAGACTCAGGCGGACACACACACACACACACACACACACACACACACACACACACACACACACACACACACTTTCTTTTCACTTCTTCTCCAGTCCTGACAGACTCCAGAGAGGGTCTTGGAGGGCTGCTGCACGTCAGGTTGTTTGACACAGCGACTGACAGCTCTCCAATAGTCACTGTGCTCCACACAAATACACAACAGCTCCCAGGCCTCGTACATACATGGCTGACTGGCTGCATGACTGGCTGCTGGATTTGTTACTTGTCATTTGTGCGTGAGGCTGGAAACTGTCTGTCTGCCTCTCTCGGTCTGTTGGTGTGGCGGCAGAAAGACTTCAGAAGTTTTGGTAATTTCATGACTCACAAGTTTATGACACTGCAGTACATTAACCTCCGGACTCGGCAATAAAAACGAGACTGTGCAATCAGTCTGCATTTGTATTTTATCACCCTGACGTTTTTTCAAGTTGCATAAAAAAGGTTGACGCTCCTGTGAGGAAGTTTCAGTTGGTCTTGATTTTGCTGCCCCCTCCTGGACATTATATGAGGAAGTCATGTGGAGGGTAACAACAGAGACAGAAGTTGAGGGTTTCAGGGCTGCAGCTACTTTATTTAAAGTCTTACAACATGTGCATCAACTTTAGATTGAGTTACTAAAAGTCCTGAGAGTCACGCTGGTGTCCTGTGATCAATCACACACAGGATATGTAAACAATAAATCAATCAAAATAATATATTTCCTCTTCATTAGAGGTGTATGACATTCCCCACCCCACCCAAATCAAATTTGTAATGGATCTCAGTGAAGAGTGTGTTTGTGAGATCTCCATTACACTCTGTGAACAAATGAGGCCGTGCGTTTATTTTGACAGCTCTGTGAGTGAGTCATCTATCAATGCATCCATGGTAACCTGTTGAGAACAATCAATAAGGACAGGTTTTTTGTACTACAGACATTGATCTATGCGATACCTCCAAAACACAGATAGGAGTTTGCAAAAAGCTTCCCGGATCCTTGAGGAAGTACACTTTTTGATACTATGGGACTGGCTTAATTTCCCAAGGATGCCGCTTCAGGCGAAAGTGCAAAAAGCTGCAGTTTCTTAAGTGTCCACTGGGGGCTGGCTCAAAGAGCAAAGGGAGCTCGATAAGAGTCCTCATTAAAATGTCTGTTTTCTTTTAAAACATGGTGCAGAAAAAAGGGGTTTTGGTTTCTGTAACTTATCTCTTAAAGAGGGAAAACAGATTTTTGTTCTATAATTTATTTTGTCATAAATGATATTAAAAGTGTAGAGTTTGTAATGCAGGGATATGGGTTATTGGATAACAGGTGGTTACATTATATTTACAGGTTGGAGTTCAAATTCATCTTAATATTTCAATATCTTAATTACTGTGGACCTGAAATGTTGGTCAGATGTTATCTAAGCTAAATGGAGGTAGATTTGTATGTAGGCTGTGTCTGGTTCAACTGACCTGTAACCACTCGACCAGGCATGTGGACATTAAAGGGATATTCAGGCGTAAATTTAAATGAGGGTCATACGCACCGTAACACCGAATAAGACACCCCCTCGAGAGGTGAATGTTGCCAACTGTTTGCTTCTCCGGTTATACAAACTCAAGCAACAACCACACGATAGCAATACACAGCGGTCTACGTCTCCACGCGCAAACCTCAACCAAAAAGCCACTCTATAGCCACAAATAATGCTCAGAACAGCACCTAACTTCATCAACAGTACATATAGGGTCCCAGCCATAGTACTAGCCATCAAACATCTTTTTAACTTTGCCTGATTTCTTTAGCAAAGAGACTAAACACAACTAACCCACTCTCCTCCAGCAGCTGCTGTTTGTGGGGGAGCCCTTACGAGTCGATCACCAAGTGCAGCAGATCACTTCCATGAAGTAATAATCATCATAATAATCCTTGAGCAGTGATGGCAGACCAAAGGCTGGGTCTGCAGTATGCGATATAAGTTTACAGGGTCTGTGATCTGTGAAAAGTTCTGTCTCAGTTTTGACTGTTTTCTGGGTGTTTTTGTACCTTTCGACCTGTCAATCAGTAAGAGTTTGAATTTCTGTTTTAATTTCTTGAAATTTAGTTGCTTCAATTGTTGCAACAGTGCTGCATAGATCAGTTTGAGGCCCTTAATGAAGCCGTAAGAGGATCAAAAAATTCCGGGAATTAAATTCCCAATCAGTCCTCTGAGCAGATCCCCATTGTTACTGCATCTCTTACATAATCTCTTATGTAACTTGAATTCTGACCACAGCTCACGATTCATGTCTCTTGGATTTTGCTCTCTCTTCTCTCTTTCTTGACAGTTTTACGGTTTCACTCAAGTGTTATTTGCCAGCTGAAAAATCTTTAGTGTTTTGTCCCTGCCTTCAGAAGATGAGTTCTTTGTTGTTGCTGTGATTTAGCTCAGCTCTGTTATCGTAAACATCTTTTATATCAAAATGTCCTTCTGTTTTGTGCTGGATGTCTTGAACTCCCCTGCTGCTCCACCATCTTTGTGAAAGCGACTTTTTTAATCACAACAGTCCAGCATTCATCCTCATTGAGTCAGGGTCGTATCACTGAGGATTCATTAGGTTCTTTATAAAACTGGAGCCATCATTGACTCTGTCACATCCATTAGCCCGAGTTCACTTCTCCAGTCTTTTCTCTCCTTGTTTACCAATCTTCTCTTTGAGTTGTCTGTCCATCCATCCCCCTGACGGCTTTAGTAATAGACTCTACCTTAAGTTTCGATCATCCTCCCTCCCTGTCTTTTGTTGCCTCACCTGTGTCTATCTGACATCTTGTCCTCTTTCCCTTTTAACACAGGTTCACTCAGTCAGCTTTCATGTTCAGCTGATGGGGGCTTCAGTGTTGAGCTGCGATCTGAAAGGTTAAAACCACTTCATGTTTCTGGGTTAGATTTTGTGCTGATTCTTCTGGCTGTCAAAGGCGGCTGAAATCGTGTTGGGAGTTTAAAACTTATTAATTTGTTGGTTGTGTTATTGTACAAAGAGTTCTGGTGGAACAATGGCAATACAGCTGCATGGCCATTGTTCAATAGGAGGTAAACAAGCTTGTTATCCCCGGTGTGTTTCTCAGTCATTTTGAGTGTTTAAAACAAAGCCAATGGTGTAATGCTCAAAAACTGCAGTTCCTCAAGAGCCCACTTGGTGTCAGCTGTAAAACCTCCAGCAGCCACGTACACACCCACATCAAAAAGCCCCTTTTTACAGCAAAAAATAAATATGATTATGGCCCGATACAAAAGTCAGTTTTGGACTGATAAGCTCATTTTTCTGTCTGCACTCTGAACAAAGAGGGAATATTTTCACAGGGCATTTATTTTAAAGATAGAGAGATTACCGGTTCTGCAATAACAGGGCACAGCTGATCCAACTGACAGGCAGATATAGTGTAGCTGTTAGCTAGGAGGCTAAAGACCACCTCTGCACCACCCCTGCCTCTTATTTGGTTTTGAGGAGCTGCAGGTTTTAGCACTTCAGCGCTGGCTTCAGTTCTGGTAAGCCTCAAAACAACATTAAGAAGAAAAAGCTCGGTCAAGTCTGAATGTGGTTTCCTGGCAGGAGTTGGATCCCATACATCGACTGCTGTAAACATTAAGGACTCTCCAATCCTTGACAGTAGGCAACTTTCTGACACAGACTTTTCCTCTTTGTCACTCTCTCCTCACCAAACTCTTTTCCTCTTTAGTCCCCTGCTCCTCAGCTCCTTCTCCTCTCTTACCACATCTCTTATTCTCAACATTGCGTGATAACCCTCTTTCCCCCCAATCCTGCCTCGGTCCCTGAGCTCCACTCTCCCTTTTCGCCATCTGCACCTCTTCTGTCGTTACCTCTTCATCTCTGTCACTTCTCTACCTCCTGTCATCCTCCTCCTCACCGGTTCCTGTCTCTCTCTCCTCTTCTTTCTTGCCTTTGTAGTCTCTTTTCTCTTTCACTTTTTCGTTCCTCCTCCTCCTACCTCCAGTCTGTCTACAGGTTTCGGTCTCCCGGGAAGTTCAATATTGGGCTTTAAACAAAGGTTGGCGTTGTTGGCTCATACACACCTGGAGACGGAGGAATAGAGCTGCTTTATTTCCTCTGGGATTGTTGCTCATTAGCCTAACTTAAAAGAATTTCTTTAAAATCACTGCACTTCCTCTCATCAAGTGGTCTCTCCACCTCTGCCTGTTATTTGCCAGTCACACAGTTTGTTGCAAGCAACACTCCCAAACAAACACACAGGAAACCGAAGTTAGCACTCACAGTGGGAGAACAGCAGAAATTTGAACCTGACTGAGCAAAATCCTGTCAGTAAAATATCCACCTGCTCCTTTCATCTGTCCTTCTGCGAGGTACTTTTGTTATAATTGTATTACTTCCTGTCAAAAATCTGCTTTTGAGGTTGTAAACATCATGCTTTACAGTTGGAGCTTTTCCTTTTTGCATTATGAGCTTACTTTAGCTAGCACCTTTAAGGACAGACTGTGTACATGTAATGCCATGAGTTTTTCCCAACATGAATAAATTCACAATTCGACTATTATTGATAATTTCAGTTTTCAGACAGTTTGGCTCAAGATAGAATTTTGAGCAAAATGCAAGTATCATCATGCAAACGTTTCTCAGCTAAATGCTAATATTATGTTCAACAGATACAGAAACTAAGTGAAAATTGTGATAAAGTATCCTATATTAACATGCTGAAATATGCACTTTCTGTCCATATATCAAGAGTGTGTAAAAATTTGAATATTAAGCTATATCGAGTCATCAGTTTCTGGATTTGAAGGTTCCCTTGCTCACCCCTTTTATTGGCAAAGTCAATCAGTTGATCAAATTTTATTTATATAGCACCAAATCACAACAGTTGTTATCCCAAGTAGCTTTCCAAAAAAGAGCAGTTCTTGACCATGCTCATTGTTTGATGAATTACCAAGACCCAACAATAAGATGGGACAGATTTGACCCATCTCATCTCACATGAGTGACAGTGGAAAGGAAAAACTCCCTTTTACTAGGCAGAAACCTTGGGCAGGACCAGACTCATGTCAGACAGCCACCTCCCCGCCTCGCCAAGTAACATGGTCATTAAAGACAAGAGGCTCCTGTGAAAATATGATCCTTCATTTGTCAGGTTTTACCACTTAAAATGTCGGTAATGCTTTCTTTTACGGTACACCAAAAAAAGAAAAACTAGAAAATATTGACTTAGTAGTTATCATGTAATTACCAGATGATTTCATGTTGTTACAAGGTAATTACCTGGTAACTACCTGGTAATAAGTGTACCGTGAAAGGAAAGGGTTACCAAAATGTCTATTGATACATTGTTTTTTTTTTGGACACAACAACCAATCTCTCTCCAAACTCGTGCATTTTGTCATCCATTAAAAACAGTAAAATAATACACGTGATTTTTGATTCTTGATTTTTGCTGTCGGCTGTTTGGCTTCAAATCTCTGCTCAGGAAACAACAGCTGGTGTCACTGAGTTAACATCCATGTTTCATTCAGTGAAGGGTCTGGATGTGTGATTGCAGCTCTTCTGGGTAATGTCTGGGCAAGTTCAGGACTGTGCCTATTGTGTCTGTTCAAAGTTTCACAGCCATCTGTCAGATTGTTTTGAGATTTATCGGTTTGTACCATCTTTATTTGAAAAAATTAACAACACAACTGCAGCAATAGTAAGAGCTTTGTGTTTGACAGCTGTGTTCAAGGTCAATTAACGAGAGAACTTTGAATTTCCTTGACTTAAATCTTGTCTGCCTGGAGCACAGCATGAACTGCCGGGCAATTTCTTTGATTTTTCTTGATTTGGGGTATGGTGGTTTGGTGTTTCTCTTTGTACAGGAGCTTGAAAAACCAAGAATGATTAAGCCATCTGCATGATTGACCAGATTTAAATCCACCTGAACAAATCATGCAATCATCTTGAGACATGCAGAAGACTTATAATGATTTTTTCATGTTGATAAAAACCTGCAGAACAAGGAAAAGTTTAGTCCTGGAGACACAAACGCACACACACACACACACATGCAGAGTAAGATTGTGTGTCATCAGAAGCTACAGAGGTGTTGACCCGTCCTATCATTGCCTGGTGAAGCAGATGGAGAGGAGGGTTTTCTCCACTCATGTCCACTAATAGACTGTGGAGAAATTCTTCCGCACCCATTGTATTCTGTCGTTCACACAACAACAAGTACAAACACACACTGTTGGAGAGGACTCTTGAAGTTCTCACACAGCTGAAGGGGTTGGTACAGCCTGACATTGGTACATACACAGAAAGAAACAGAGGAAGGATGGATTCTTCTGAAATTGGAGGAGCCGTGTGAAGTTGTTCACAGAGAGGTGAAGAGGTGGCAGATGAGTGAAAAGAACATAGACAGGTGCTGCAGGAGCTTGTTAGACAGCTGTGCGAGTTTCACAATGACAGGATGCATTAACAGGAATGGATCAACCTTCCCCTTACTTTCTAGCTTTTTTCTTTTGACCCATATTTCTTTCTTTTACACCTTTACTTCATTTTTATATCTTCACACTGTCAGTCAGCTGGAGCGAGGCATCATTTTGGGTCTGTCTGTCTGTCTGTCCGTCTCTTTCTTATCAACCTTTTTTCTTGAATGGAAGTTGAGGGAAATCTTTAAATTTGGCACGCAAGTCCACACGGACCCAAGTATGAATCAATCTACCAACAGGTCAGTCTTTTAACTGTTTTTATGAAGCAGTTTTATGAAGTCAAACTGAAGCAGTAAACTTCAAAATAAAAGCATAATTTTACAATAGAGATAATTAAGCAAGCTGAACACAGGTCGGATAAATATCAACAAATGAAAGCAACTATTGTTTCATGAGACAGTGTCCTGGTTAGGACTTTTGGTCCCAGGGCTGGTGTTCAATAATAAATTTGAGTATTATCAATGAATCATAATATGCAAGTTAACTGGTTAAATCTATGAAGTATGGTGTTTAGTTTAGCCTTTTCTCAGTTTGACAGCCGTGGTCCTGCCTCAACCATCACCTTTGTTTGTGTGTCTACTGTTTGTTCATGTATAAGTGGCTTTGTCAGTAGGGACTGGTGATAAATTATAGTTCACGATGTATCGTCAGAAAAATCCTCCATGATAAATATTTGCCATCTCATGATAAATACGATAAATGCAAGCTGATGACACAAGCGCGAGTGACGGACTCGCAGCCAAAGCCCACACAGAGCAGAACAACAAACAAACATGGCTGAAGGTAATGAAGAAGACGTTTCTGAGCAGCTTGTTACTGAACGAGGCTCCACATGAGGGATTTCCTTCAAGATTGGGGTTAAGATGAATGCATGCCTGACATCAGACAGTGGATCTGCTGCTGTTCACTCTGTGTAATAAGAGTTTTTAACAAATGTTAAAAAGGTTTTCACATTTGAGACTTGTTTGATGTCGTTCGTTTTCTCAACAACCGACCGCTCAAACTTGTGGTTATCTTATTTGACTATTCCAACTGGTGTTCTCAAGACAAAACGAATCAAAAATATAGATGAATATTATAATATCTCATCCTGATAATTTTTTAGCCCATATCGCCCATCTCTATTTGTCAGGTTGATGTGTAGTTTAATATACGACAACCCCAGAAGTATGTGATTGTCCAGTTTGTGTGCTTCACAGACTCCTCCTGCATCATTTTGTTCTTCCTGGTTGCCTCTTTGCAGCCACCCTCCTTCATACAGTCACCTCTTCACAAAGCCTTAAAGCTAATTCGATGCTACCCTGAAGCTTTTTATTCCATCATGATGAATAAATAAAGTCAATCAATGCACATTATTTCCCTCCCTTTTTATTTCATTTATTCTTGTCTTTTACCTGTTTTTACCTTCTTTCAGGTAAAAAATGCATGTTTCTGTTCATCCGTGCAGCTCCATCCCCTTCCTCTCTTTTGCATTCTTCCTCTGTCACCCTAATCCCCCTTTCTTCCGGTCTCTCTCAGCGCTTTGAGGTTGTTATTGACAGCGTTCGTGTATTGATCTCTACCCGTCCATTTTTCAATCTCCCTCTGTGTGACAACTCTCTCTCTCTTTCTGTCTTTAAGGAAATCTGTATTGACCCACCCCCTCTCTTCATTCTCTCTTTGCTCCCATCCCATGTTCTCAAATTAATGGTTTTCCAATCATACAAGTCCACTCACAAGAGCAGTCACACTTCCATCTCCTAACCCTCCATCCATCTTTCTTTTCTTCTTCCTCCCTCCAGTGTGTGTCTGTGTGTGTGTGTGCGCATGTGAGTGTGTGCAGTCTCCACACACTGCAATGACTGCAGCCAATCCCATTAGCCAGATGAGCAAGCCTCCAATGAAGGGGAAAGCATAATGACAACACCAGTGTCCCTCTCACACACACACACACTCCCCTTCTTCGTCTGTTCCCTCCATTCATCCGTCACTCTCTGAGTGTGTTGGTGCGTGTGAGGGAATCTGGGGTGTGTTATTACTGCTGAGTGTTTGGGCTGTGTAATTTAAAGGCTAGCTCAGAGTCTATCATTCAGTGTGTGTTTTATTCAGGTGTGTTTCAGAGAACAATGTGTGTGTCTTTGAGTGATCCATAAAAGTGAAACGGTCACAGTCCACATTCACTTCCTGATTGGTCCACAGCCTTTGAAAGAAATACTCTCCAGTTGGCAGTAAAGCATTTTTTAGGTGAAGCTGTTCACCAAATAGTAGATTTTATGAGGCTTCAGCTTTCAGCAGTCAGGGTTTGACTCCCAGCAGGGCCTCCTCAGCCTGAGAATATATGGTTCTGGGAAAGATTTTGCATAAAAGTCTGCACCAATAACACAAAATGTTGGATTTTCTGCTTCTGTGGTGGTTTTTCAAGACTTTTTTTCCATTCTCAGATGCACACTGAAGCATGCGCGCCTGCAGATGATAAAACCCAGCCAACTTTTTTCCTTTCCATTTCATTTTTTTTTTTCCTGCTCCTCTCTCTGGCTTTGTTAAACTCAATTTCTTACTGTCAAAAATCCACTCTACAGTCAAAACACTGTTTTCTGGCTCTACCTGAGAAACAGGTTTACAAAATTTGCACTTTTACTATGAATATGCAATCTAGCACTGGTCTGTTAAAGAGGAGTGAGCCATTACTCTTGACCATCCTCCTCTAAGGCAGTTTGAACTGGCCAATCAGACGCAGCATCTGTATCAGCACCTGATCTGCAGAGACACCAAAACGCTGCAGTGCTGGAAAAAGATGCTGTTCTAATTTCCACAATTAGCCGAGTTTGTCACACACACACACACTTCAGTGATGTTTTGCCTCATGAAAGAAGCATTTGCTTTCAGTGTGTAAGCACATACTAAGGGATCAAGTGCACTGGGATTTTTAAGAGCAGGACCTTTTATGGTACTGAAAGGTGATAAGTTAATGTTGCAAAACACAAAAATTTGCAGCTGATTGTGAATGGATCAGCATTAACACTGACAGATATGATAGAATTGATGGTGTATTTAGACCTGAAATTGAAACTTTAGAGTCTTTCTTCCTTTTTTCTGCTTGGTTACTGTTGTCAGATGCTTTGATATTTGCATCTTTCTTACGTTAAAATTTCTTATGGCTTTTATAACAACTCAAGGAGACCCATTTCTCCACTGTTCCTGGGATAGACACCTGATGAGCCTGTTTGATCTGCTGTTCCATGATCTCATTACAGGCAGAATTGGTGGGTCTTAATCTGGTCCAGGACACATGAGGGTCCACACAATGTCTGTTGACTATTGCATGTTGGACCGCCTTAATATCTGGCCCGAGTGCTCAGATCTCAACTGAGGTATGTTGATACTCAAAGTATCCATGGCTGTCCATTTGGACTGCAAGCTTCAAGGACAATAGGTAAAGTCAGGTATAAACAGGTCCTGGATCAGCCTGCCACACATTTCTTCATGCAGGACAGAGGTTACAAATCATAGTCTGTAGCTCAGAGTCAAATTTACTTGGTGGAAATCTTGTATTTAGGTTATAAGTATCTGTCATCAGGCCCTCATCCTGACCTTTAATCATCTGAAAAAATGTGCATTTGTTATCAGATTAAGTGTAAACTGCTCTAATTGTGTTTGTCTAATTTTTCCCGTTTAAATTAAACAAATCAACAATTCCTGCTGCGGTTTTCATTAGTGCCAACTTTGGTGTAAAAGAGCCCTCCTCCCTGCCTGCATTACCTGCAGGGTCATTACCTGTGCTAATGTGTTGATGCAGTATAAGGGGACAGTGTCTTTTCATCTTCTTAACTAGCTCCATTAAAATCCATTCAGCTAATGAGCCGTCACTCAGTCCTCCTGTGATTAAGACCTAATGCTTGATACAGCGCCCTCACCGTCAAGCTCTCTGCTTCTATTTAGCACCACTGTGACTCCATTACTGTGCAACGCTCACCCAGACACAGACGTGAGATCATATAGGAGCCTAAAGGGAAGTGTCAAGGATGAATTAATCAGAGGTTACCAGCCAACAACCACCAGGGTTGAAAATGGATGTTAATGTGCAAGTGAAGTTCTTGGATTGCCCAGTTGAGGATGGCTGCAAATACCAAGAAAAGCCAAGAGGCCCCAAATTAAACTGCAGATTTTTACAGCAGAGTTAAACAGGTTTACAGCCTGAAAGGTATGCAGAGATTTTTACCTCCGCCAAGGAGGTTATGTTTTCGGTAGCGTTGGTTTGTTTGTTTGTTTGTCTGTTAGCAACTTTATGGAGAAAGTTACAGACGGATTGACCTAAAATTTTCACCAGAGGTGCGTTTCAGCCCCAGGAGGATCCCATTACATTTCGGTGGTGATCCGGACAAAATTCTGGATACTGTGATCCAGAACACACACAAATAAGGGTGTTGTTGGAATTTTCAATGCTGAAAGGTAACCAATGGGCGGCACGGTGGTGTAGTGGTTAGCACTGTCGCCTCACAACCAGAAGGTCCTGGGCTTGAATCCTGGTCAGAGCACCTCTTCTTTTAGGAACATTATGAACAGTGAACATACCAGTTTAAACACAAATAAAAGTTGATAAAAGACACGTAACACTAAAAGTTTTGGTGTGAATCACAATATAAGGGGGGACATGAGCTGCTTGGCGGAGGTCTGCACTCTCCGAGTGCTTTTCTATTTTTTTTTTTTCTTTTTTTTGTGTGTAACATAAATCAGGGGTTAACATTTCTCTTTAATGCATCCCTTTTGAATATGTGAAGGTTAACTGCTAGAACCTGCAGGCCAGGTGTGCTTCATCAGTGCCAATGTCTCCACCATTGATCTCAGTCAGTCAAAGCTTGTTTTGGCACAGCAGCATGTCTCACATGTGACTTCCCACTCTTCTCCACTAAAGATTTAAGTTGAGTCACCCCTCCCCCCCTGTCTTTTTTGTACTGTCTTATGACAGTCCTGCTTATTATTAATTGTGAATAATTTATGCACATATTGTTAACACAGGGCTGTTTCTGCAGCTGCTTGCTGACACTCACCTCCTTGCGCCAATTTCAAGCATTAGAAGCAAACGTGCTGATAGTCTAGTGGTCTAAGGGCTCCACATATAGAGGCTTCCATCCTCGGTGAAGTGGTCGGTGGTTCAACTACAGGCCTCAACCTTTTGCTGCATGTCTTCCCCTACTGTCTGCGCCCTGCATTTCCTCTCTTTAAGTGTCCTGTCCTATAGAGGTGAAAATACCCAAAAACTTAACTTTAAGAAAGCTAGTAAACGACTTGTCAGTCTTGTAGCTGTCTCTTTTTTCTTTGCTCTGATGTGACGTGTCCTTCTGTAACGGGAACCAACTTGAGTGTCATGATAAGATGCCAATCAGTGACTTTGAGCAGTCTCACTGTGTCGTGACTGTACGAGGGCTGCAGGTGTGAAGGACAGAGCAAAGAGAGACACAGTGGGTTGAAGGAGGTGAAACTTTAGCTGTATATGATCAAATTCAAGCTTCGATTTTGCACCCACAGCTCCTTCGAGATTTAACTGTGCATCTGTTGTTTTTACTTCAAAGCTTCACTTTAAATAAGAGATGCACTGAGTGCGACTTCTTGCTCGTATTGCAATACATTTCTCACAAAGAAAAGTGTTGCAATATCCAGCAGCATCAAAGAGTATGTTTTTAAATGACTGTACTGAGGAATCCACTGAATGCAGACCCTAATGGGTTAAATACAGGAAAGTACTCAGCTTGGATTAAGTCAGTAATCACTTTAGCAGGTTAACCAGACAGTTACCTTTTGAAAACTTCCTTTGAAAGGATTGCATTTTCCTTCTTTTATATCAAATTACCTGCTTCTTGGAACAGTGCACAGTGGTGAATTTAATTAAGCTATAGTCTGACCACTTATGTTACATTCATCCTAACAGGAAACTGTCAAACTTTCTCATTTTCCCCCTCACTCTGAGTAGTATCTGTCATTTCTGCTCCTTGAAGCTGCCTCAGTTCAAAAGGTTGCTCTTCTCTTCCACATCTCCACAAAAGAATCTTTTCCTCTCGCAGTCTTATCACAAAAAAGTTTTCCATGCTTCCAGCTGCACCTCTGCCCACACACACATGCAAATCTAAACTCACACCTGTCCGAGAATGACAGTACGAACTAATGATCATTGGCTATGATGCGGTGGTGACACAAAGACACAAACAAAGCAGCCACATCTGCCGCACACGTGGATTTTTTGATGATCAAGGACGCCACCTGAGTCTCTCATTCATTTATTTACCCTCCCCTCTTCCTCCCCCTGCCTTCCTCTCCCTTTTCCCGTCAATTATATTCACTTCACAAGTGCTCTGCTGGCGGGACCTCGGGGTGCTGTTGCCAAGGCGCTTTTGATTTAATATCTGTCGTGCATAGGGAAATTTTTTTTTTAAAAAGAGCGGAAAACAACAACAACAACATGCCTTAAGGTTCACATAGAGCCTCGCAGCAGGAGAGGGGGGGCATTTGTCCCCGCTGGGCAGATTAGATGTGTGCACCCAGTGGGTGCTCGGGGACCCACCGGCACTCCATCGTCTGGGGGATGAGACACAGCTTGAATACATAAATGAATGATCCATTTTCTGTCCCCCTGCTCCGCTCTGAATCTCTCTCTGGATTGGAAGGAGATGTTCTCTGACTGCTGGGCCCTCTTGACTCCTCAGCACTCGCTCTCCATCACTGTCTCCCTCCTGTTTTTTCTCCAACTTTTCTAACTCGTGAGTGGCTCAGAGGGCAGATGGAGAAACAGAACTTTGAGCCAGATGGAGCAAGATTACAGTAAGACACAGTCGATGTCACTTTATAAAACTATGACAAGAGTTAGCTGTGAAACAAGACTATTCCACTTTTGAATATGAACATTTCAATTCAGAACTCATAATTCACTCATTAGTCGTTCAGCACTCCAGCTGTTTGTCTTAAATCTGACACAGCAGTCGTGCTCTCAATCACTCCTGATGATGGCGACAGCTTCTCCTTGATTTTAAACAGCAACCACACAGAACATTATTGCTCAAATCTGATAATGGTTGTCACTCCCTGAAATATCCACAACTTTGAGTGTAATTTATCCACAAAGAAAGGAACGTTTGTGAGAGGTGCAGCATCACCCACACTTTTACAAACTGTCTTAGTAGGAAAAAGTCACTAGAGTAGTAGTCCAAAGGTTTTGAGCAGAGACGTGTCAAACTATCCAACTATTCAGCATACTGGGAAAAACTAAGCTATAGCAAAACGTTTGGTTACCTGCTCTATATGTAGAGCACCATGGGATAACGTGTTGTGACTTGGAACTCTAAATCAAGATCTATTGATTGGTTAAACTTAGAGCAGCAAAATACAGTGTTTTAAACTTTTACATCATCCTTCCCAGTTTTTATATTAACTCAAATACCAAGCCAGGTTTTTCAAACTTGAAATGTATCTGCATAAAATGGGATTGTCTTATATTCATGGTTTGGTGATCAAATGTCTATTTTTGCTACTTCAGATGGTGCCACCTTTCTGTGAAAATAGGGGTTTCATGCATACCTATTTTTTACTAGTTGCCAACTTTTTCAAAGTAGTGCACAAATAGTAGGTTTGTGAGAGAGATGCAGAAAGAATGGTAACGGTGCTCAATGGAAATTGTGTTCTGTGATGCAAAAATCTCAAGGTATCCACAGAGAGGTTTTGAACAGTTTGGCTAGTTGACATTTGCTTACAGCACTGACTACAGGTTCAAGTCATCAGCTAGTGGATTAGTTGTTGGATTCCAACTATGAAGCAAGTGTGCCCTTTCTTCTTCGTAATGTGTTGGGCTAGTCATTGCACAACTATTTATCATTTTGCTCTGTTTGGATTTGTAGCAGAGACTTTCTCAGCTGCTTTATTCAAAAGTGTGGAAAGGGTTTCTGCAGGGGCTTCTTTAGTCAACTCACATGCTGAATGAGACGAACATCGATCAGAAACACCCCTTTGGCTGTTGCTACTTTCACCGCCTCTAGATTTCCATCCAAAACGTTTATTCCTCACACGGTTTCAACGATTAATTCAATCCATGATGAAGAATCTGATCCAGCTGTCTTTTTTTCTCGATCTCAGGGTTCTTCATAACTACATGCTGTGGCGCATTGTGGCGGCCCTCAGTGAACACTTGTCCACCGCCTTCAGGAGCACCATCCACGAATTTTCCCGGGAGATCGACGGCACCGAGCAGCAGCTGGAGCTGGGCCGACTCTGCCTGACTCAGGCCAACAAACACTTCGGCATGGCTCTGGGAGCTCTGTTTGTCCAACAGCACTTCTCCTCACAGAGCAAAGCCAAGGTACGAGGTCTGGAGATTTAACACAACAGTCAGGAGACTCTGCCAAGAAAAACAGGGAATTCATGGTCAACCCAGAGGCCAGGGCCAACAGAGCAGCAGTAAAACAACTTTACAGTTGTCCATTCTCAGGCACTTATTCATTCTCTGTGGCCAAACAGAACCGAGTAACCAACCAAACGATGGTATGACATGAAAGATGGATGGATGGGTGGCCTGTTTCAGAATATTCAGTACGTTATTTATTAAACTGGGACAAGAGATCATGAGTCATCAAAACGCACCTGCAATATAATGCAAAATATGGACTCAATTGTTATAAATATTGTGTGTTGAACTCAGGTTTTGCAGGATAAGGACAATCAAATTTAAGATCCTAGATTACAAAGAGAAAATCACCTAATTTCAGTCATTTACCTCCTCTGGGTTTGTGCAATACATTTGCAGCACTTGCGTCTTGGTTGCAGGATACATGCTCATAGTCTTTGTATTGGGAGTACATGGAGTTCCAGAAATATATGAGGAGATGGATGTTCAGAAATGGTAGTTGGCAACTTTGTCCTTTGTCGTGATTAGCACTGGGCATGTAATGTACAGAGGGTTTATGAGAGTTTTGGTTGAAATTTGAAAAGTGGGATCTTCTAGAAATGCACATGCTATGAACGGTATTTTCACAGAATCAATATTCCATTTCCATATTAAGTTAATTGGAGAAAGCAGCTTCAAGCAGTCAAGCATGTACAGTGCAGGAGCAGCAACCTCAATGTTAAAAGAGTTTTGAGGCTGTGTACAAGCTTATCAACACATTTTGATGGTTAACTACTTAGAGTAAACTGAAAATAGAGGAAAGATGACTTATCATCTGTGCACATTTAAATTTGGTGCCAGCAGCACATCCTAAAACAGCCTGGAAAGGAGCATCTTCATCATTTTGTCGCATTACCTCTTCTAGTACCAACACCTTCTAAATTTTGGAAAACTAAATGCTGACATTATGTCAAATTCTTGCCTATACAGCTGCTCAACAGTTTAGAGACTCCATTTTTGCATGTCTTGTTTTATTATGCACCAAATTGTTACAATGGATGACAAGTTGTGAATACAAACAGACAATCTTAGCACAAGGACTCTTCCACTACAGAGACATGCTATTGTAATATGTGTAGATTGGGGTTTGACATTGTCTTACTGTATTGTAAAAAGTCTTTGTCTAGATGGCAGCATATGTCGCTCCAGAGCATGAATACTTATCTGTTTACACATGTTGAAGGACACTTGGCTTTAGCCCTTAACTTTATACAACAAACTGAAAGACTCGTGTTTCAAATCTTTGTCCAAATCTCCTCAGTTCAGGTCTTGTAAATTTTATGTGATTCTGTTTGCTGTGTTGGCATAATTAATGTGGCTTCCTGCAGATGTTGACTTAACCACCACTGATTTTCTTGCACTTAAAATGTGAGAAGCATATTGACTCACATTGAGTCCTGGTTGGACACAAAAACAGAACACACAACATGCCGGAGGTCGGGACAAGCTTGTTTTGTCAAAGCAGAAACTGAGCAGAGTTTTTTTTTTTTTTTTTCTTACGGTGCTCGGGCTTTTACTGACAGCGTTTTATTAACCTAGGTCTTTCCATCTCTGTGCTGCTATAGTAATTATATAGTGATGAGTACATTTCTGCTGTTTCCTAGGAGTGGAAATTACAGGGAAAAGTGTAACAGTGTGAAACTCGAACACAGCAAGAAGAAAAATTCTTTTGACTTTGTTTGACTGCTCTTTCCACAATCCTCTCCGACAACAAGTTTACCATTTACATCACCATTTGAAAAGTAGATCCATGGCAACGCTAGAGCACGTCAGTCATTTTTGTAGTTTTCCTTCTTTTCTTCTTGAAGCTTGTAGTTTTTTCTCTCTCTGAGAGCAGCAAAGCGGGGTAGTGGAGTATTTTTGACATGGATAGATGATTTTGATTGATTCGTGTTCTGGGATTTAGAAATTCAATCAATGTCAGTCACAACCGCCTCTCACTCGCAGCTTTCTTTCTTTTGTTTCCATTTCACTCTCAGACTGGGTCAGTCTCTGTTAATCCCCCACCTCTCCCCTTCTCTTTCACCTTAATCCTCCCCGACACGTATTGTTATCTCAGCCTCGTGTCCACTCGAGGACATGGGGATGTGGTTCCCAATGAGATTTCTAACCTCTCTAACCCTGTGCTCTGTCTTTAAGCCCTCCATCATCTCCCTTTCATCATTTTCTTTTACACTAGCACGGTCCACCCTCCACGTTTTATCTTACTCTCAGTTGCCTTTCTTCTTCTTCTCCATCTTCTCTTGCAAACTTTTAAATCTCTGCAAAAGCTCACGACTATGAAGCATAAAGCAAGTCTAACACAAGTTCTCAGGGCTAATTACTTTCTATGTATCACTCTATAATTGAAATTTAAGTTCCCATGCTCTTCATGTTCTGTTGAAGATCCTGATCTGATACTGAAGTTTAAATTTTTAAAAATGCTTTGAGCTAGTGGAGCCTCTCTGATTAATATAAGAGCCGAGCAGATATTGAAGGATCATGGCTACGGTTTGAGAGGTTTTTACAAGATGAGGTGCGGGCTCGTCTTCATTAAAAGTATTGTGTGTGTGTGTGTGTGTGTGTGTGTGTGTGCGTGTGTGTGTGTGTGTGTGTGTGTGTGTGTGTGTGTGTGTTCTGCAGAGTTTCTAATACCATCAGTACAAATCCTTTAATTTTTACTATAGATCAGTTTATGTAACTCAGCACCTGATCACTCGCGGGTCGAGACTGTAGGGGTTCATATTTCACAATATGATACTATAGTCCAGGACTCCAGGTCCAAGTTGAGTCTTAATGCTACGTTCCAGTTACCTCAGTAGTCAGAGCTGGGAATGACGTTACACCTGAGTTGACGGCGTTCCAGTAAACAAGTCGGAAAACCAAGATGGATGCCTACTGTTAGCCGTTGTTAGCTGTTGTTAACAATTGTCAGCTGTCGTTAGCAGTTGTCAGTTGTTGTTAGCCGTTGTCAACTGTTGTTAGCTATACCAGTTGTAAACAACACATAACACAGTATTTTACTCTTACAAACACCATAACACCGTGTTCACAGTTAGACGTTGGGCAGTACAACATATGAAACACATTTAATTTCACAGAAAGAAAAGAGAAGTGCTAATAAATAATACACTACAAGAGCTTTCACTGTTACTCTTTACTGTTGATGCGCTGCACTGCCATCTTGGACTATGACGTCATCAAGGTGGTGATGGTGAGGATCGTCCTACTTTCTGAGTACTTTCGGAGCTTGGAAATTCCGACTTCCAAGTACAACTGGAACGCAGCATACGTCCTCGGTGTTCAAGTCTGAGTCACCAGAGAAGAATGTGACTCGAATCCCCATCACTCCTCATTACATGTGATCAAGTTCAAATGCCAAGTGCCAGGTCCTCGGTGTTCAAGTCTGAGATACCAGGGAAGAATCACAGTAGAGTCATGAATATTCAAGTCAGATTATCCACCAGAGAGGAATTCATGTTGAGCCTGGGTGGAGTCCTTATAAAGTGTAGTTGGATCCAAGTTGGCTTTCAGATCCTCAGTGATCAAAACCGAGTCAAGTACAAATCACAAGAGAAGCATTCATGTTAAGTCTGAGGTGAGTTTACATGATTTTCAGTTGAGTCCAAGTGGACTTGAAAGGATTCAGTGTAAATCCTAGTCAAACCAGAGTCACCTGCAAAGGGTTAGAAACGAGTCCCAGTCTAGTCCACATTACTTATGACAGTTGAGTCCAAGTCAAGTCTCAAGTCCTCAGTTGGAGTCACAAGAGAAGAATTAGAATCACGTCTGAGTCAAATCCTTCGTACTTGCGGGTTGAGAACAAGTCAGGCGAGTCACAAGAGGATAATTTGAGTCAAGTCCAAGTAGACTCTTCATTCCTTGTGCTCAAGTTAGTGTTAAGGCTCATGTCTGACTGGGCGATTTGGCCAAAAAGATGATCACGATATACTTTGTCATATTGTCCGATCTCGATTATTATCACGATTATTTTTAAACTGCCAGTTTTAAAGCATCTGTACTTAAAACAAAAAAATAAATAGATAAATACTAAATAAGATGTTAAATAACTTTTCTTCTCAACAATAACATCTTTGGAGGATGATTCAAAGTCATGGCTGATATCTATGCTGCTCTCAGCTCCACGTTCGGTTACTCTGTTTACTTGTCCAGCAACTTATAGAAGTGAGCAGGAAAAGCTTGACTCTGATTGGCTGTTGTAATGCACAGTTTCGCCAAGTTTGATCGAGTAAATAAGCTAACAGCTATACCGTGATCGGACTGAAATTTATCACGATCATTAATCCCGATCATATCATCGCCCAGTCATAGGCTCATGTCCTCAATGTAAAGTCTTAATCACCATGTGTTAACAGAGCAGATTTCTACAATGCCAAGTGTTCAAGTCTAAATTGAACTGAAGTTATCATGAAGACTGCAAATCTAAATCGAGTCCTCATCACTTGTGGTTGACTCTAAGTTGACTCTTAAGTCTTCAATATTCAAGTCCAGGTCAGGCCCATGTCCGTGGAAGAGAAGAGTGCATTTGATTCAGCCTGTGATTATCACATCGACAAAGTGATAGTACTGTGTGTCATTTGTAAATGAACTCCACACATCTCATAATGAGGGGCTGCACACTTTCATCTGCTGCAGTAAAATAACTTCAGGTGTTGACAAACTCCAAAAACATCCACATCCCAACTGTTGTGAAAGCGGGACCGTTTTAGGAAGGGTTGTTCCGTGTCATTCTGTAGATCTCAATCAGTATGTGATTAAAGCTGTTCACAGTTTTGTATATATTTGTTAACGTACAGTCTAAATGTAACTGTCTGGCTTTTTGCTTCCACTTTGATCAAACTTGGCTCTTTCTCGGTAATCATGAATTGAATATACTGAGAGCTGTAATTCTATTCCAAGACCAGGAGCACACTGATCATCTCATCTATTAGTCAAAGACATCACTTTGTACTACACTGGATGTCCATGCAGGTTGGACCGCATTATCAACAGGAGAGACTCCAGACACCTTGCCAGAGTTGAATGTGTGAAGTCTTGACTGACTCACTGATGCTGCTTCCCTCAGCATGAGCACAAATTAATGAGCTTCAGGAACTGAAGCTGAGAGACAGCCGACAAAGACAGAGCGAGGGAGACCGGCCTTCTTATTATCCTCAGTCACCAACCTAGACGATTCTAAAGGACAAAAAAGCTAGCGCTGTAAGAGTCCTATGCCAGTTTGTGTTCCTGGCTCCTTTGTCAGAAACGAACATTGATTATGAGCCAAAGATTTTCTTATTCCCACTTTAATCAACTGCACTTGTCTATAAATAACTTGGTTTAAGGGAAAGACCATAGACTGTATATACTATGGACAACTTGGTTCCGCCTCCCTCTTGTATACTGATTCGAAGCCAAAAAGCTCTTGTCAACATGTCAACATCACAAGCAGGGGGGAGAAAAATTTATGTTCTGTGTGATAAATTTCTAAAGTTTGTCCACAGCTCCATAAGCTTTGCTGGCGGAGGCGGGATTTATGACCTATACTGCAGACCATCAACAGAGGGTGCTGTTCTCGGAGTGGCTTCACCCAGCAAGGAGGCAGACTCTGTCCATTCTATATACAGTCTATGGGAAAGACCATGATCAGAAAATGAGCTCTGTTTAAAAAAACAAAATAATCCTTCTAAAGTTTAGAGGAAGATCTCAGTTTAGGCTCGAAATCACTTAATGATCAAATAAAACACTGTTATTCTCAAACACATGCTCCATTTTACTTGGACAGGTTCTGGCCAAGTCATGATAATACAATGAATCACATGATAATACAATAAATCACAGTCTGGTATACCAGTCACAGAACTGGTATAAAAGTACATGGGAAAATAGGGTACAGGTTATAAAAGCAAAGCTCCCAAAAAAAGCTCCCCAAATGCATATATCAATTTGAACAAAGACCATGGGCTCTATTTTCGTTCGCGCCGGTGAGGCGGCGGAGGGCGGCGAGCCCCGCGCAGTTGTATTTTCGTCTGGCGGAGCCCAGCGTAAGGCCAATTTGGTATTTTCGTGGCATGAGCCGCACGGAGGCGAGCCGAGATCCGCCAAGCTGGGCGTGGTGGTGTGGCAGGGGGAGGTGTCGACAGAATCAGCTGGCGCAGTGACATTTTCGTGCTCGCCAATGGCGTGTAAAGTGCGCTGAAAGCTCTCCGATTCAAACCTGGTCAGCTTTCAGTGCAAGGCGGAACGCAGCTGGTCTTGTAGTATTTTGGTAGACCGGCGGCGTATCGACATACGTCACTGATGCCTCACCGGCAGGTTTCCACAGTGTCAGGCACATTTCAGTGCAATAAATAATCATCATCAACTATTAATCTGAGTCAGCACATACATTTAGATCTATATCGATATATTCTGATCTATATCTGATCTGATGAGCGCGTTTGGCACGCGTTTGGACACACAACCTGACCGAATCAACACAGCTGAAACCACATTAAATTAAATTAAATATCTAGTAAATAAACACACATGATGAAGTTAACAAGATATGTAATTCGTCTCCCTCCTTTTCTTTCTTCCTCTTCCTCTTATTTCTCGCACAGCTCGACCTGGACACGTCTCCGTGTCCTCTGTCCGTCTTGCTTGCTGCTGCGGCTGAACAGATGATTTGTTTCAGTGCTCAGATGCGTTATCTACTTTAAGCCGACATACGGATATTATAATATTCAGTTTTGTGAGCCAAATTTATTTTATATGCCAACATCTATGAAAGAAAGAGCCAGGCCACGGAGCGCAATGCGTCATTTACGCACAGATGGTTCCGATTTTAATGCCTTTTTGGAGTTTATGTTGTGATCTGTGCGCTCAACCCACCTTTGTCACGTGAGGTTTGAATATATGCAACTTTATGTGAGTGTCTTTATTTGTGGAAAAGGGTGTTTGTCTTACCAGTGGGTCCAACATTACGCACACCAAATCCATCTGTGCTCAGATGAGAGAGTGTGGAGGACACTTGTTGAGCAGCTGCCCTCTGTCGCCATCGTGTGGCATAACTGTCTTCAGACATCTCTTGATCTCTTTGACTACTTCATGAAAATAGTAATACGCCTCGCCTGTGGCGGATTTAAAGGCGAGGAGAGGAGCTAATGTGATTGGTGAAAACAGGTCTCGGCTGTGTTAAACCCCTATACGCCCTCTCGCCTCCCCTTCTATGATTTATGCTGCCGGGAGGAGCTGAGTTAGGGAGGGGGGATACTTACACCGGGCTGCGCGGCTCACCAAAATACCAAAATGTGCTTGGGAACGCCTTGTCAGCGCGGCGGATCTGATTGACGCTGCGCTTGCGGCAGATCTCCGGCGAAGCACCAAAATAGAGCCCCATGAGTCAAATTAACTCGAAGTTTTGATTAACCTGACCCTTGAAAAGAGTTGTTGAGTCAACCCAAAATTTTGGTTAATTTGAATAGCCCAACAATCTGGGTCAAAATAACCCAATAAGTAGTCTGTCCCTTTTCAACCCTGGTATTTGGGTCAAAAACAACCCAGGTTGGGTTGTTTTTGACCCAGGGGTTTTTAGAGTGCAACAACACTGGAGGAGACTCTCGACTATGGAAGTGGGTTGCACAGGGTTGCATGCAGGTTGCACAGTATTTGCTTTGGAGACACTTAAGCTCTGGAACAGTCCACTGGTCAGTGTGCTGAAGCTGATTCTTACAAGAGAGGATTAGGGCCACTGGGGGAAAAGGTCCAAACTACTGTCTGTACTTTTTTATTATTACTCTGAGAGAAAAGTCAGAATTGTGAGATTAAAGTCGGAATTCTGAGTTTTTTTCTCAGAATTCTGTTATCTTTCTCAGAATTTTGACTCGTAACAATAAATATATAATTGACTTTTTTTTCCACTGACCCTAATTTTATACCTCTACTTTAACACCTGAAACACATTTTTACAGTCTCTCTTCTTTTGCTGAAAGTAGCAACACTCATTACCAATAGTTTAAAAAGTCTATTTTATATTAAATTTTGTGACAACGTTTTTATACTAAAACACACCTGGAGGAATATCTCCAAACTTAACGGCTCTGAAAGATGTGGGGAATCTGGGCAACAAAAAGGAAAAGTCATAATCTCTAGGGAAACAGAAATGACTCTAAAGTAGAAATCACTGCATGGATTCAAATTCCTTCTCAAGTGACAATATTTGAGAACATAGTTTAGCCCTGTGTCCACAAATAACAAATAATAAAAACCATAACATGCAGAGAGGAGACCATGTAAAAACATATACAGGTTTCTGAGCAACATCTGCTGCTGCCCCAACAATGACTTTTTAGGGCAGGAAAAGTTTTTTGGAAAACAGGGCCAAACTATATTTGACAACAGCATGGCTTTGCCTGGAGTTATAATTATCAGACACACCAAAAAATATTGGGAATTATGAAATGAGAAGTGCCACTTGGATTAGAAAAAATCAAATATTGGTAAATCTCCAGTATGTGAATGTTAACAACACCAAATCTTACAGCTCAGTGCAAAGTAAATAAAGGGGTAAAAAGTGAGGAAACGATGACTGAGGGACAGTATTTACACTGCATGAAAAAAAAGGGGCAAAATGTTGGTTCAGGGCCTTTTAAACTTCTTACAATATGATTTGATCTTCTTCCAGGTACAGGAGCTGGTAGAGGACATAAAACACTCCCTGGACCTCCGGCTGCAGGAGCTGGACTGGATGGATGATGCCACCAAGGAGGCTGCCAGAGCAAAGGTTCAGAGCCTCACTCAGCCTCTGCATCGCAAACACGAGTCCCAGCCAGATCCGATTAGTGTTTGCAAAGGATTTAATTATTTCTTTGCAAACTCCTTTCTTTCCGGGGGTTTGATTGATTGCTTGGTTAGATGGAAGTGTGCAATAGAATACATCAAGGGCTTGACATTGAGGAGTGTGGATTGCCTAATCCAGATCTCTCTGTGGTGCTGATTTAGGGTCTGCGCTGCAAGATATCCCCTTTAATACTTTTACAATCTGAAGTTATAATCCTTTTAGAGGGCCATGCTGCATATAAAGAGCTTCCCTGTAATCCTATTACATTGGGTTTGCTTGATTAGTTGATGCGTGTGTGTGTGTGTGTGTGTGAGTGTACTGCATGTGTCCTAAAACAAGTGTGTATGGGAGGTTATTAGCTACTGTGAGTGGATGTGAGACAACGCAGGCCCAGTTTTTTCTCCTCTTCTTCATCACTCCCCTCTCTTCCTCTCTTCTAGTTAAAGCACATGATGGTGATGACAGGATATCCAGATTTCCTGCTCAAACCTGAGCTCATCGATAATGAATATGGGGTGAGTCATGAGCTTCCAGTCAGCCTCATAACATACCAGCACTCACCCGCCACACCATCACATTCATTTCCCAGCATGCTTTTCCCTGCGTCTCCATCTCTCAATGATTTTCCGCTCGACATTGCCCTTCATCCTGGTTCATTGTGCTCAGACAGAGCAAAAAAATGCATCATGCACAGGAGTAAATGAAGCACAGACACACTGATGAGAGTGTTCGGATAAACAATACACTTTAAATCAGTTAACACAAACAGGAGGTGTGAGTGGAAGCAGCTCAGCCGTCACAAATATGCCATTAAGAGTTGGTTGATGGAAAAGTAGAGTGAGCAGCTGGATAAACTGATATATGTGCTGCTAGGATGGGTTTCTGTACAAATACTGGTTGAAAGGATTAAAGTACATATAAAGGAAGTCATCAGGTCAGTTGTGTCTCAAAGGTGGGGCTAAAATAGGGCGCTGCAATATTCCAGCACAGAGCAAAAGTCAAACTTTAACTACAAGCTCAAATCAGCACTGAACTATGGTACAACTTATGGGACTCTTGTGTTCACACGGGACAAGAATTAAAACAGTTTGTTTGCTTAATTCGTGGGTTTCTTAACACATGCTCAAGATTTGGTTAAAGTTTGATTTGTGTCAATTTGAGCGCCTCCTGTGGACAAAACAATTATGGCAGATCTTGCCCTCGTATTACCTAAACAGTGTATTGTGACAAAAATGTCATCCTGCTGAATGAAGACAGTTAAATGTGTTCGTTTTGGATCATTTAAAGGGGAAACTTAAAAACAGGGCTGTTTCTTTAGCTGCTTGGGTGACACCTACCCTCCATTACTGGATTTAGGTAAAAAATGTAGAGTTTGGAAATCTTCAATCATGTCACTTATGCTGTAGTTTCATTTTGGAGATCATAAAGTCAACAGATGAGGAAGAGGAAGAAGAAGATTGATCCATATGAACTTCACTCCAAAATAACCTTCCTCATTGGACCTTTAAATATCAGGACATTAGGGATTAATTACTCTGATTTTTCCCCTATCACCCACATTATTGACCCAGTTGACATCAGAGAACAGTAGCCTATCATTAACAGCAAATTTCCCCTCATCCTCTGCCATAAATGAAAAAATATGCTCATGCATTTGCACAGAATGTGATAAAGCAGACATCTGGCTCAGCTGACACACAGTAACAAAAAAAACACAATAAGGGTAGATTATGTTTCCACTGGATGGTGATGATGCAATTCTAACAGTTTTGTTAGAAATGAGTAACCAAGTGTTCAAGTCGTGTCAAATAAACTTCAGCAAGAAAGTTTGAAATTCATCAAGTCGATGGCTCCAGTTGGTGAGTGTGAGACAAGCTGTAAAAAGACAGAAAAAAAACATTTTGTGGGTGTACTTAAATTTGCTGGCTGTCAGGTTGGGATTGATAACTTAAATTTAAACCACATTACTGAGATGGAAATTTTATGTAAGTTAAGTGTTTCTTCTTTATCCAGAAACAGCTGGTAGATTTTTTCACCTCAGAGCCACCAGACTGCAAGAAAGACAGAAGAAAAAAGGGGGTTGTTGCTTTACCATTGCCTTAGTTTATTTGAGCTGGTCCGTGACTTTTTTTTTTTTTTGTTTTTTTTTCAGCTTCAATTCCAAAAAAGACAATATGAGAAACAAACCAACCAGAAAAGACCAGCATGTTTATGCTCTTGGGTAAAATGACTGGATTTGTCAGTGAAGTCTGATAGCTTTGAAGGGAACAGCGTGCCTCTGATTAAAAAAGGATTTAAATTGTGAACAAAAAAGCCTTTTTTTTCTTTTTTCAATCATTTCTTTTAATTAGTGAAACATTTGAACAACAATAAACATCCTCATCCTGTTTCACGTTGCTGTGCAGTGTGCTCTCGATTTTCATCTGAGCTGTCAGCATCTCCTGACAGAGCTCGAACCTATCCACATGTTTTTTACTGTAGGTGCTAAACTTTAGCGGCAAGTCAAAAACAGTCGTACCCTGTCACAGCCCCAGTCCCTCTCTACAGTATGGAAATATGCCTCTTTATGCTGAGTTCAGATAGCCACCACCGGACTAATTTAACCCTTGATTATGATAATATAGTCATGTCAAAGTAGCACATTATGGTTCATTTGAATATGTGCAGAGCAGACTAAACCACATAGGTTTTTTATATAAAAATCAGACTTTTTGCATGTACTTCGAATTAAACCATGTCTTTTTCGTCATTTGCAAAAAGCTGCACAGACCTTCTGTGATTCAGACCCTGAAGTGACCCCCCCACATGATCTCTCCATATTCATATTATCTTACAGTTCGATGTCGATGAGAAGACGTATTTCAAGAACATCCTCAACAGCATCAATTTCAACATCAAGACGTCGGTCAAGAAGATCCATGAAGAAGTAGACAAAAAGACGTGAGTGTCACATCTCTTCATGAGCCGCTATCTGCCAGCTCAGCTGACTGGCATGCGGTGCAAAACAATTAAAGAAGGTTAATGTATCTGAAATCTGGTCTGAGCTGGAGCAGCTGGGGCTCACACTGGGTGCTGCAGTTTCGCCACTGTGAGTGTTTGTGCATCTTAAATGTTTGACATGCCTAACATGTGTCCTACGAATCCTTTTCTGGTCTGTCATATTTGTTGATGCGCCGCTGAATTAAACCAACAGATAGCAAATCGACGCAGGCAGCTCGGAAAAATCCATTTGATTTACTTATCTGTGGCAGCCAGGCAGCAGCAAAGTGCTGTGGGACATGTGGGCCCTGCATGTTGGGATGGAGTGTCTCTCTGCTGTGACAACACATTACAGTCACATTAGTATTCAAAGGTGCCCAAAACAACTGTATCATTAGCCCACACGCATCGCCCGAAGAGTCAAATCACACAATCCTCCTTTATCGCCAACAAGTGAACCTATCATCACTCACTCTGTCGTGTCGCAGGCAAATAAATAAAGAACGAAACACTTCTCCTCCCTCCGTCTCTCTGCAGTCTATCAGTCTTTCACTCCTGGAACAACAAGGGCATCTTGCACTTTCAGAGTCGCTCATTCCAGGAGATTTTGTGCCGATCGATTGGTCCAGCTTTGAGTGGATTACCATAAAGGAACTGTTCGCAGTTTTATATGCAAAGGGAACATATTTTAGCTGTGGGACCACACACACTGAATATTTCTCACTGGGGGGGGGGGGGGGGGGGGGTTTAGGGGGAGCGATAGCAGAGGTGTTTGGGATTCTGCTCAGGGCTAAAGTGTGTTTCGAGTAGGCAGATTGGTGATTGGAGTATGTGTGTGTGAGGAATCCTGTTATTAAAACACTGTTTGTCTGACTGTTTTTCTCCTCAGGTGGCTGCTCCCTCCTCAGGCCCTTAATGCCTACTACCTCCCTAACAAGAACCAAATGGGTGAGTGCGTGACTCCTCATCACACATACTGATATTTTACTGTCATCTCCGAACACGCACTTAATCTTCCCCCCATTGCCATTCTGCACTACGACCCGGACTGCGCATTAGTAACACACAATTACATCGTGTTTACAACAAGTCAAACACGACGGACGCCCAGAGATAAAGCATCCAAACATCCTCATATCATATTCCCTGTCATCCCTCACTTTCTACTTCCATCTCCACCTCACATACTTAATACCCCCCCGGAGGAAAAACAAGCAGGATCACCTTCTCTACTTTTTAACAAATCCAGCCCTCCTCCTCCTCCTCCTCCTCCTCCTCCCCTTACCCTCACCCTGGATCGGCCTGCTGTCTGTGTCTGCCTGCCTGCCTTCTGGATTAAATCTCTCACAGAAAAATCAATGCTGTGCTCTCGAGCTGATGCTAGAGGACAGTAGGAGTCAGACGAGCACAATCGCCTGAGCGCGGGTTGTGTTTTTTGACCCGCACACTATTTATCTCACTTAACCCTGATGTAACAGGACTCAACAGCCCAGTGTTCATCTTTACACACCATCTTACTATTGGAATCTAGTTAACGTTTCAGAGATAAATTGTGCTCCCACCTTTTTGGCTTCTTTAGTTTCATGTTTAAAAGTCAAGTTTTGCTCAAAGACTGACAGATGGGTACTGGAATTATCTATTCACGAACACAAAGATATGAACTAATGACAGATAGTGGTCTATCTGTGGTCTATGTGGTCTAGAGTTTACAAGTAATGATCATTATTTTTCACCTGGGACAACAAAATATTAAAGTTTTAGGAATTTCTGTATTTGAAGATATTTTAAGTCTTTGAGATGTAAAGAACTTTTCATTGTGACTTTTTTTAGGACCACTTTTTGATCATATGTGATGCATGTGTCTCTGTAATGAACAGACCCTGTTATTTCACTTATTCAGTATTTTTTACAATCCAGTCTTGTCTCTCTTCAGAGATGCCCTCTTAAATGTTCCTGTGGTAAATTTGGCAAATGCATGAAAATTGCTCAAATAGCCAACCTTGTGATGATGGAAGATAAACAAGCACCTTTGGTTGATTTTACAATGTATCAAATGTACAGAAGTTCCCTTTACTTGCCCCCTCCTCAGTATAAGTGGAAAAATGCTCAGTGTACTGAACATGGACCAAGTGCCCTCTTTTTGATATCCAGGTATACAGCACTTTAAAGAATGCTCCTGGATGCCCGTCTAGTATAATTATGATGAACATACAGTAAGTGCCCCTGAGACTCAAGGAAACCATGCCATCCAGATGACCCTCTAGTGTGTAGAAAAAGTGCTCCTAGATCCTTTTTCAGTGTATAAAACATAAAGAAAGTTCCCTCTGTATGCATTTCCATTGGATATAACGTTGTAAGGTGTCCTCTGTATGCCCTTCCACACACAGTAGAAAATATGCCCTGTGGATGCCCCTCCAGTGTACAAGCATGGAAAAAATGCACCTCAATGCTCTTTCAATATATAAAATGTGTACTCCAGTACTCCAGAAAGGCTTTTTCTTGGTGTCAAATCTATTATTTCTATCATTTCATTTTATTGAAACTGTTCAGCTTTGAAATTGCCATATAAAATCCTTTTTTCACCCCTGCCTCCCAAACTTCTTGGGTTTACCTCTGACTCCAGACATAAAAAATAACTCCTGATGGTTTCATGTGCTTTTTCACAAAGGGTATGAGCACATGAGCGCAAGTTTGAGCTTTTACTGTCATCGACATAGTTCTTCTTACATCTGGATGCAGGATGAATTAAAACACAAACACGGTGGTCAGCTGCTGTTTAGGAGGCTGGTTTGTATTTAACTTTGACTTTTAACTCGCAGAGAAATATCTTTGGATAAAGAGAGACTCTGTTATTTTCCTCTCTAGCAGCTGTGCTTACAGATTTAAGATGGTTGTTTTTCTATTTAGTTCACATGGACATCCTAAATCATGCAGCTTTGAGACATCTTTGGTTTTAAATTCCATCTAACTGTCTTTTTCCCTACAGAAGAGACTGCATCCGTGTGCTGGATTTGTTCGAACCTTTTCCTCTTTCTCTGAGACCAGACTGTGTTTTTTGTAGATGTGATATTTCTGCTTTTTCACATTGTCTCTTCATCTCTATTTCAGTGTTTCCTGCCGGCATCCTTCAGCCCACTCTCTACAACCCTGAGTTCCCACAGTAAGTAGCCCTCCTCCTGTCCCTACCTCTCCCTGCTGCCTCCCTATGGGCGGCAGCAGCATCCCCACCGCCGCAACAACAAAGGTCATTACAGGCTCAGTTAGGCTGGCAAGCTTGTGCTTCCCTCACGTCCCAGCACGCCTGATTAAACCAATTTAACTACCCACCAAGAGCTCAATTACTGAACAAGGTCCTGCTAATGGAACAGGTGTCATTCAGAGGTTGCTTCCTCAAATTTGAGTCCGTCGAGTAATTTGATGGAGCGTGCAGGCAGAGAGCCTCTCTGTCTGTGTCTATCTGTCTCTCACTTCTGGCTCTCCAGAAGTTTTTTCCTGTTGATGAATTCGTGCAGCAGAGTTAGAAAACTGTTCTCAACTTTAAATTAGTCTCACATTAAACTCAGAGTTTGTGTTTTCCAAATACAAGTTGTTTTTTTATCTCCAGTCACGATTCATTTGAATAAAAGGCAAAACATCATTTTATGGTGATAATCTGGTATCTCTCAAAAAACACACAAGAGCTGACAGAGCTGACACCAGGACAAAACCCACTGTTTCAAAAGCTGTTGTTATTTTAATCTTATCAAGATTTGAGTTTGTGCATTATCACTACTGAATACTTTATAGGAAAATATCATTCAGCGATGTCTCACTGATATCATGGCTCAGCTGCTTGCGCCTGCAGCCCTGGGGTGGTTAGATCAGAAATTTACATCTTGATTTTATTTCCTAAATTTGACAAGGTGGATTAAGAAGCTAAATATTTCAACTTTCAATCACCAGAAAATATGGATTTTTTTTGTAAAATGTTTTAGAGTATAGTCTATGAGGAACTTCAAACATCACTACGTCGAATCAGATCACTTTCATGTGCTACAAATCAGGCTGATTGTAATTTCTAACATCGACTATTCAGAAGTAATTACCTTTCAAAACTAAGTATCCGATATTGCTTCATTATGACCACCTGTGCAGCTGAATGTAATCCAATATAAAAACTCCACCACTGAAGGATGTGCATGATATTTTTTTCACTTCATTAAAACATATGAGAGGAGGAAAATATTAGGGACAGAGCACTCCGGTACAGCAGCAGCATCCGCTACAACTCCATTGATAAATACAAATACATTTATCACCATTCTGACTATGTCAACAAAAACGAACAGACTGAAGCCTTGTTTAAGAAAGATTTATAGCAGAGCTGCTGTATTAGATTCACAGGTGATCATTATGTTAAGGCTGATGGGTGTAAATCTTCATGGCGATTATTTGATTTTATTCATGAATTTGAGAGTTTAAATGAATTTTTTCACACAAGCCATAAAGACAACTTTTCATGTGATGTGGAAAAGAGAAGAAGAACTCCAGGGTCTGTCACATACAGGTGCTTTTTGTTTTCTGGTAGAGTTTTAGGAAGTCGACATGGAGACCACACTAAACAAGACTAAGACACTTGGGGATCAAAACCAAGTCTAGACCAAGACCGTATATAACATCAGCATGATCGTGATCAAAAATGTGCCTTCCCCTTTTTCTGAAAACTAACTAGATTGCACAAACTGTGTTTTTACAACTTGAATTGATTTAAAATATTTATTTATTGTTAGAAAAAACATGTTGAATGTGAATAGCTGGTTAAATAATTATTGTGTTATCGTTTGTACCATCAGCAGGGTCCAAGTTTTTGCACTAAATATTTATTTTCTTGCACTAAAATATGACCCTGTTATATCAGTGATTTATCCATTGTTTAAATACTGTACAAACCTGTTGACTCTCCGTGTATCTCTTCAGAACTTGCAGAGCTTTTGCTGTACACAAGTAGGTCTAACCTACTTTGAGTCACACGCACCTTTCTGATTTTAATGTTAAGGTAATAGTGTTGATTTCCTATAATGTTAACTAAGGGTCCCAGTCATATCAGTCTACATCTCTCCCTTTCTTCAATAATGTTCATTAGCAGTGAAGTCAGGCAGGGTCATACATGTTGCACTGCAATCAATGCATTTAACAAGACCTAACAGCCATTTTACTCTTAGCTGTGCATGGCAGAATTTACATACAGCAGTGTTTCTGTTTGCAAACTTGATTACAGGTAAGATTGTGGACATCTTAGACTGTAACACAGAGAGGGTTTCAGCTGTATCAAACTACAGATGATCTGAAATAATCAGTTGCATTAGGAAGACGCATACTCCCTCTCATGTCAATGACACAGACAGTTAGCAGAGCCCACCAGTGGTGGTCTTGTCACATGTCAAAATCAAATTAAAGTCCTAGTGGCTGTCTGGAAGGTAGAAAATCAATTGTAAAGTTTTAGTGTGGTGTGAAAAACATCAGCAGGTAAACTGATACCCTGCAGCACTGAGGGATGTGCATGTAAACAAATATTTTCCAGTAGGAATGCTCTTTAATAAGCAAAGATATTCACCTACTGCTGCCAGCGTTAAGTGTGGATCGAGCCAATACATACAGCTAAGTACAAATTGCTGCACCCCCTGCATTCACACGAACTCCTCTGAGTAATTACACACACGTTCATGAAACACACACACACACACATACACCTCTGTTTGCTGTATGTGTACCTAACAATAGCTTACACTCCTATGTCTTCATTAACGGCGATCTGTATGATTTCCACTACCTGCTGCCGTGTGTGCTAATCAATATTAATTAATGATGTAGTTGTGTGTGTGTGTGTGTGTGTGTGTGTGTGTGTGTGTGTGTGTGTGTGTGTACGTGTACCTGTCCTCTTGAAGTTATTACTGCAGTAGCCCTAACCCCCTCCACTATCAGGCTGAGTATAATGAAGCTTCAATCAGCCAGTTAGTTCAGCGGGGGGAGTCGTGCCCAGTGTGAGGCCGTGTATCGACTAGCTGTCAGAAAGTCATTTTCAGACGTAGCCATGTGAATAGCCCCGAGTCTGCCCTCTCATCGCTCTCTATATCTGCATGTGTCGCAAAGACAACGCGCCAGCTCGGACAAGGGTCAAGGAGAGGTAGAGCAAGAGGCCTGAGGTAAGAGTATATGAGAGTCGTGAGCAAAAAGATGCTAAGACAATCAAGAAGAAAAGAAAGGAGATTGAGAGAAAAGTGCGACTGGGAAGATGAGGAAAAGCGAGTTCAGTAAGGTGGTCTCTTGAGGGTCTATCGCGTATCGTGGGACTTAGATTCTAGGAGCATTTTCACACATTGTTTATTTGGAGTTGTTCCAAAACAACCCCTCTGTTCAGATTGTTAGGACATATGTGAACACGAAATTGCATCCCAAAGAGAAACAAACAAGCATGTCAAGATTACTCAAAAGAGGTGGTCTCAGCTTGCTCTCAACCCCTGTAGGGGAGACTCAACCCTGCAGGGGTTTGATTGCAAGTGAGAACAACCCAGCAACCAGGACAAACAGCTTTTAGCCTCATCACGCTAGTACAGACCAATCTGGTGCCCTGGGCAAGATTTTAGCCGGTGCCCCTTATATTGAAGCAAATTCCACCACCATTCACAATATGCACACACTTTAAGAAAACAGGAAACAGCTTTATGATTTATAGTTTCTCTCTATTTTACATTAAAATACCTCTAAACAAATATTAATACATATATATTCATATACAAATACAAGTTAAAATAATGTTACTACATGAAATGTCAAAGAACCAAGAGCAGAAATACTGAGAACTACCTGATGCTGCATCGCTCCTCTGTGCAAAGGTGGAGGGAGCAGAGGTGGCAGCCCAGGGGTCCTAGGGGATTGATTTAATGTGTTTGCATTTGCAGAGAGACAATGAGCTTTTCTAAAACCATAGTTACTTTACAATATAGTGTAAACAACAAACAAGCAGCTATGAAACCAATTTAATTATTACATCTGAGCTGCATTACAGCCTTTCTTTACAAATATACATATATATGTATGTGTTCTGTATGTATACGTAACAGTCTGAGCCTAAGAGAATATATCAGGATTTCTAAAGCTCTCTGGATGTTGATCTAATGACTGTGTTGATGTTATTGGTGAGTAGAAAATCGTGACACGGTGGTTGCTGGCTGTATCCCCGACCCTTTGCCCGCTCTCTAATCCCTACATTTCCTGTCTCTTTTCATCTGTCCTCTCTATAAAAGGCAAACATACCCCAAAGTTCAGATAGAATGCAGTCTGTGTTGGGGGAGAAACAAAGTTCAAACTCCTGTGGGATGATTTCCATTGCAGTGAGTCAAGTACAGGACCCGCATTTCATAGTTAGCTGTGAAGTTTTTTCTGGTACCATCTGTTTATGCCATGTGGAGTTCACAATCCTGCTGGCTGCTTGTACGGTTGAGCTCAGCTCACTGTGATATTCAAAGTTGTGGAGCAGCCTACCTGACCAAATGGCCGGCAACCTCTTCTGGCCACAACTGAGGACTTTCTTTCAATCAAATCAACTCTTCACAGGGTTGATTTACTCAGTGGTATTCCACTGTTTATCTTGTTTGACTAAATGACAGATCTCAGTCTTCACTGCACTGCACAGCCAAGTGTGCAATTTAGGTAGAGTAGTAATCAGTTTCTTTTAATGAGTGAAGTCACTCTCTGCTTCCATTAGAAAGAATACAGATTAAACCTCTGCAACAGCCTCACCAAGCTACGACCTTTTATACAGTCTGTGGTCTGAACAGAATAAAGGGGCATCAAGCTTCTTTCATTTAATACCAATCTGAGCCTCAAGGCTCCAAAATTAGATCCCAAGTGCAACTTGTGCTTCATCTGGTCCGGCTGAGCTGAATTAGCAATGAGGACAATAGGACAAAACAAGGGAGAGAAATCCACTGAGTGGACTTAGATGACTCTGGGACTCTTAAAACCAATCTAAAGTCACCCTGCTTTGTTCTGAAGTGGGTAAATGTGAAAAACAGACCCACCTTGGAGTGCACATCCAAACACCACATCCATTTTTGATGAGGTATCACATAAAACAAAACTGTCAGTATCTTCAATAAAATGATGAGTGGAAGCTGTTTACATCAGGCTAAAAATCTTTAAGGATCACTATCTGGGATGAAATACACCTACAAAATACACCTGTCTGAGAGGCTAAACCTTGCTTTTTTGGCATGCAGACCTGAAGCTGTTCGACAGCTCAACATGCTTGGTACAAAGGGAAAATAATCCACTGTGCAGCATCTTTGAAGCTCTGCATTAGTGAGCTCTATCTTTGTTATTCTTTGTACAAACGAAGAGTCAGGGTGGCTTTTTTTTCTTTGTTTCAAGCTGAAGCTTAGCATTCGATGAGGAGATATTAGAGCAGTATAAATCCTCTCAACAAAGAAACAAATAAATATGACTGAACATAAATATAATTCAACAGAAGCCTCTGTTCCCGCAGTAGAAAAGTCATGAAAGTCAATGGAAATTCAATGGCTATAGCTATGACGTAAATTGTATATGTGTATGTAATCAAGCCTCCACTTTACTTCATATGAATTATAATTGCATGTAAAAAGCATTGGCATAAGTAAAAAAAACAGACCGATTTAGTTTTCTATTATGTTCCAGTGTTTCTCTTCCTCTTCCAGGTCTCTGAACTATGGAGGTATAGGAGCCATAATCGGACACGAGCTGACGCACGGATATGATGACTGGGGTGAGAATGACAACCCATAACTAACTGCAACAAAGCTCATGCACTCATACCTATTTACAGCTTTGACTCCACAATTTGCACTGAACCATTCAAACTCACAGTCAGACCAAGTTCCCCCATCACTTTCATAATTGTATGACATTTACATCATGCTGAAACTCTGCTAAAAGGATATTTGAGTCACAATCTCCAACTTTCATTTCCAGTCTGAAGTGCTGCCCTTTAAGATAGACCAGAGTCTGATCAGGAGAGAGTGAGTTTTGGCCTGTTAGATACACAGAGGTGGATTTATCAGAGGGTTTGTTTGAATCCAGAGCTATAGTTCAAGGTATCACTACATCTTGGTTGCTTATTGGCTAACAATACAGTCTGCTAGGATTTTTTTAAATTTCATTTTGTGGTTGAGTGGTCCTCAGTCCTTCCATCCTCTTCACTACAGTTCTTTGCAGCAAGCGAGTATAGTGCTATTTCATAGAATATATAGTCTCTAGGTAACCTGGATGCTGGCTATCAGCTCTGTCAAGAGACTGAATACTAGCATTGTAGTTTGGCGGTATTATACTACACAATAGAAAAGACATAGCCTTAAATCCTCAGACAACAGTGTTGTTAGCAAACAATGTTTTGACCACGACCAAGCTAACAATAAAGCTACTAATTTTGATGAATTGTACAACATTAGCTAAAGTGCCAGTTAGAAGGAAATAGCCAAATGCTCAATTTTGCCGCCATCTATAGAATCTTTTGGGTTGATCAACTTTTTACTTGAAATGTAGCCCCCTTGAGATCCACTCTGCAATTAAGAATCTGCAGTTTAAATATGGCTAATTTACAAAAAGTGTGAAAAGTGACTCATTTGGCAGCTCTTTTGACTGTAAAGGAAAGTTGCAGATTGTATGTCTTCATGCTAACATGGCCCCCCTTCCCCTGCCCTTTTGCCCCTCATCTTAGTGATGCAATGGTTCATGTCCCTAGGGGGCCAGTATGACCGCCACGGAAACCTCAGACAGTGGTGGACAGAGGAGTCTTACAGAAAGTTCCAGACAAAGGCTGAATGTATCGTCAAGCTCTACGACAACTTCACCGTTTATAACCAGAGGGTGCGTACATACCCAAATGTACAAGCTACATACCCAAGTTTTTTTTTTTTTTTGCATGTTAATTTCTCCTGTAGAGTTTAAGACCTTTGCATGGACTTTGTTAAGATTCCCTGGCTTTTTGATCCTGCCTCTAGTGGACACTTGAGGGACTGCAGTTTGCGTGCTCCTGCGTTAAATAGTTCCTGACTGCAAACACAGCTGACCTCTGTGAATGAGCGCATAGTTTGACCTCTGTAAGCGCAGGCACGGTTGGAAGTTGGACCTCCTCTTGGATCTGTGCTGTTATTAGAAAATAGAGTGATTCCTTCATCTAAAGTTCACAAACCTTAACAGTAAAATGTCAGTAGATGTTGAGAGTTTGATATTTTACCTCACAAATTACCTCTGAATGTGCACTGTTTGACTCTGAAGTTTGCCTCTGCTTGCAGTTCTAATATTTACCAAAATATCTTTCTAAGTTTTTTTAAAAGGACCTGAAGTGAAACTTTTAATTACCTGTAACATCTGAGAGCCAAACAAGGTCCAGTTTTCAAATATGAATGCATCAACAGAGGTCGAGCTGCGTGCTCATGAAAGTCCGTGTGTCTGCACATCCATTCAACGCTGAAGGTTGCTGCTTGATCCTAATTTCCTCCGAAACCAACCTGATTGCTTTTTTTTTGTATTGCACAGCTCGGCACTTGTGAAAGACTAAATTTATGAATAGTTAATGATTGAAGGATGTTCCCTTTTTAGAGTTACATCCATACAACCATGTAATATATTATGATATACAACATTAGTAATAAAAGATGATTATTTCAGACCTGTTCCTGAAAATTCTTGACGTAAAATTGAGCTTTTTTTCTCTTTATGTGTGTAGGTGAATGGCCGTCTGACATTGGGGGAGAACATAGCAGACATGGGAGGACTGAAGCTGTCATACTATGTAAGTAACATTGGATAGCATCGCTGTTCAAATACTGTGAATATGTGGCCCCACTGAATCTTAATATCAGAGTTTATTTTTATCAGTATGTGGCGTCTCTTTCCATTTTCTGGTTCAAAGATCCACCCCTTTATTTTCTTTACTCTTCATAAAGCACCCAGCTTTGTTTGCATGGAAGTGAAGAGCAGAGGTGCGCCTGAATGAGGAGGAAAGATAAACATTTTTATTTCAGTTCTCCATCTCTGTTTGTGTCAGCATGGGTGGGTCTGGACAGCAGAGTGTCTGTTATGCTGCATTATTCACTTCCATACTGAGAGCATCAGTGGTCTACATGGAGGCAAGGAGCTTTTGCACACACAGAAACAAAAGTACAAAGAGAATGAGTGAATTCTTCATAAATAAATGATAACATTAAAATGCAGCACTGGTGTCACAGTGCCTGTTGGGCATGTCAGTCAGTGAGACTGAATGAAGGAGCATTAAGAGTAATTCAACACTTTTCAGGAATGTCTGCAAGAGGAGAATGTAAATGTTATCTTTGATATCAGATCTTTATTTATCCTGGTTTGACTGTTGATATGAGTCCAGGGTTCATAAGTTCATTTGAATCTCCTGTCTTCAATTATTCATGGCCTCCATGCACCTCTGCCCTCCTGTCCAGGCATATCAGAAGTGGGTTCGAGAACACGGTCCAGAGAGACCTCTGCCCGGCCTCAGATACACACACGAACAGCTGCTCTTCATTGCATTTGCACAGGTACGAAAGCATCTCATATTTTTAGATTAAGTTTTTTTTTTTTTAAATTTCATCCCAGGCTACAACCCAAAAAAACAATCAACCAGCATCAGCTCCCTGTGTTCAATGTTGAAGATTTGTGTACTTTTAATTCAGCATCTCAGTCATGTTAAAAATCAGTTTTTATCGACTTTTAAAATATTTCATTTAGCTTTTATAAAATTATTTCACATAAAGTTAAACTGAGGATGATTTTCTTTGATATTCTACATGATTAATTCTCTGATGCTGCAAGATTTAAAAGCAGTAATCGACTTGTTTGCAGCTGTCATGTTGATACCTGACATCCCTGCTGAATGTGAACTACAGGTGTTTGTTTTTGGCCTGCAGGTTCAGTCTATTTCCTTTTTCATAATGTGAGTCATGCCCCCACCGAGGGTGCCAGAGGACATCAGCAGAGGGACAATGAACCAGATTAGCCACTGATTATTTAGTCACCCAAACTTTTTCAGTGTGAGGGGCAAATGTGAAGGGAACTGCAACAAGAGACGAGATAGATTCAAGAGAGAGCAGAAAATAACCATTCCAAGTTTGGAAGGGGTAATGACCATCTAAAGCAAGTATCCATCAAAGCTGCATGTGGAGGAAAGATTATTTTTCAAGTGCATCAAGGATGTGGAGGGGAGGGTACACTGGAAAGTAGTTCATAGTGGAAAGTATAGTATGTATGCATGCATGAAGTTGAGGCAGTGACGTGAAAGCTTAACTGAGTCATACCTGGGAGCTAGTTTAGGCAATGTGGTAACCTGTGTTGACAAAAAATGAAGCTAATGTGTAAGTCCAAAAAGCTACTGTCCTCAAGTGTCCAGTAGAGGCTGACTCTAAAAGACAGAAGAATCTCAACTACAGTCACGCAGAAATGGACATTTTTATGGAAGAATTTTGACACATTAACCGTCTGTTTCAGTCTCAGCTTTGGGCTCAAAGGCTCATTTCTTTATTTATAAAATCTTTGCAGAAGTTCAGCACAGACGTCCATAATGATGAGTATGACTTTTCACATATCAGCATTTTTAACTTGACACCACTTCAAAATCCCTTACATGACGCCACCAAGACCAAGCCTGAGACTATGTTTATTTTTTCTTTACAGTCTATAGTCTCAGCAGATCATTTTTGTGGATGCTAAATGAGACTCTCTGTTTTGTTGTATTATGAGGTGAATTTTCAGAGACTTAAAAATCTGGATCATTTAAGCAGCTGCTCACAGCTGGAGCAAGTGAACACAGAGAGCAGGTAGGAGTTCTGTATCCTCCCAACATTAGCTGATGGATGCATTACCATCAGAAGGATCTAAATAACAGTGTTGATGATAGCACACTGCCTGTAAGCACTAGACCACCCCTGCTTCCTGTAACTATTACAACTATCAGTCAAACTCAGTGGTTTCATTAAAATTCATGGCTTAATGTTACAGACAAAATGAAGACATACTTCTGTAGATGACGCAGTGTTTCATCCCCCTTTTCTGATCTTATGCAACAATGAAATGATCCAACATTTCTAATGCTTCAACCAAATATATATGACAATCATATGTGGATGTTCAGGATCAATGTGAAGTATTGTTTCAGTTCATACAGTAAGGTAAGGTTTAATCTGAGCAGAGGATTTGAGTTTAACTCTTTCTGGATCTCTCAAGAAAATGTCTTTAAATTTGTAGGAGTTTATATGTGAGAGAAGAACGGAGGATTGGAGCCACATTAGGAAAGAAAAAAGGCAATTTGTAGCATCACAAGAGCAACGCTGTAAGAAAATAAAGTCAGAGTATTATGAGGTTCAAGTCATAAAATTTTAAGAAATAGTTGTAAAGCAGCGAGAACGACGTAAGAGTAGAAGATTGAAGATGTATCGTAAGAATTAGGTTGTGTTTAACAAGACAAAAGTAGTAAAATTACAGGAATATGTTATATTACAAGAATTACACCATTAAAAATAAAAACAAAAAATTAATGAGATTAAAGTCATATAAATTCCCAGTTATTCAAGATTGAAGTCTTTGGTCTTATTGGTTTTAAATTTGTCCTTGTGGAGAACTCAAAGCACTCTATGCAACCAGTTTCAAAAGCATGAATAAGTTATTAAGTCTATTTGAATACCTTTTTTTTTTACCATCACTGCCTGTAAAAAGAGCTGTTAGAAAGAGTAAATGATATTAGAAATCCTCTGATGATCTGAAAAGAGTCACGTCTCTGTTAGGAGAGAGTTCCCCTGAAAAAGTGGATTAACTGCATAAATCATATTCAAAAAATATTCTGTACTTTAAAACAGAAGACAGTAATTTGAAGGACTGTCCTGCTTTCATCTGACTGCACAGATTTTTGCTGACTTTTGTGTTTCTGTGCCATCTTTTCAGAACTGGTGTATGAAGAGAAGATCTCAGTCCATTTACCTGCAGCTGCTGACTGATAAACATGCCCCAGAGCACTACAGGTACAGTATCTGCACTCAAAGAACAGTCTTTTTGTTAAATTTGTGCTCATTGTGTTCATATTACGAGAAACATTAAAGATGCAGAACCCTATCTGTCAAATATCGGAGTAAACAGCAGTCATTGTCCCACTGTGAGTAATGCATTGATCTTCAATAGAGGCCAGATGTGGAGCATGTTTATCTGTCAGTGCTCTGATTTTTTCTTTTTGAGTTTGTGTGTGTGTGTGTGTGTGTGTGTGTGTGTGTGTGTGTGTGTGTGTGTGTGTGTGTGTGTGTGTGTGTGTGTGTGTGTTTTCATTCACATTTGCTGATAACATGGCGGCACAAAGAAAAACATACAATCTAAAAGTCAAGCTGTCAGATGGGCTCTTGAGTTTACTGAAGAGGACTCTGGAGAGGCAGCAGCAAGATATTCAGTGGATCCAAAAAGGGAGAAAATAAATCAGATTTTTCAGCGTCTTTGTGAGCGCGACAACAAAAAGGCAAGGCTGTCAGGATTGTAATAAACAATGAGATTTAATAGAGGGTTCGTGTTTAAAAGGTCTGTCTCTCTTGACACATGGCCCAAATAAAGGCAGGGTGAGCTCCAAAACTAAAAGAAAGGACTTTGTCACTTATTTTATACTTTACAGTTAACAGTCATGTCACTTCTGGTCTGGTGGGTTTTGTAGGACATAAATGAGCATTTTGAATTTCAGCGTGTTTTATAACTTCCTTCACAGATGCTCTAATATTCCAATGTTTTATGATCTTTTCTCCTCTCCTGCAGAGTTATCGGAAGTGTTTCCCAGTTTGACGAGTTTGCCCGAGTTTTCCACTGTCCAAAGGGATCCCCAATGAACCCTGCGGACAAATGCTCTGTGTGGTGACCTCTCTACTGGCCTGTGACCTAAGGACAAACTTCTTTTTCTTCTCAAACCCTGACCTGCACTCAACATACTGCCCTTTGTTACATTCATCAAAGCCAATAGGATGACACATACAGCCTTTTCTCGGCTCTAGTGGTTATAGAAAGGAAATTTGTCTTTTTATCCGAAACAGAGTCACATAGAAATTGATCATATACATATGACTCATCTTGTTAAATATATTTTTCTATGTTTGAAGTTATTTTCAGATCATGTATTTTTCTATTTTAGCAGATATATCACACATTAGAGGTCATAAGCTGTTTGATTTTTCTATCTCACAACACATTTCCTCAGTTGTTTCTCTTCTTTGTAGCATCGAGCAGAAAACCTTCAGCATATCAGGAGATGAAAAACTGGCAGCAACAAAGATTTCAGTCCCTAATGTGACAGAGACAGATTCAAAATGAACTGAGATCAGTAGCATCCTCGTGCCTGTCCAAATGTTGTATTGGGAGTTTGATTTGTGTGACACTGCTGCCCTCTAGTGGCTGCAGAGTGTTATGGTTCACTGTTGGACAAACCATGATTGTCGTATTGTTTGCCTGCATTTGGTCCTCTTGTTGCTGTGAGTGTTTGTAAAGTTTTTAAAGATTTGTCAGCTTTTTTTAAGAAAAAAAGAAGACGGCAGATTTGAAGTGGGTGTATTTCTCAGGATTTGTAGCAAAGATGATTGCCAAATGAAGGACCTTTGAATTTCTATCCACATTAAACACTCAAGTCTACAGTACAACCACAAACAGCATCAAATCAACATTAGACAAAAAATCAGAAAAGATGTTTTTTTCTTCTCTGGATTCCACGGTAACAACTTCACCCCAGCATAGAAGCTGATATGAGAGTGCTGTTTGGGGATATCGGCTCGTTCATATCAGGCATGTCCTGATGGACTGAATGAAGTCACTAACGCCACCCACTGGTTAGTGGACTGCCATTTGGAGGCCTCAAGATCTGCTTTTTTGCTGTTGCCACCTTGGTTTTGGAGCAAGACCGGGTTTTTGGTATAGAAGTCTGAAGTGGACACGCACACATTTTATTCACTCCCTTTCCCAAGTGTGGTTGTTTTCTGCACATCTCTACAGATTGATATGTTACTGATGATGGCACCTTAAACAGGACATTATGTAGAGTCTACATATATCAGCCAAATGCACTTGACAAGTCCAGATAAACAGCTTATTTTCAGATATCTAATTGAAAATAAGGCCATAGTTGTCAGAGCAGCAGGTAAAACTTTCTTGTTAAAGTTTCTGTTGAGATTGGCTCCTCCTGTGGACGGACTTGCACCACTTATGTCCTTATTCATTTTGTCCTGTACTTCTGTAGTTAAAAAAATTTTACACCCTGCTTTCTTTGAGCAGTCAAATGTTTAAAAAAGGGGCATTTAAGGTGGTGTAGAGTTCACCCAACAGCAACAATTTCAAGCATCAGAAACAAAAACATGAAAATAATTTCAAAATCATTATGGTCTTATTTGATTTTGCAGCTCACCAGTTTTAATAGCAACCTGTTCTGAGACCTGCCAAAAACTCCTCAAGTCATCAAGGTCACAAGAACTTTTTCGAACAATGGTAATAACTATTCTTACTCAGTCCATTCAGGCCAGTTGGTGGAAAGAGGTGTCTGAGGCCCCTTTGAAATCTGTTTGGCCCCAAATCTAAATTATGATTAGTTCTTTAGCTTGTCAGAGGTTGAACTAAAATTGAAATGAACTTTTTTTAGCTGCATTACAACAGACTTCTAATAGTTATGTTTGCATCACATAGCAATATTTTTCTTCCCTGTTTTTAGTGACTTTAGACAAATATACCTTTGGGTCTAACAGACTTTAGGCTAAGGAGAAGATTAAAATATTGTCACTCTCTTGTGTTGGCTTTAATGTTAGATATTACACACAGGAATAAAACAGCTTTTGGATTCTCAGATTTCAGAAGTATAATTCATCTAGAAACATAGAAAAATTAAATGCCATTTATTTGTTTGTGTTTGTGCACATACTTACTGCCACCCCTGTCAAGAAAATCTGGCTCCGGCCCTGATTCAGGGCTTATTTTTGCTTCTTATATCTGACGAAAAATTGTTTATCTAAATTTGTCACAGAAATGTGTCTAGTAAGACTTCTGACTGGAAGTATGTCCAATTTTGGAGATTTTGTGGCATACCAAATGTCACACCAGAAAGAGGGGAAACAGAGGTGTGTAAAATGAAACCATAGTTTGGCTATTTCCTTATTTGCTTCTATACTATCAGACATTTTGAAAACCCCTTGAAGTCAAACTCTAACCCTGTTGGCGACAGAAAGAGAGCAGGTTTGAGGCCCTTCAGCGTTGGCGTGTCTTTTGAAGGCTGAACTACTTCTTCTACACAGCCTGCATTCACAACCCGGGATCATAGTGAGAGAGTGAGTGAGGTCATATCGCCAAATTACTGAAGCCAACACTCTGTACATAAGAAAGTCAAACTATGGCCGATGGAGAATGATGCATTTGTATGCGGTGTTGTTATAAAAATACTTTTGTATAAAATGCTCAGTACAAAATATGAATCTTTGTACAGTGGAGACGTATATCAGATGTTATGGCTGTACAGTTTGTTTCTAATGAAAGTGCATGTTTCCCTCCATTAAATTCTGAATCATCAGACGGACATCAGACACACGCAGGCCTAACTCTACAGCTGCTAATCCACATGTGGCTGCTATCTCCTCTCTGTTGGTCACTGTTTAATGTTTGAATAAACACAAAAGATCACTGTGTCATGTGCATCAGTCCGTTCAGGTGTGTGTAAGAGAGATTTGTATGTGTTTGTCATTATCTGTGTGATTGTGTTTTCAGCTGTGTCCTCAGGCTCTGATCCTCCACAAATGTGAGCCAGACCCCTGGTTTGGCCTCTGCGGATGGTCATCTCTCCAGCTTCATGTCCTGTTTGTATCAAATCTGCAGAACCAGTCAGGAATATGAAAAACACAAACAAACAAACAGTGATTTATGATGCAGGATAAGCAAGCTGTGCAAACAGGATGTAGGTTTCCAAAACAGTTCTTTTCAACTGAGGCAAGGTAAGTTTACTTTTTAATAAGAGGCAACTCAGAGTGCTTCACATAGGATCTCAGAGTGACTCTTTTAGATTAACTTAACTTCTTTCCCAGAGGCTGCCATTTTGACCACCATTTGCTACAGAAGCACAGAGCAGACAAACTATTACTATTAGCAATGAAATATTAAATGAGTAGAGTGTTTTTTCTGAAAGATGTTTTGGATGGTGATAAACTTGTCAAATCGAGGATCACACTTACCATACATCAGAGGAGCTACTGTCCTTGAGGACCAGCATCCTTGCTAAAACTCCAACAATGTGAACTCAATATTAGTAAACTCACTGGTTCTGTCCACGGCCTTTTCTGTTTACAGCTTCTTTTCGGTTTCCCTGTCAGTCAGAAAATAGGGTTCACGGAAAACCCACACATCCTCCGATCTTTTGCCCCATCTGGTGGAAGATTAACTCCACGACAACATGTTGTGGGGCTATGGTTATTTTCAGTTTCATTTCTGATCAAACGTGAGGAAAAGTCAAGGGAACAAGTTGTTTTCTTTCTGTTAGAGGATTTTTAATCGAAGAGTCTATCGATGGAAAACGAGGAGGCAACACGCACCTGCAAACAATGGTGAGGGTCAACTTTTGAGAGAGTTTTGAGGGCAAATCCTGATTTTAAAAGCAACTCTTCATGTTTATGTTCTTGTTAAAAAAACATGTAAGCGGCTGTTTGTGTAGGAAAGACAACATGGACACTTTACTGATCTGCCAAGTCAGTCTAAAGGTAACTTAAGTCACTATTTAAGATCTGCCGTGGGTCAGATTTTATGTAAAGTGAGAGTTACAGGTCAGGGTCAGTAACTATCACAGGGGTGTTTAATTTTAGCCCTGACTTTAAAACTCGTCAAACTACAATGTACACTTTCACTTTCATCACGATACCAGGTTAAAGTCAACTGTTTGATCAGTGGGACTTTAGTTCTTAATCAGTGTCAACAGGTCAGAATTTGGTCAGCAATATTGTCTCTGGGTTTTCTGTTTGACTCCTATTGAATATTTTCTCTGTAAATCCCCAAATCTACAATGAAAGTGGTCTAACATACAGTATTTTAGATTTAAGTGCAAACTATATAGTGAGATTAATGTTTTAATCTAATTGAAACTCTCATTTTTTGATGGAATAAAACATTTTTCCATAGACATCAATAAGCAAATTACTGGAAACTCGATTTTGCTGATAAAAGAAATGCTGATTAAAAAAGTAAACATTTCAGCTGATACCAATATGGATGCTATGAGTGGTCCAAATACATCATTAACCTGTGGGATCCTACTTCTTCCACCCCTCCAAAAGGCAGTATTTTAAGGACCAACAAATTCATTTATTTTTAGTTAGGCTTACTAGTGCTTAAGTTATTTGTTCCGATACTCTTTCATACAGCTGACATGTCTTCGTTTTAAAATAATTAACTTTTTTTTAGACTTTTTAAGATTTTACCTGCTGTGAACAGGATCATGGTGATAATATCTGGCATCCTTGCAGGTTAGTTTTGCATCATCAAAGTCATAACCTTTCTCAGCCCTAACAACTCACATAGTATCTGCACTGTTTATGTAAATAGATTCTGGTGGCTGCAAAAAGATTGATGTAACTTCTGTTTTCTTAAAGCTCCTGTGGATAAAGTGGAAACCCTGATCTCTATACTGATTTGGTCCTGAACTCGAGACACTGAAGGGGGGGGTCCTGCCTTCCAAAAAGGAATAATTATAAAAATCATCAAGCAGAAAATAAAAAGAAAATTAGACAGTGCTAAAACTAAAATGGAAATTTCGACCAGGTAATCCAAAGTTTAATGTGAAGATGCAGCATGGTAACCTCAGGGCTGATCGCCATTTAGTGAATGAATTGCAGAAGGGATAAATGAGACCTGGAGGCTTCAGTATTTCTTGAAAGTGCCCTGAAGCCACAGCCTGAGGGTGAAGGACTGAACTCACACAAGAGTGGATGATTTAGACAGACCAGTTTGGCATTGGCTCTACTCATAACCTGCCTGTTCTGAATTTTAGCCAGCAGTAAAATGTCCAAATGTTGAAAGGGATGTTTATAATATTAAATTTAGTGTTATGTATTCATGTTAAAGTGGGGAGATGATCTTTTCTTGGTCTTTCAGCCACAAACAGGTTGCAGAGGCAAACTTCGCTTTACACGAGTCGCACTGCAGGCGCTTCCTATGTGTCTGTCCCGACTGTGACGAAACAGTTCCTCGAGAGCAACTGGACCAACACAGAGAGGAGCAACACACAAAGGTACACACACACTCCTATAACCACCACACACATGCACACTTTAAGATTTTAACTTATTTTCTTGAGGTTTTCAAATCTTTGTCTTCACAGGTGAGGTGCTCCAAGTGCAACCAGAAGATGGAGCGTTGTCACCTGATGGATCATGAGGTGAGGAGGCAAAAATTTGAGGTTCATGTATCAAGGGAGACAGGAGTCCTAAATTAATCTACTTATATGTCTGTCTCTGTTCATCTTCTCAGTCTGAGGAGTGTGTGGAGCGTTTGCAGAAGTGTCAATTCTGTGAGCTGGAGATGCCTTTTAAAGGGTTGGATGAACACTGTCTGGTCTGTGGGAGCCGCACCGAGCTCTGCAAGGACTGCGGCCGCTATGTCACCCTGAAAGAGCTGCCAACGCACGCTCTGACTTGCTCGGATGGCAACAATCCCTCAGGTCCCCCTCAAAATATCACTAAACCATCACCAAACAAAGGTAAGGAGAAGCGAGCTTTGACACTTCAGTAACAACTCAAATTAAAATCGCTGAAATGTTTTACTCTACATTAACTGTAATCATGGTTTTCTGTCAGCTGAAATCACAGTGAGCTGCAGCGTGTGTAAAGCCATGTTTCCAGTTGAGGATGTTGAAGAACATGAGGTAAATATCTTTTGAAAACATTTCTCAAACGTGTATAAGACACACTGAGCTTAAACCACATTTATTCAAATTTTCGGTCAATGGCTCTATTTTACCACAAATCACTGCACCAATGTGGCGTGTGATGAATGCGATCAGCCTGTAGCTCTCTGTGGGGTTCAGCACTGTAATTGAGTGATGAGCAAACCTTTAAACAGTAGTTTTGGCACTGTGGGCAGGTGCTAAATCCTGCTGAAAACAGCTCTTAATGCTCAGACTCCGGCGTCATCCACTCCTTGTGAAGCTCTTCAAAGGTCTTAAATCATAGTATCTCACAACACTGCTGTCAAACACACTGCTTTCATATCTTGTCAACATTTCCCCCTTTCAGTCAACTCTCCATTAATCTGCTTCAATAAAACACTCTGTTAACAGCCTCCTTTTCAGCCATGGTTCTCTGTGGCTTACTCTCCTTGTATGGGCTGATGTTGGACGTCAATGGTAAACTGTCAAGTCAGAGGTGTTCCCTGTGATTGTGGTTGCAGATTAAAATGAAATACTCCAATATTTTGGAATATGTATTTTAACATTTTTTGATTTGTAGACTATAGCTGTCAAAGTTGGATTTATAAACACTTTAAACATTTAGTTCAAAGATGCACCAGCATGTTTTTGCTCCAAAAACTTCAGTGAGGAACAGACTCAACTGTTATGAACCTGCAAAAATAGGAAATGTTTCGTGTCTGTTGAGGCAGTTATTATTTTTTCTTATTATTATTATTGTTACGGATGAGCTACTAAAATTATAATTGAAGGCAGAGTCAAATGCAACGGTTCGAATGCAAACACTAACTTTTTAGTAGTTGTAGTTTGTTTAGACTGCTTCAGTTGCCCCAAAAGGTTTATAAAATACTTATTGAAGCTTTTAAAAATAAACTGCAGCATAAAATGCAAATCACCGACTGTATCTAAAGATGGACGATGTGTCTCTGCCTCTAAAATGATAGAGGTATAGTTGTTGATTGCACCATTTAATGTCACTGTTGTAATTTGCACAATAGATTAATTAATTATAACTCTTGTGTAAATAGTAGATAACTCTTGGAGACATATTATGTGAGACAATAGGCAATTGAATTTCCATTTGGGAATTAATAAAGTTCTTATTCTTAATGATCACTCTACTATACTCATATTTCTTACATGCCAAATTTACTCATTTCAATGCATTAATTAGAGTGGACTTAAACCACTACTTTTGCTACAACTTTTGCAGAGCCTCTGCAGCAGGCTAAATCATAATATCTACTGTGCAGTTTTCAAAAGCAGCAGCTAATGTGATAATTTTGTCATTATTCTTTTAACTAGCTGGAATGTATCCTGGCAGCAACACGGAAGGACATAGAGGCTGAGGTTGAGAAGAGAGAGGAAGAGGAGGAAGAGCGACATGTGGATCACTCCAAGCAGGAGTCCTCTCCTCAGCTGAGCAGCATGTTTAAGGCGACCTCCCTGTCAGACAAACTCAGCAATGGTGGCTGGAGAAATGGAGGTGACCCTTATCAGATCAGCACCTGCCCTTACTGTCACCTGGCTCTACCTGTTGTCACACTCCGCTGGCACGAGGTAACGCTCCTACACCCTGCAGGATTTGAACATACAGCTATTGTTGGAAAGTTTTAACCGATTTTTATGCTTTTCTTTTTTTAGGCCAAGTGCAGAGTTCACGTTCTACTTAAATGAAGAGACAGAGAGCTCCACAGATCAACAGCCCCAGAGAGAGGACAAACTAGTATTAAATCTTATCACTTGTTAAATTATCATTAGAGTGTTCAGACTTTAGCATGTTAAAATAAAGTTTACATCTTCTCTCAAGCTTATGTCAGTGTCTGCAGGACTGACACGTGAAAGGAAAGAGCACCATAGATCAACATCCATTTTCCTCTGATGTCCTCTGTGACTCCAACACTTTTTTGTCTCACTCCTGTCTTTGTAAATTTCTATGTCAGAGGTAACGACATTTAAAAAAAAACTTTATTTTCTGTACAGAACAGCACTTTTACAGTAGGTGAGCTTGAAGGTGATGTCAGAGGAAAATGGCCACAATGTGACTACCTAACTGTGTAATGTTGGTTTTGTTTAGTGTAAACACAGCCACGCAGGTATAAGTTTCACTCTTATCTTCACTATTATAAAGCCAAAGTTGTTCATATAAATGGATCTGATGCTACTACAGTTGTAAGAATATATAACCTCATTGATAGAAAAGACACATATGTGTGACTAAATCTTGTAATCAATCAGCGATCATCATTATTTTCTGTAAAATGATACAAACTCCTCTGTTGTTCTATGTACAGCCAGCAGGTAGTGATAAATGTCCAATAAAACTGACTCTGACACTTAGAGCAAGTTTCAACTTCACTGTAAGTACTTACTTACATAAAGGCCTTTGCTGACTCTTGCTTTCTTCAGGAGCATGTGGAGAGAGGATACCACAATAGCAAACTGAGCTCTGCCTGTTTTTGCTCTTCATACACAACAGATACTTGAATTGGTGTTTGGTCCTAGTCAAGACCAGCTCTCTTTGTGAAACATCCTTAGGTAACATTTGTGAATTGGCACTAGATAAAGACTGATTGGCGCTAAAACCTTGTTTTGGAAACGATTTAAATCTGATGGTTTTGTACACAAGGCCCTTAAGATTACAAAAGTTTATGGAATCGTTTCAGTGGACTGTTTCAAGTGTCTGCTGCAAAATAGGCTTTAACAGGAGCAACATAATCCTTCAGTTTAAATCCTTCTGATCAAAGTGCATCTAGGAATAAAACATGATTGTTATTATTGGTTTCCAACAAGATTAAGGCTGTAACAAGCTGTAACATTTCCCTTTTGAAAACCAAAATCAGGCCTTACATCAGAACAGGAAACAGGAAACAGATACATGTGATACTTCATGAAAAAACCACACAAAGAATGAAAAGATGCTTTTAATATTTGCATTTGTGGAGCTATAAATCTGTTGGCAATCTGTTACAGTACAAGACATTTCTACTTAAGAAAAGGCGTCACTATTTCAGCTGAAAACACAAAATTAAAACTGACATAAATTGGCTATATTTAAATCCAGCAGGCCAATAATAAGAACACAAACTGTAAATGAGATCCTCATGTGGTGGAGAGTTTAAACAGCAATACTTGAAATCAAGAGGCAACAAAATAGTGCTACGTTATGATAAATAATCTGATGAATATTTTTGATACACAATCAAAATGAAGCAGCAAGATACAATCTAGTCAAAGTTACGCAAAATCATCTCAAAGGCACTTACTGAACCCTTTTTGTAAAAACAGCTTTTGTTTTCACCCGACACACTTCAAACATGACAAGAAATGAGAAACAGTGCATTGAATCCTTATTTCTGTGAAAGCTCAATCAGTAAGAAAAGGAATGATTAAAATTCAAACTCAAACTGCAAGGTGCTAAAGCTGCAACCACCACAAAAAAAGTTATAATTTATGATATATAATATATAATATATAGCTATATATATTTTCAAGTCCTCCAGGAACAACTGAAGTTCATTAAAATACTGGGAAGAGAAAATCCTTTCTGCAGAACTTTCCTGCAGTCGTCCATCCACAACACTGGAGTGGAGATTTTTCTGAACTGGATTTTTATTTTATTTTGTTTCTAAATACTAAACTTTTCAAACCACAAAGAGATTTCAGAGATTAGAGCTGCATGACTAATAATTCTCTGCAAATTAAACTAAAAGAAACACAACACAATGTTTTGAAAGGTAGAAACGTAAAAGTAGGAATGTCAGAGGCTGTTAATCTTCAATTAAAGGAAAGGTTCTCATTAAATAGTTCTCTTTGTTGTGCCTCAGTGGGTTTTACTTGATTATTATCTAGTCTTTGCTTTATGTCTGCAGGACCACCAAACATACTAAAGACTTTTAAAATACAGCTCCATACAAACATGTTTGACCTCTTCAACATTTTTAATCTCTTCCACTCACAATGTTTCAGCACAGCTCAACAGCACACACAGATCACACTGGCTTTAAAAACTTTTTTTTTTTTTTTTAAACTCTGTTTGTTCAACGGTCCTTAAGACTAAAATAAACCTCACGTGAAATGCATGTTTGGACAAGGAGAGATTAACTTTTCCCACGTCAAGGAGCACTTGTTGTTTTAAAGCTTAAGCCGGACTGACATGAAAGTGCCAAATAAAAAAGTATGAAAAGTATGCAACAAAGTCGTTTCCGTATCTGACGCTTGTTCCAGCATCGTAAGTACGCATATACAACCACTAAAAATGAGCTTTAAGGACACCAGTTTCTCTAGACTCGCTCAGTGAGCAGTGACATTGATTTAATTGTTTTCTACTTCAAATTAAATCATTCTTTGAGCATCGTGTAAACAAGGATGGGCCAGTGAGCCTTGTTAATTCCCTTTTCATCATTACAGTAGACCAGTCTGACTGGATTTTTTTTTACCCTTGCAAACAAGACTAACTTAATTCTTCAGCCTCTTTTTCCAGCACTCCCAAAGCAGCTGTCAGCTACTTGAGCATCAAATACGGAGTTTAGACATCATATATGATTTTTATCTTTGAGACACGTGCTCCTGGTGCAGATTCGAAAATATTCTTTGACCTATTACTTTTACACCTCCTCTCCTTTAGTAATCAAATGACACCATTCAGGTTATTTCACTGGATTTCTCTGACTTCAGATCAGTTTAAAAAAGATTCCTCAAAGCTTCTGCTGCAGTCAGACCATAACTTGTGGTTCAAACGTGAAACAACCAAAGAGGTGTCAGGGACTTTTGGTCACAATGACCGCATTAGAGAGGTAAAAGGAAGTGCGCACCGGCAAGTACAAGCAGCACCTCCCCCACTGCTCCTCCAGTGGGAAACACAGTAATTAAAAAGCCTTGTTGTGGTTTAGAAAGTCCAGATCCAGCTCTACATCCTACCACATCCATGACATTTGGTGAATCAGTTCCAATTATCTTCACTTGCTACCATTTTGTTGAGTCCGTTGATCCTCTCGTGCATCAAGCCTTCCTCGATGGCCACCTTTGACTCATGGACCTTAAAAGAGAGATCACAGTGGTGTTTGATTTTCTTACTTTTGATAAAAAGTTCCCCGATTTAAACTTGTAAAATGATCAGAGGAGAATTAAAATTTATTTAACAATATGAATCTGTTTTGGTATTTGCGTGTCACTCACCCTGAATGGTTCACTGATTCCAATGATGCTTTGCAGGGCGTTACAGAAGTAGCAGAGCACACACTCTCCTCCCTGCACGGGGATTTCTTCTTTATCAACATACACCTACAAAACAGAGACATCTTCATCTTTTTTGGTTCACATTTCCTTCACTCTCTATACTAATGCTTGACAACAACATCATAATCCAAGATGGCAGTGCAGTGCATCAACAGTAAAGACTAACAGTGAAAGCTCTCATAATGTATTATTTATCAGCACTTCTGTTTTGTTTTTGTGAAATTAAATAAGTGGTATGCTGTACTGCCCAACGTCTGTGAACACGGTGCTATGGTGTTTGTAGAGTAAAATACTGTGTTATTCGTTGTTTACAACTGGCATAGCTAACAACAACTAACAACAACTGACAATTGTTAACAACAGCTAACAACGGCTAACAGTAGGCGTCCAGCTTGGTTTTCCAACTTTCCAACTGGAACACCGTCAACTCAGGTGTATTATTGTCATTCCCAGCTCTGACATCCGACTTCCAACGTAACTGGAACGCAGCATAAGAGCTCCTCTACAACACACGAGTAGAAGTGTTCATATAAATGCAATTAAGACAGTATAATTAACTCTTCTAACTACACTGAGGGACGCCTCCTCAGTGTCTCTTATTGCTCCTGTTCTTTTCGTGAGATAGTTGTAGAAGTGTGAACAACCAACACCACCCAAACTAAAGACGGTCTGCTCATGAAGTGGAGTGGTTGCAGGATTTTACAGAAAAGATGATGCGTCTAAACTGTTAGTTAATACCTGTATGACTTCTTCGTTAAAGGCCACTTCATCATCTTTCACCCATGTGTAGGTGATGTAGTCCGACACGCTGGCGAAACCAACCTGAAATTCACACACACAGTCAACAGTGACGAACTAAAATGTCTCATTTCTATTATCAGAGCTTACAGTTGAGTTGTTACACAAACCTTATAGAGTCCAATCCAGTCCCATGTGCTTGAAGGGAAAGGCTGCAGAGGGCTGTAAAGAACCATGGAATCGATGTCTGCGCTCCAGTCGCCCTCTGGCTGCAGACGCACTAGAGGAGTTGTGTGGATCTTTCTCAGCTAAGCAGAGGATGAAACACATTTACATTAACAAGCCTGGAAATTGAAGGCAGCTGCAATAATCACTGTTCTGTAAACTTCAGACCTTTTATGATGAGATTCAGGTCTTCAGCTCCGTAAGTCAGAATACTGTCAGGTTCTTACCATCAGTGTGAAGACGCTGATGACAGGTTTGTGATCGCTGATGCCATACTCCATCTTGCTTGTGTACAACTCCTGTCTGACTTTCAGAGGGTACTCTTCATCCTCCTCCATCTGCTTGAGCTCCCTCACATCAAGTCCGACTTCACTTTCATCTTGTTCCACGGGAGGCAGGGCGATGGGTCGGAGACGCCACAGGATCCTATCGGTCCACGCAGGTTTGCGCTTCTTACCGCTGGACAGGTGGTTGGAGATGATGGACAGACAAGAATTTTATCAAAAGGAAATACCTCACAGCAAAAATCCTGCAAGCTGGTGAAAATGAGAAGCTCTGTTTTATTTAGACAAAACAGGAAGCAGTATCTATGAGACAGTGGTATTGACGGGGGGGGGGGGGGTAGCATAGAAGAACTTTGCTTTTTCCAGCATTAGCAAGTGATGCATTTACACTAAATAGCTTTCTTGTGCTTCTGTGTGATAGCAAGTTATAATCTAACACACTCATATTAGATTATAAATAGTCATGGTGCCTGCGTTAGAAAAACAGCTATCTCTGGTCAAGCATGTTAGCTGTTATGCAGCAGCTGTTGGTGCAAAGTGAGGGACACACACTGACTTTTATGCGCACATGCCCTGGAAGCAAGAGGCTGATATTACACACTGTAGGATAAATGTGGGTTAATGTGAGCTACTGACAATTTGCCACTTAAAGGTACTCTGTGGAGGAAATAAATTGCTATGCATGTGTTGCCTTGAAGAAAGTCAAGTTACAGCTTTATTCTGATTGAAAGGTTATATTACTCTTAAACAAAAAGGTCTGGGTCTGTAGAAATCCCTTATACGAGCTGCAGACTTACAATCTAAACCTCTCAGTGGCAAAAACATGCACAGTCATCACTTGCATTAGCCCTGCAGAATACAGTGCACCTTTTGTGTTGAAAATATGCATTGTTAAGCTGTTTGTTTGTTACTAGAAAGCCTGGTGTATTTCTGTCACATCACTTTGTTTTGAAGAGTTTAAGCCCTCCATCCATCCAGGAAACCTATCTGAGAGAGCATTTATCAGACATGTAAAGGATAAATGTAAATCAAGCTGATGGTTATGGAATCCAAACAGCTAAGTCAACACCTCAGTGTAAAGTCCAGGGGTCTTGAGCGAGAGCTCATGAAGTGAGTTCCACTACAGAGCCATGTCTTTTCCTAATGCGTGCTTCCTGAGGAACCGGAAGATGATTTTTCGGCCTTGTGCTTCTGTACAGAGATGTCGCCAGATTATCTGACTTACTTCAAAGATAATGTGCTGCAGATAAGGTAATTAACATATTATTTACAATTTTAAACAACATTACTCTGAAATTGATGAGCTATCTGTTCATGCAGTCTCTCACAAATATTACAGACCTGAATAAATTGATCTGTCTGTTTGGGAGATGTTCCTCCTTTTATTTTCTTACCCTTATGTAACCTTTTCATTATTTTATTGTCCTCTTTTCAACTGTTTTAAATATATTGCTGGTATCGAATTTCATTTGTGGCAACATTTGTGGCCACATTTGAAATTTGTGGCATTTTTTCATCGGGCAATATCTGATACATTGACTTTGCAAAAATGTTTTCATTAAGAAGAGAATTTAGTAAATTTGCAAACCATAAAAATCATTTTACATCCCAAGTTTTATGGAATTGGGGTTGTAGATATGTATACATGTATCTATGTATATCTATATCTATATCCTATTTATCTATATCTATAGTCCCTCCTTTGTCATACTGAGATTTCTCAGTAGTGAAGAAACAAATCTCTGAAATTATGTAGCTTTGTTTTTTACACTAAACCCAATAACCATACTTCATCGCTGCCTCAGAGTTGGCGTCACACAGCCTGTCTCAGAAATGGCTCTCCAGTTCACACAGATGTCATTTCAGCTTTGTTGCCACCTTGGCTTTCAGTTTTGGGCAGAATGGCATCGCCCTGTCACCCTGTCTCTGAGCATGAGGCACAACAATAGTGTAACAGTCCCAGCCTGTGTAAAACAGGATCAAATCTTGAAAAAACTGCTCCAATGTGCCAACAAAGGTCAAAAACTTCAGCATGTACCTTTAAAAGCTACAGGACTGGTTCCAAAACAAAAGGTCAGACACCCAAGTGTTACATGCACAAACTTTTCTTTGCAGAGACAAACTGACGTTTGTCTTGAAAAGACTGTTAATCCGGTCTTCTTGTTTGTTTCATTTGCATTCTGTATCTAATGCGATCCTAATTACGCCTCTGAAAAATGATTAAGACTTTGAGTTACCATTCTGCATAAAAAAGGGCGACTACTTTTATCATGTTGGTAAAAGTAGCTTTTATGCACAAAAATAACGGATTAAGAAGGGATGACATGATGTGTTATCAGAGACGTGGACACAAATGTGTTTTGAACTCTTACTTAAAGCCAAACCATGTCCTGTAGAGCCTGGGAAGTTGAAAGGAAGCATAGATATGTATATATACAGTATTTAACATAACACTTCAGCAGAACGTTCTGGAAATAAAAAAAAAAAAGCTGGACAATATGAGGATGATTTTTAAGGACTATTTATACTGATCAGTTTCTGAATGTTACCTGCTGTCATAGGTGTCAGAGTTCAGATCAAATTTGTAGGTGGGTTGAAAGTCCAGAGGTCCTTCCTCAAACTCCTGGAGCATCATTTCTTTAGACTTCAACATGGTCAACTGAAACGACAACACACAGAAGAGGATTTAGACTAATGATAATCTGCCTAAACTCAGTCTGTTCATTTGAACATAAACAAATTACACTCCTCATATCTATATAAATCCATTTTAATAAGATATGAAGACGACTGTAAAGATATGGATACACATGAACTAGTGTTAAGCATTGTGTTGCATGTTACAAAAGTTTATTAGAGTTGAGTATTTTCTGACCTCCTTGAATTGCATAATAATGAGTGAATATTTCTGCTTTCTTTATTTTGTTGCATGGACACAATGAACTTTTCCTTTTTAACCACTTTACATATTGATATATTGATAGATTTATCTCTGCGTCCTTTTGGTCTATTATTGATGTTGAATCAGAACAAAAATGTATTTTCCTAACAAAATCAATTTGGTCTCTAATGCTGTATTGGCAAATTTCAGCAGAGATGTGACGGCCAATTAGTGGGAAACAAATGTCAGACAAAATAGAGCCACAACCCATGCAAAGTGTCCATGTCAGGGTGAACAGTGTAAGTTAGATGATGGCAGAACTCTGTTCCAGCACTGTTGCAGAGTTGCATCGTGTCAGAGGCTTTAGTCTCCAGTGTAAGACTTGAAATGAGCTGAGCTATTTGCCAAACAGTTGGTGTTATGTTTCAATAAAACTCAGTCATGTTTGGAAGGAGAAATTAAATCAGGTTTTGTTTAACAAAAACAAAACAACACAAAATGTTCCAAAAGTCAGTCTCCAGTGAGGACCTTGAGGCAAAAACAGACTCCTCTGCTGATCTGAACAGAACTGTGAACGACAAACCTGGTCTTTGCTCCACAAGAGGTTGTAGTTTTCGTCGTTGATACAGGTGCGTACAAAGTGCATGCCATGGTCCTGAATCCGGAAGTTAAGATCTCCAAACCAGAACACCAGTCTGAATCAAAAGACAGGTGATAAAGAAGTGAAAAATAGTGAAAATGTGACTTTGTATTTAGATAGAAGCAGTGAGAATCTGTTTATTCTCTCACCTGTGGTCAAAGATGGTCTGTGCCTTTCTGCATTCAAAGGTTTGTGTGCCGATGATGTACTCAAACTCATCCACTCTCTCTGAGGCGTATTTCATGTGAGCAGCCAAATGACAGTTGAGGAAACAGAGCAAGTGGCCGTAGAAAGACAGACGGATGGACACGCCGCCTTTGTTACCCTGAGAGATGAAATAAGAGACAAAGTTCTGTTGAGCTGCTCAGCTCTGTTTGTGATATTTTTTAGTCACGCAGGAGGCAAACAAATCAGGGCATGAGCAGCTTTTAAGAAGTAAATTTGAACTGCCTCTATTGAAACTGCTGTTTTGATGCCAGAGACATGGGGCTATCTTCACAGCAAACAGTGGTATGGAGGTCAGATGCTACAAATCTGAACCACCTCCAGTCAACCAGAGAGACCTTTTATGGAACAAGATCCTTCTTGTGTGGTGTAATCATCATGAGGCAGTAGGATTCAAAATCGATTGTCTCTAAAAACACTGTCAGTCTGAGATCTATGTTCATGCATTTCTTACCCAGTAACCAAAAATGCCTGTGCGTGTGTATGTGGCCCTGATGTCTCTGATGAAGGGGACGTGCTCCAGTTTGGAGAAGAAGAGCAGCAGCAGGCCCTGCATTCTGATAGATGACACCTGAAACACAAACAGGTACACGAGGTAAAAACAACCTTTCTTTAAAATGCTTTCATCAATGGTGAGGCTGTCTGCGCTGACATTTCTATTATAGTTTACCATCAACACAATGAATAATGAATCCATTTACACTTGCAGTTACACCCACACCTCTCACCCTGTACTTATGAGTCACAAAACCTTCCCGCTCAGATCCCCATTTACTCAGAGCAATATTTGCACCTAATTTTACCTTTAAAACTCAAATGATTGTGAGGCAGAGAGAGGTGTCGCTCTCCTGTCTGTCGACCTTGGGTATGTTACATCATCATCAAGTTCCAGGAAGATGTTTCATGGGGGATCTGGGCACTAGGTTTTGCTTGTTTATTCTTTAGATCTGGTTTTCACTTAGATTCAAAGCTTTTATGAATATTTTTGATCAGTTATAACCATTCCTGCTTCTGATACGTTTGTAAAATTTGTATTAAGTGAAATGTACCTTAACATAATTCAGGGGTGCCAGGGTGGACATGAATAGCTGACTCCACGGGTCATCGAATAACGTGTCGGACACAAATCTCATTGGCCCTGAGTACACCTCCTGCAAACTGAGACACAAAGACACAGTCTATTGCCCCACATCGTGTTATATAATTAAATCACTTGCCCAACCAATTAAATTCCTTGCACCACCTACCCGATGACGTAGAGGTCTGGGCTCTTTGGAGAGTTCAGATGGAGAAGCAAAGTCACATCATCTGGAGGATCAGCTGTGGCCACATTCCACGTCACCATGTGTAGCCTGTGGGCCATTTAACACAACAAAGAGTTATTTGTGCAGCACTTGTAAGCAGTCTGGATAACTTTTTTATTTTTTTATTTAAAGGAACAGTTAAAATTTGTGTTGTAGTTTTTCATTCAGTGGTATCATTAGTATCATTCCAAACAGACATAATGTAAAGTCTTTTTTTGTTTTTACTACTGTCGTGTCAAGGTTTAGCGCTCTGGCTCTGTGATAACACCCCTAGTCTACCACACCTGTAGCAGAGCTCATAGCTTCATGCACAAAAAATGATCGACAATATACGATCTCAATGTCAAACAGAGTCAGAATAAGCGCTTTTTCTAATAAGTCAGCATTTTGGGTACAACTACAAAGCCATATAAGTGCAAAACTTAAAGATATACATATATATCTTTTCACTCCAGCTCTCAAAACCAATTTCCATTCATAATCAGCATAAGTGTCATTCCTGGAAAATCTTGTATCAGTCTGGCTCTCCTCAAATGTTACAGCTTTACAACACCACAAAGTGAAACAGAGCTCTGCTTTTAGGTTTACAATCAAAGAGGTTCATTCAGTGGGACACAAATCAAAGAAGAACACATGATCAGAGTGAGAAAGCTGTTACAATATGAGCGCTGTACTACCACTACAGTCTGGTCAGGCTAGTACGGTTCACACATGATGAGAACAGCAAGTGTAAGTTCATTGAAAACTCAAAACCACCAAAGGGAATTTTCTGCAATCAGAAGAAAAGCATGAGAGGAATCTGAGGACAAAATCTTCCTGAGAGATTTCAATCAGCAAAAACTCAAACTGGATCTGTCGTTAAGGGAAAAGCTGGTTTAATGTGGGAAATTACTGAAGTATGTTAAAGAATTAAAAGCAGAGAGAAGACCGCTACTTCTAAACATTAGTGATTCCCAGAATTATTACAGACACTAATCAGGATGTTTTCCCTCCACCTGAGTTTGTCCGTCTTCAGCCTGTGGGCTCTCTTGCCGCAGATGAGGAAGGCATTATCCAAAGTGTGAACCATTTTCTCATGCAGTTCATGCTTGGGGTCTAGATCATCCACGCAGGTCATCAGCTGATTGAGCCGATGGCGAAGAGCGAGTCTGGTGCCCGTCGACTGCGTGGAATGGGTGTCTGAGCGTTCGCGCCCCATGGTTCCAAAATATTGACAGATTTCCTCCATCCTCGCTCAAAGTGTAAACGCAGAGATGTTATCTGTCTTCTAAGGAGCCAGAGAGTTACAAAGAAACCAAAGGCTGTTGACAGCGTTTAACTTAACAAAAATAAAATAAAAATGTACAACTTTGAAGCTTTGAGTGCTGTACTGAACCCAACAAGGGAGTGAAATCAGGAAAGTTCTTGCTTGAGGATTTTGGTGCTCCAGGGTTGGGAGGAGTGATTTCATCCACAAGTCTTCTTTGTGTGCTTTAAACTACGTATAATCTTGCTGGTGAAACGTCTAAACAGCAGGCTTATCAAATAATTGTGAAACCAACTTGCAACGCAGGAACATAAGAACTATTTTCTTTTCAAGCTGTCATGCAACACACTGCATTCCCCTCTGGCAGGGTGGCAGGACATTTTTCATCAAATCCGCATTAGGTGTTTATTGCCAAGCAGCCTAATCCAGCCAGGCTGACAATTACGCGTTCTGAAAAGCCCTAGAGTTCTGGTTACCAGCAGAAAAAAAAACTGATATTGAGACTGATCGCAAAAGTATAATTTAATAAGACTACAGAGACAAAGAACTGTTGCTGTAAACCTAAATGTCTCTAAAGAAATGGAGGACTAAAAACTAGGGGTGCACCGATCACTGATCTTTAAAAAGCTTGACCTGCCGATACTGATTTTGGCCGATACCTTTTTTTAATATTATTTTATTTATTTTTTTTTATAACTGACAACATACACCTTCCATGCTCCAATCTTATTTTAATGAAAAAAATTAAACAATACTTGTGGAACAATAAAAACCCTTTTATGTTTGTTTTAACTGCACATGACGTAGTTCTCTCAAGTATAAATGAAAAGTTTAGAATGCTGACATCCAGACTACTAAGTTATATCGGTTCCTTTAGTCTTTTATTTTCCACATTTTAAAAATTAACAATACTTGCAACAGGTCACACTGCAGGCCTGTTTTGAGCCTCTTACCAAAATAAAGTGCACAGCAGTATTTTGCTTTTACAAATAAAGGAAATCCCAAGTTTAGAGAAATAGTAGATAATAATCTACAGGACAAACTAAACTGGTGGGCGGGCCTGTCATTCTGGCAAAAGCAAAAAGCTACAATGTCTGACTTTCTGACCTTTGCTGAGGTAGATAAGATCAGCGGATAAAATCGTTTTTTTTGGTGTAAGGATCAGTCGATCACCGATCCCCAGCGCCGATTGATCAGACGGCCGATTTATTGGTGCATGTTTACTAAATATAACTCCAAAACTCTTATTCCACTATATGTGTAGATGGTGACAGGGAAACAACTTAGAAACACTCGTTCAACTACTTTTTAGTGTCCTGTCAATGCCAAAGTTGTAGTTAAGTATAGTTTAGTACTTCAGCAACAATCCACAGGGGCCGGTTTTTCCCACGTGACAGCACTTTTGTGATCCTCGGTCAAAGTATTTTGGTTGTGACAGTCCAAATGGGCAATACAAAGCGTTCTTCAACTAGCCTAAAAACAGCTACACGAATCTATCCCAATGGTCACCAATCCCCTAATCTACAGTCAGACACCCCAGGACCAGGTTTCTGAAAGCCTCCTGACCACACAGTGCATATCTCCCCCTCCAAAACCCTCAGTTATAGTGTGTTTGCTGGATAAGGAGCTGGGGGTTTACAGTAAGAATGCACATAGAGCAAACACGGATGTTATCACGGGTCAGAGTCTCACCTGAAGCGATCTTCCTCGTTGTTTTCATTCCTTGAACTCAGACCTGGCTGCTGAGCATCTGACTGCTCCTCATTCTCCTCCATCTTCGTTCCTGAAAAGCATTTTCTTTAATCAGCTGTAACCAACACTGTAAAAGTAAGTGAAGGGCTTGAACTTGCACAACGTACGAAACAATAATAGGTGTGTTCGTGAAGCATTTGCTGGGTTACTGCTAACTGTTAGCTAAGTTGGCTAACAAAATCATCATATTTCGCGTCAGTATAGACTATAAACTACACAGAATATCAAAAACACATACACTACGACCTAACTGGAGTCATGTTTTATATTTATTAACTGAAGTCGAACTAGTTTCGTATGGTAACGTTACCGTCACGCGCTGTTGTTATGTTGTTATCTCTGGGTTACAGTAACTGAACAGTAACGTTAGCTCCCCTGCGTAGCAAGCAGGCGCCAAAGTTTCTGCATCAAACAACGAAAATTATCGATCAGTATCGGTAGGTAACAATATTTTTTTGTCTAGTGCTACCTGAGTCACGCTGGCGGCACTTATTTTCCTTGTTTTCTTCTTCAAAAGAGACGTACAGTAGACCAGGAGCTGCAATTTGACAGTACAGTCAAATATTGTTGTTACCCCCTGAAACCGGAAACAAGTACACAGCCTTCAAAATAAAAGCATCAGAGGTACCAGCAACCGGCATCGAATTAGTTATCAAATATGACCATCCAAAAAAAGAAGACGGGTTTATTAAATCAATTAATAATATCTATCCGTGTGATTAAAGTGATAAAAATCCCGGATTAAGTTTATTCAATAATTCTTTGCTTTTTCTTCCATGTAACTGTCTTATTGCTAAAGTGAGAGTTTCAAGGAGTAACAATTTAACAAATAATCGTATTTTGCCCTCCTTGCTGTAAAGGATTAGATTTAGTTTTATAAATTGGGACAGAAGTTTGGAACTTGTATTAAATAACTCCAATACTCTGCAAGAAAATAAAAAAAAATAGACCCGTAAAATTTCCCCGCGTTTTATGGTTTGGTTGGAAGACTTTTCTGACTTTCTAAATTATCTAGATTTTTTAAATTGTCCTCACAGGGTTTACACTGCATCTGACCAAACATGGGTTTTGTGAAAGAATTATTCTTATTCAATTTTTCATTTCATCATAATCTTTGAGCTTCTTTGTGTGATTATATACTTTTGTAATATTGTGATAAAGAAAATTGATGATTATAGTATATGCAAGGCAAAAAAAACGTTACGGGTAAAATACTGCAGCATCTCATAAGATGTTGTTTTAAAACTAATTCAAATTACATAGCAGCTCGCCCGAAAAGTGCGAAAGCAATTCACTTAAATTGCACAATTTACAAATTCTGATGGCATATAATGTATAATGTATTGTCTTAGATGATACACATTTATCAGTGCGTTATATTAAACACTATTCTCAGTTATGTTGCACAATTTTGCCAAACAAACTTTTATTTTGGTAAAATGAAGAAAAAAATAGAGCTACATCCTTTCTGGCTTGACGTCAGAGGAATGTTGCGTTCAAGGCTTATCAGATGCTCGGAATTTCTATGATCAAAGGTCACAGTGTATGCTCTTATGTACCCGTAGCCTGAAACTCGAAAAATGAAGACATTGCAGCAATACAAACATAATAATTTACAATGTACTAATGCCACACGGGCAACAACTGATGGTTAAAACTCCATACAACATAACAGTTCAAAAGAGGAGACACAAGTAAGATTTCAAATATGTAAACTATTTAATGACCATGCGCCGGGTCTTCAGATCTTATCAGAAATTTAAACTCACAGTGTCTGTTATCAAATGTTATCCTGTGTCACTGTCGCAGTTGTAGTGTTATTCAAACAGATAACATAAGTATAGTAAACTGCAGGATTTGTTTAAGTGTTTTAGCTGACATGTTAAAGAGAGTGAGGGGCGATCATTAGAATAGTTACAGTAAATTTTCGCTGAAGGCCAGGAGCATAAACTGCAGGAATGCCAGCACATCATGACCGGTGTTATGCCGTAGACTGCACCCCTGTCGTAGAATGTCCCCCCTGCCTCCAATCCACTCATTAGCTTCTTAAAGTGGAAGAAGATGATCTCATATAAAAAAAAAAACATAAATATTGGATTATGAAAACATGTCAAATGTAGCAGCAAACTTTCGTTCTGTTTTATGTCTCAAAAATGCACACATAGAGGTGTACAGTAAGCTGTCACGGTAGAGAACATTATATTTTCGAGACAGCAAATATTCCCAATCAGAGGGCTATTGTTTTCTGCTAATCATTACAGGCATACGCTTTTAAATCTATCCAATGGTAAGGAAAACTCGGATTATTTCGCCTTGTTATGTACTTTCAACCACGCTTCCGTCAGTGGGTGCAATCTAGGGCAGGGGTGCATTCTTCGGCACAACACCGGAAGCCCTGGTCGCTTTATCTCAAATGTTTCTCTGTTTCATGGCACAAAACCAACTGGTTAAAACTAGCGTTTTAATGTCGCTTTGGTCCGTTTAAATACTACATTACCATGTGGCGCAGTTTAGGGGTGAGATGGAGAAAAAGCACTGGACAGCGCCCGTGGTTCGATCCCGGGGAGGGATAGAGAGCAGCGAATTCTTCAGGTAGAATTGATGTTCGAAGTAACCACTGAGCTAAACCAGTGCGACGACTACAGGCAGAAAAAGGCTTTATAAAGAGGACTCAGCTTCTGTTGTTCACATCTGCAAGGGGGGAAAGGCAACCACACGGGACATTGGTTTATGTGGAAATAATAGAGCAGAATATGCTGATATAAGTGAAATAAGTCTGTAAAGATTTGCCACCGAAACGAGTAGGCTACTTTTGAGAAACATTGGAGGACATTTTGAGAAACACCAGTACTTGAATTTTTACTCTACAGGCTTTCCTCTTTTATCAGTCTGACAGGTTAAATCATGTTTGGAGGATTAGGGCATTACGAACCATGGAACAGGTTATCAAAGTCCTTTATGAGGAGATCAGGATGTGGGAGGTTTCAGGTGCACACTTGTTTTGTATTTCATTTAACTAAATTTAACTTCAAACCTGTTTAACACTTTAGGACTTGTAATTATTTAAACATTTTCCCACTTCAAAATCATTCTCATTATTTATGTATGTTTTAATTCTTCAAACAAAATCCCAGTTCTACCACTACAATTACTACTTGTATCACTTTAACTTGTATCTTCACTTCTACCTCCACTGCTCTTGCTTCTCTTAATATTTTTTTACTTCTACCACAAGCTCTACTGCTTTGACTTCTACTTCTTCTATTCTAAAACTACTTCTACTGCTTACATGACTACTAATATCACTACTACAACTACCTATTATCATACTACTTCTAGTACTACAACTTAAAGTTATGCCACTTCTTACTTTTCTGTGTTTTAAGGTAATTTTCTTCCTTATCCATTTTTTTTTTTGCAATTTCAGACAGTTTTTCTAGCCTTATTCAGCATGAATGCAATTTTAATTTATGAAGCACATTCATACTATTTGTACTTCAGCAATTTTCACTTTCATCCAGCTTCTACTTTTCTTTCTCCAGCTCTTTAACCAATTTTACATTTAAACCTTTCTCTATTTTTAGCAGTTTTGCATTGCTTTTTCAGCTTTCAGCACTCAGCATTTCCACGCGTTTTCTGCAGGGAAATGCAATTTTTCTATTTTAATCTGATCCTGACCAGTCCAATGAAATGGCAGAGTGGTGGGGCAGTGGAGTAGGAAGGGGTGGGGGTATGATAGATAAATGAGGTTTGGGCTGAGAAACAGATCATGACAAAAATGTTGCTTTAATGTCAGTGAGCTAGACTTAAAGCCAAAGGAAACACTTGTAACTACAATCAATATTTGATTATCAGTATCTTTAAAAGCTTCATTACATTTAGGCATGTCACAGTCCTGCACAAAGACTACCTTTTTACCTTAATTTAGTACTAAAAATTGAGCAGAGCCACCAGCTTAATTAACAAAAACATCTCTTAATGCAAAAAAGAGAGAAAAGACACAGAATAAATATATTTATAATTCAGAAGTTTTGTCTCTTTGTGGTTGTCTTGTGCTTTCTTTTAGTTTTTTGTGTCTCTGAGCAAACTTCTCTATGTGAGTGAATGAGTGTATTTTTTGTTGCTTTATTGTTTTGTTGTACTTGTTACACTGGTGTACTTCATCCACACGGACTACAAGTGAGGTGCTGATAATGTAACATATTTTTGTACAGCTTATCTGATATAACTCATACTGGACAATCTGAATGTGATTGGACCACCAAAACAGAGCTTGACTTGTCTCAGGGTAAATCTACACTCCTTTGAATGTTATATAACAGCCTTTTAACCATTTCATTTTATATTCGTGGAAGTTTCTACTCTTTGTGCCTCTTGATGGCTCTTCTTCTGATGTCAACCTTCACCTCTTAAATGTGTTTTTCCCCAAAAGAAGAGAGTCTCCTCTACTTTGCATATCAGAAATGTGTGTGTACTTGATTTGCTAAAGGTCATGCAGATTCATGAAATTTATCCGCTTCAGGTCTGGTTGGTTTAGATAAAAAAACTTTAGAAATCTTGATTGAATAGTCAACAGCAATGTAAAGTTTTACTAATTTTGTGGCATTCATATTAAAAGGTTAAAAAACTGTGTTGGGGTGATTTGGAGTGCTAATGTAATGGACAGCAGCTCCACCCTGTGGTAGATTACTGTGACTGCAGTGAACCAAGCCTCACTGGGTAACTACACTAAAAATAAATGTGTTGATCATAACCATGAATGAAAACAAACTTCCAGCCCAAAACAAAAACCTAAAAAAAAAAAACACATAATGAAGGCTGAAGATATTTAAACTCTTGAGTAAATGCGAAAGTTTATGAATGCATCGACCTGTCCAAGAAAAGCCATTTAACAACCAAACGAAAACACTTTAGAACAATTTAAATAATCGAGGATCAAAAACCAAAACTTTGATCACAATTAGGCCTCAGCAATGGGGCTGAAAGCAATGAGTCACTGACTACATTTTAATTAGATGAAAACCAGATCAATTTAAGTTCTGGTAATTTAAATTGTTCAGTTGTCTGTTTTCCCCCTGCAATTTACCCAATAAACAGTTAATAATTATATATGTGTGATATATATATATATATATATATATATATATATATATATATATATATATATATATATATATATATATATATATATATATATATATATATATGTGTGTATTTTTTTTTAACTTACCAACTATTAATGCCAACTTGCAGTATGACTACAAACCCTAATTCTAATCAAGTTGGGATTTTGTGTAAAATGTGAATAAAAATCAATACTACAACGGCTTGCAAATCATTTTTGATGTATATTCAGTTGAATGCAGTACAAAGACAAGATATTTAATATTCCGACCGATAAACTAATTTGCGAATTTTTTTTGTTTGTTTGTTTGATATCTGCGACACATTCCAAAAAAGCTAGGACAGGGTCATGTTTGCCTCTTCGTTACATCAGCTTTGTTGTAAACAACATTCAATATTTGAGGACACGAACTGTCCAAGCTTTGTGGCAAGTTTTTTAACAGTCCAGGATCTCTGTGGTTGTATTTTGCGCT